TTTGTTATTTATAAACGAATTATTATTGATACTTCAATCTATTGATAAAAGTGACACTATGTGAAAAATTATTATTTCAGCCAAATTTTACAGAATTTTGTGGCTAGTTTGCGACGTCCGTTCCGTGTTATGTGCTCCTAGTACTTTGCGTAGCTGATAGGCGTCACGTAACCGTGTTTGACTATGATTTTCTAGTAGTAATGTAGTAGTTTCTAGATTCCCGTTTTCCGATTCCGTTTCTATTTTTCCCGTTTCCTTTGCTTTTTTTAAGCCTCGCCAATACTGTTAAAAATAATTTATGGTTATAGAAAAATATTATTTTTAACAGTATTAAATGGATATGATATGATTAGAGTTGACTCGATGGCGCAGTTGTCAAGCTTTTGGATTCGGTGCCGGGGTTCGATTCCCCCACGGTGAGGGCGAATCATAGCAAACCTAGTGCCTTTACAACACGACTCATATGTTATGCTGACCACACCTATGTGGGATAAGGAGGGTTATAAATATGGATGTTTTATATAGGCGCTTTAAATAAATAAATAAACAGACAGACATCAATTATCGTACTAGAATAATTGTTGGTCATACAAACTTACGCCGTACTCATAAACTTGTAACAATATTATAATTAAGGTTTCATTAATAATGACAACCGTGAAATATGCCACCATTATCTTCTATTTATTTGTGAGAGTATTATTATTTCTAATTACAAACCTTAGTTTTAAAGGCCACACGCCACACTTGATAATGCAGTACTTTATGAGGAAAATAATTTTCAGAATGCGTTCTATTATAATGAACTTTAAAACGTGTATGGTGTCCCGGCAATTTATCTCAGCCGACTCGATTTGGTCTTTTTGTTCTTGCGAATATCTCGCCAGAATTCCGCTTTGATACATTGCTTGTCTGTGGATTTAATTGAAATGTAAACAATTGCCGATGTTCTTACCGAGCCACTTATTGAAGCGTTTTGTTTCAATTGAAAAAAAAATATTCAACTTAAAAAAAACCGCAATCAATTTTGACTGTGACCTTGGGCGGTGAACACTCAAGTACCACACTATAACACTTCAGTAACGATGTCTAGATGAAACATTAGGTAGTTTGCTACCTTCTAAAGTAGATAAAGTTGACAGAGATTTCACATACTTATCCCAGTGTACACGAAGCCGTGACAATAGATTTTTTTTTATGTGAAAAGTTGCCAAGCGAGCAGGCGGTTCACCTGATGTTAAGTGAATAAGGCCGCCCGCATGAAATTGTTACTTGCAATTTTAAGTGCCGATTTATCACGTACTCAACGAACGGTGTAGGTAAAGATCGTGAGTAAACATGCCTATTTTCGAAATGATAACAAAAAACTTCGTAGATATGTAAAATCTGCCAATCCGTAGTTTAGTCGCGGAGTGGACTGTGTCCCAATACCGTCTAAGCAAAGGGGTCATTTGCCCAGCGATGGGACATACATATACGGGCTGTTACGTTATTTATACGAAGCCTGTTACGAAAGGAATGTGTGTTTCTCACCCAACCCCTAAGGGGCTAAAAGGAATAGCTTTGTACATTCTACCTGAATGGCGGGTTGACCATTTAGAACCGGTCCGATGGGTGTTATGCCTCCCACCTAAGAAGGCATCTATGCGAAATAGTATTTTTGTAACCGCTCTCGTAAATCGGTGTATATCTGAATCTCGTCGGGATTTTATGACATACTTTAATCAAATTTTGAAGTTATAAATTGATCTATTATCCAGGTGTTATAAACGCGATCATATCTCTATGTTGATTATTTATAACGTGTAATATTTCGTAAATATACGAGGTCGTTAAAAGAACGTAATATAGCAATACTGTTTGAGAGAAAATACGTCCATATCTTTGCATAAAAGAAGTAGAGCCGTTGTGATGAAGATTGTATCTTTAGCTGAAAAGACCTTCATAAACCAAACAATTATGTAGCAAATATAAAATATAGTAAATAGGTCAGACTTTTTTTAAAAAAGCAACCGCGCAGAGTGTAGGATTATGGTTGAAGTTACTATGAAAACTCCGTTCCGAGATTCACGCGGAAGAATTACCGTGTGAATGCTTACAATGTACACTACCATATTCCAGTCTGGCAAGCTATCGATCTATAAACTGGTTTAGACTACTCCGGGAGCCCTTTTATCTGGATAAATGATTAAACTATTTATTAATGTTACCGCCAGTACTTGTTAACATTATTCAATTTGCTTGCTATGCAGGATAATCCAACAGTTGCGTGTAAACGATAATAAAATATAAAAGCCTATGTGGGAGTTCCTCAAGGTTTATGCTTCAGACCTGTCATATTTCTTCCGTTTTACGACGCTCTTTACCCCATATACCTAATATACCAATTGTCTCATCGTCTAATGACTTCCTTTTGATTTAAAAACTAGTTTTGCTTGGAGAAAACTGGCCAGTTAAATACTATTTGCGTCTCTACATTTTCCGCTTATAACATTCTAAAACTTGGCGTACAATCATCGTAGAAACGTAGTTAATTCACTTCATTACTTATTCTGTATTAGAAGCGTTCTGCTCATAAAAATTGTGCATATCCAATCACCCAAATCCACAACAGACTGCTCATAAAGACCTTGAATGTAATCAACGTTTTCGTTTCCCACAATCGGTCGGTGCATCGTCCAACGATGTCTCACCTGCGTTCAATACCAATGAACAACAACCTTCAGCGATGAGTCACGCGACACAGGAGCCGACCGTGTTTACGTTTGTCGCAACTGTCACGGTGGCGAAGTGGAAACGTACCTAAACAGCAAATCATAGATATAGTGTAACCTTATTCTGCGCAGATCGGAACAAAAATAATAAGACAGTTGACAGATTGACACAGAATAATTTCTTGAATTTACGCGATGACACATTATAAATGAAACTAATTTTACGGATTTATCGCGTTTATTTTTATTTTTAATTTTAATTCCGGACGTTTCGAACACTTTACAGCGTTCATGGTCACGGGACAGACTGAGGTGTTAGACGTCTGATTGTCATAGTTAACCCGGGCTACCGTCAGTTTTTGAATTATTAATTATTTAGGTTGACACAGGCCTAAAATAGCTCAGTGAATCTTTTAGGGGACAATGTATACGTTTCTACAACAATAAACGCAGAAAACGTTCAAAATGTATCAGTTGTTTTAATTTCGAAAATATTGTAAATTTTGTGTTAAAGGTTATTTTATTATTTATAATATTAGTTATTATTTAAATCATATCACACTCTGGATATGAATTGAGCGCTACAGGCTCTTTCATTGTCAAATAATGGCATTAAATAAAAGAGTTTCTCACGCCGGTTCATCTCAGGTCAGTGGCTTTTCTTTTCCGAACCGGTAGTAGTATTTTGAAAATCAATTAGTGATTGCAAGGTTTCTCCATTGAATGAACCAAGGTATTTGGATTTTAACTAGTATTCCCCTTCACGGTGAAGGAACGTCTGGAATCCTAAATAAAAATGAAATGTTATTATATTCGTAAACTAGTTTTATTTAACCCAATGTTTATATGACACAATAATATAAAGATATGACACTGGCGCACTGAAATTGAGATTCTATAGACAACTATCTGTTTCCGTATCATACGTTCTATATCATCTGTCACGGTGGTAGGGCCACGCAGCAGCCTCTGCTGTTGCACGAATGGGCAGGCCCGTCCGGGTAAGTACCACGACCTCACAGAAGACCAGCGTAAAGTGGAAGTATGACAAATACTTTCGCGTTTCGTCTGGTGAGTGAGGTAACCGGAGCCCAATTTTACGGCGGCGGTATTCACTTACCATCAGTTGAACCGTCTGCTCGTTTGGCAACTTTTCACATTAAAGAAAAAACACTTATATATGGCATATAATGTAAGGCAGAACAATTTTTTAAATGTTATTATATTCGTAAACTAGTTTTATTTAACCCAATGTTTATATGACACAATAATATAAAGATATGACACTGGCGCACTGAAATTGAGATTCTATAGACAACTATCTGTTTCCGTATCATACGTTCTATATCATCTGTCACGGTGGTAGGGCCACGCAGCAGCCTCTGCTGTTGCACGAATGGGCAGGCCCGTCCGGGTAAGTACCACGACCTCACAGAAGACCAGCGTAAAGTGGAAGTATGACAAATACTTTCGCGTTTCGTCTGGTGAGTGAGGTAACCGGAGCCCAATTTTACGGCGGCGGTATTCACTTACCATCAGTTGAACCGTCTGCTCGTTTGGCAACTTTTCACATTAAAGAAAAAACACTTATATATGGCATATAATGTAAGGCAGAACAATTTTTAAACGCCCCGCAGTACGTGCATTCGTCATCTATATTGTCAAACATCATTTATTTGACCGTTTAAATTATCCGCATTAAACCAAAAATCATTACTGTCCAGTTCTGCTCGTTCGCTGGGGTCGTTATCACCGACGTGCCGTGTTTCGCCTATAGGCCTTATCGCCCTTTCGGTGCTTCGACGTATCTGGACCGTCTGCCTCGGCCCGCCGCGTAATAACTGTACGATTCAGGCGGGCAAACGTTTTACGCGTGCTCGTATTTACTAGACGATGACATTGAGTCCTTTAAGGACCTCATGAAGTCATTTGGGAGGTCCCAGGGCTCCGAACTTAGTTTTTTTTTAAAGATATAGGCGGTATCCGTTCAACGTCGAAATTTCTCTGTTCAATATAGGCTTATTTCAAGGTTCTTATTGAACGTCATAAACTACCACCGGTTCACTAAACTAGACCTGCCAGAGTAGAACTCACACACACATCCTTGTACTTAATGTATTCCTCAATAATCATTTCATTTACTCAATTGATAATTAAAGTCCGCATCATCAGCGGGTTAGCAGCCGCGTTGCCAGCCGTAAACATAGTTGACTTGGGTGCTAGACTCGATGTCATATGTGGCGGTGATCGACTGAAACTGTGGTACAGTTCTTCGCTGTTGCACGAATGGGCAGGTCCGTCCGGTTAAGTATCACGGCCTCACAGAAGACCGGGGTATAGTAGAAGTATTCACCTTGTAACATGGCAATATATCTGCAACCCTGTGTTGCAAATTTCAATAGGCGGTGTCAATCACTGAACATCTTTCTTCTTAATTTTACTCTGAAATTATATGTTATTAAAGTTTTTTCAGTTTATCATTTTTGCTCATTCTTGTATTTACCTAATACTGTGTGTAATCAGATACATGCATCAGAATTTTTATGGAAATCTTACTACTAAAAGGTTGAATGTATGAAAAGCGTTGTTGTTGAGGATGAGTACTCTTGATATGTTATAGTAATTCCCGAGCTACCTCCAGTGTTCACTCACTCAAATAGTTAAGACCTCGTCCTTTCGGGAAGTGGAAATCGCTATTTCTGGACTTAGTTTTAGACGTGCGCCTGTGCCAAAAGTTTCCGTGTAATCGACTCTAATAGAGGCTGATGCACTCGGTTCATGAGTTTCACGCATCCAGAATAGAGCACCGCTGGTAGGTAAGGACCGAATACGAACGTACGTCTTAGATTTGTTCATGTAAACGTCAATAAGATGACAAATAACCGAATTAAATGCTAGAAAAACAAGAGCAGCTCTTGTATGTATTTCGTGGTCAGCGCTTGAGTCAGTAACTTCATTATGCTTTATTTGTGTATCGTTTTATTTATTTATGTCTTATTTTAGATCATTCTTGATTTTTTTTTTTTAGATTCCCGACATATATTATAGATTCGAGCGGGGTGTGAATAATCGATTCCATTGTACGGTAACCGGTTACGCGTAGGTCGATTTGCTTCTAGTGGGTACAATTTAAGCAGTGAAATTTTTGTAATCGAATAATGAAGACGGTATTCTCTACTTTTGGGAAATTGCCATTGGTTTATTTTAACGTATGAAGGTGGAAAAGTATCTGGCGGCTCATTTTCCATCTTCTACCGCCGCCCTGAAATCCACAAAACCAGTGAGGCTACAGATGCGATACTTGGTTATAAAAAGGTGTATTGCGATCACTAGATTATCACTGGTTGTGCAAGTTTTTACGGTGGTGGGGCCACGCAGCAGCCTCGGCTGTTGCACGAATGGGCAGACCCTTCCGGGTAAGTACCACGACCTCACAGAAGACCGGCGTAAAGTGGAAGTAGGACAAATACTTTCGCGTTTCGTCTGGTGAGTGAGGTAGCCGGAGCCCAATTTTCAAAAGGTTGTCAATGCATAGACCCTCAGATGTCCATGTGCGGCGGTATTCACTTACCATCAGGTGAACCGTCGGCTCGTGTGGCAACTTTTCACATAAAAAAAATTGTGCGGGCAGTAGATGGATGCAGGTAGCTCAGGATCGTGTTTCGTGGCAGTCTGTGGGGGAGGCCTATGTTCTACAGTGGACTCAAACAGGCTGAAATGATGATGATGTTCATCTCATCCACCGAACGAAGCATATTAGTATAATATTTCCACTTTACCGCTCTTCTGTGGGCCGTGTGAGCTGCCCGTTTGGGAAAGAGCATAATCCACTGCGGGCTCTACCAAAGGAGACAGGAATTTATTGGATATGACGTGGGAAAAGGCGCGCGTGCTAAAACGGCGACGCAATAAGACACTTTATAGTAAGTGCAAAGGCAAAGACATCGTGTCACGAAGGAATAAGGGAGATGTTGTGAGAAATATTGAAAACATTCGTTTCGACAATCATTATGCGCGCGCCGTGCACGTCAAATCAAGTCGAATGCGTCACAAAGTGAAGGCGGTCGCGGTAGGATAACGCACTTTATCGCGAACACCACAAGGTTAACAATCGTCCGACAGGTTCAGCGCACGGCCACGCGGGACGAAGCGGCTGCCGGCGCCCACGCAACGCACTACCCGCGCGCGCTTTGTTTACGAGTGCGTTCTAAATTTAAAATTTCGATTCAGTCTCGTTTCGACGCGCATCGCGTGCAGACGTGCCGCGCGTCCGCCGCTTACTCTTTTGCGAAATCGTGCGACGTTCTCGTGCGCTGTCTCGTTCGTGTTGACATTTCCCGTTTTTCTGCGCAGTTTGTTTTCAGTTTGGCACGTGCCGATGATGGAGTCGAAGAGTTTGGCCGATGACGGTTGCGTAGACGGTAATTGTTTGTTATTCAACAATAGTGCGAGTACGTTTTTTCGCCCCGTTGGCGTGCGGTCCGATACGTCTGGCGCGTTTATCACCGCGCGAACCGGTCAATGCGGAGGCGGGTAAACACACCGCTAAATGTCGCCACCTTGTTTACATTACTGGGACCCGGGTACTGGAGTTTTGTTTGTTTTAGCACGCTTTCATTTGTTCAACATGTGCTTATGGACTGGATTGTTCAAATTCGATTTAATTTCGAACGGTTTTGAGTTCGAAGACGTTTGCCTCTCCATAATATAAAATGTACACCGAAATATAAAATAAATATATATACCTGACGGCCATCGCAGTAGGACGACTAGGTGGAGTGACGACCTGTGCAAAGGTGCGGGATGTCGATGGATGCAGGTGGCTCAGGATCGTGTTTCGTGGCGGTCTATGGGGGATGCCTATGTTCAGCAGTGGACTCAAACAGGCTGAAATGACGATGATGATACCAGCAATGGCGAAGTGGTGGACGGGCAAGGACTCGATGGAAAGTTAGAACTTTACTTCTTCAACAATTATCGGTTCTACGAGCTATATGGCCGGCCCATCAGCTCCGGCCACTTCAGCTTGCTAATTCAGCTAGTTCTGAGCTATTTCTATACCATCATCCGATCTTAAATACAAATAGGTTGGACAATTAGCGGACTTCTCGTCGTCACCTTTCATCATCTGAGTTTATGAGAGGTCTTTTTATGGTGCTCTGCACTTAAGATGAAACGTAAAAACCTCTAGAAAACAAATTTTCTTTTTCGCAATTTTGAAATTGGTAATTGTTGGTCTCCTCTTAAGGAGATAAAAATAGATGCGCCGAGCATTGCTTAAAATGCGAATAAAAAAATGTGTGGATAAAATACGTTGAGATTTTCGTCCGCGTGGCAGTAGGCCGTTTAGATTAGTGGTCAAAACGTCTGGTCGCGAATCCGGCGGACTCGGCATCGGTTCTCGCGGCATCGAAAAACATTTCGTCCAGTTTTTCTACAAATTTTAATGTGAGTGACATGTTATATTCGTTCTACGGCAACTATAACGTTTATTTTATTACTAATCTCTGGAATTAAAATTAAAACTCAAATTATGTCTTCTTCTTATTTCTCCTGCAACTCCACACTAGGTTTCTCGATACTGACCCTCTATCAGCCGTCATCTTAATACTAACACCTTTCACAGACATATCGTTCTTCAAACAGTCCATCCAATTTTTTCTCGGTCTTCCTCTTGCCTTGCATCCTCCAACAATATTCATCACTCTTCTAGTCACATGAATAACCATTTTTTTTAACGAAAAACAAAACCGGCTTTAAATATCTCGCCCCGTATGCATTTTATAATTGATTTTCAGGGGCTCGCCAAGTATCGCCGGAGCCCAAGATCCGGTACCAATGAAATTAATATAGGATCACATGGGCAGCGCCAGCTTTCAAATAATAAAAGAATCACCAAAATCGGTACGCTCATTCGAAAATTCCGAAGTAACAAACAAATAAAAAAAAATACAGTCGCATTGAGAAACTCCTCCTATTTTGATGTCTGTTGAAAAGTCAAAATTGTCGATAAATTTCGCTAACTCGCAGCCACTAAGCTAAACGGTCGACATTCTCAAGGCGCGAAAATCTCGACGTCTTCTTATCTACTTTGATTTTTATTGCAATATCAGCAAGTCAAAATTTTATCTGTGTATTTTTAATTTCACACAATTTAGTCACTGTTCGCCGATTGAAAAGAAATTTGTGGAAGTAGGTTACACAGAGCGAAATTGGCTGGTTCTTAGTCATATTTATTCTTGGTGTCTGTTTGCCCGTCTGTACCTTTGTCTTCGTTCCTTTGTGCTGTGTGTGTGTCTTTGTGGGGCTCTGTCGGTCACGGCTCGGAAATGTTTGCTTTTCGAGTTATCGGTCAGTTGGCACACTGTAATACATGGTCTGTTTATATATGGTCCATCATCACAGGGTGCCGAAAGATTTTATTCGACAGTTGTGGCCAGGTCGCCGGGGAAGAGCTCACAGAACACCGGCGCGAAGTGGTAGAGTTGTGTACTCCTGCGTTTCGTCTGGTGAGTGAGGTAGCCGGGACCCACTTTGTTGAAAGGTGGCAATGCGTCTGCAACCCTACGGGTGTTGCATGTGTCCATTACTTGACAACACGCGAGGCTAGCCAGCTTGTTACATTGAAAAAAACCCGACATCTAAAACGCTCAAAAAAGAAAAAAAAACAACGCAGGAAAGCAGACTTGCTACATGTATGACGACCCGAATGGCGTAGCGGGTGTACCTGCCTCCTGCGCCAGAGGGTGTGGGTTCGATCCCCACTACTGAGAAAATATTGTGTGATGAACATAGCGTTTTTCTAGTGTCTGGGTGTTTATATATGTAAAATATTTATTTTTTACAAAAGAAAAGTATGTTTAAGTATGTTTATCAGTTTTCTAGTACCCACAGTACACAATCCACCAGTACAGTACCAAACACTATATCCATCTATTACACTACACTATAAACATATATATAGACCATCTGTTGCTTCAGCACAGCCAAAGCTTAGCATGAGATACCGTCGAGGTAACAGCACGTCGAATTTCAAATCAATCTGATCTGTAAAAGTTTGTGAGATATATTTTCTCAATTATGAAATGAGCTGATGATTATTCGAACGACCAAACATATTTGTTGGGGTGACCTTCGATAGACAGCGGAGCTGGTCTGGATTTTCGTCTGGGTCTCGAATAGTCTTGTGGATCAAAGAGCACTCACCTTCAACCGTCGTTGACGAGTCGCCCTCGTTCCTTGCACAGCCGGCCGAATCAGCACTGCTTTATTACCGGGACCACCGCAATTAACTTTCTAGCTCAAGGAATCAAATGTCCGGACAATAATTAGTGAAATCGAAACTAGTTGCAAGAGATGTTGCGCCGCCGCCGTTCAACCGATGAATAGCGAATAACGTGTAGCGAACGGGAATGTTCATTCGCTCTTCTCGCTCAATTCGAGTCTCCGAATGAGGCCTTTGTCCACAAGACCACAAAACCAGCCGAAACAATATTCATAAATTATAGCTAAGAACCATGAAACAAAACCGCATCGTAATTTGGCCATCCTTTTAAAAGCTGACAGAGACAGACAGACGCGTTAAAAAGGAGTACAATTAATCACAATAATCACAAAAAAAAATGAAGGAGTATAATTAATCGAATAAAATGTATCCAATAATACTATGACATACAAACGTAAGTTCAGTCCGGTTCGCCCTATGCACGGATGCTTTAACGTTTGTAACTTTGGCTGATTAAATTTAAGGTACCATGCAATCCTCTAACCCTGCAATAAATAACGATCAAGCAGAGATCCCGGCACTCTCGGGCACCCTCGAATCGGAATGCTAAACGGTCGTTTAGCATAAATCCAAGCTTAGGTCATCCCGCAGACCCTTACTACTAGCTACTTGCCTAGTTACACCACGGCGCGTCCCCCAAAGCGACCTAAGTGCTTGGCGTCATCCCAATCCGGTACTAATAATAATAGCGTGACGGTCCGAGCCGAGGCTTCCTCGGAAGCCCTCGAGCCCTCGAAAAAAAGTAATGTATCAGCCTATATATGTCCCAAGCTGGGCAAAGGTCTCTCTACAGAGGGTATCAGGGCATACGACGCGGCCCCACTGCGGATTGGCGGACTTCACATATTTTCGATATGTTTTTTTTTTTGTTATTATTTCGAAAATAGGGAGGGTTCCTCAAGATGTTTTCCTTCACCGCGGAGCACGTGATAAGTCAGCACTTAAAGTTAAAAACTTCATCGGTGCCGGCATCAGGGATCGAACTCGGGTTGCTTGAGTATATTGAGTTAAAAGCGAGCGTCCGGACACTGAGCTATCACGGCTCGAGCCCTCAGCGCCCAATGGATCTGAAAAGACCTTCTAAGAGTCAACAGTGAATGACCCAATCCAAACATGTAATCTTCAAATATAGTATCGCTTAAAATGTATAGAGTTCGCGTGAACACACGGAATCGTCTTTGCAAAGATAACCTAACTTAACCTTCGCGAGAAAACACACTTGATTACATAACCGCGTCGTTTTTAATGTTTAAAACCGTCACATTATAAAAGATTACGTCGAGTCGAAATAGAACCGAACGCGATTTTGGATGTCGAAAAACGAGTAAATCCAGTTTTCTCTATTTTTATGCAGTCTCTTATGGAGATGATCGTCTACTCTCTATTCGATTGTGGTGAAGCAATTCGTTGATAGGTTTGCTCTGTGACATGCCGATTGATTTGGGGTTCTGACGCCCGGTTTCTGGAACACTGCTTATCATAGATGTTAAAATCAGCTGTCAAATGGCTTTGCAAATGTCATTTTAGTTGCCAAAAGGATAGTTCGACTCTCTCAGTAGTTTGAGTTTGGAAATGCTCTTGGTCGTCACCTATACGTATAAATAAAAATGGAGTGTCTGTTTGTAATATTAAAATAACTGATTTTTACTAAACACATATTAATGTATACACGGAATTTTGGTCTGTCTGTCTGTTTGTTCCGGCTAATCTCTGAAACGACTGGACCGATTTTGGCGGGACTTTCACTGGCAGATAGCTGATGTTGTAAGGAGTAACTTAGGCTGCTTTTATTTTAGAAATTTTATTTATATTAAATTGCCCACGGACGAAGTTGCGGGGCACAGCTAGTTTTATATAATACTAGCTGGTGCCCACGACTTCGTTTGCGTAGGATTAGTACTTCGAGTAGCTTGTTTTCTTCTCCAAGATTCCATATATTATTTATACAAATAATTGTTCAAAATCGGTTGCGCGGATTGGTCGTGAAGGCGTACCAGACAGACGGAGTTATTTTAGAGACTCTTGTATATTTTTGAATTATAGCCTGTGTTATTCTGATGTATAAGTTGTAATATTGTAAAGTTTCATTAAAATCCCTTCTATTGTATTTCCGTGAAAGTGTAACATACACCCATACAAATTAAAATTATTTATAGTGCTAATCTTTGCACTTAAGATTGAACATTAAAATATGTAGAAAAAGTGCGAAAAGATTACTTTTCGACACACTTTTCGCACTTTTTCTACATATTTTAATACACCCATACATACAAACTTTCGCGTATATAATATTAGTAACTATTTAGGGATATTTATGAGGATATTATTAACTCTCCGAGCATGTGTCGTTAGGGTTATTTAGATGGCAGATTTAATTAGAATCAAGTAGTCCCATTTTTACTTACATATTTGAGACATTTACAAATACTTTGTAGAAGAGTGTTATTTGCATTGAATATTCATAAACTATACAATCCTTTTTACAATTCCTTTTTAGGATGAAATTAATAGTGAAAAACCATCTTAACTTTTATTTATTAATTAACTTCGCACGGGTGCAATGTAGATATCGAATTTCTCTGATGATTTATCTGAATTTGAATCTTCCGCTTGAATCACTCTATCTATTGCTGAAAAAGTTGGTCGCTTTGCAAACAACATATCATGCCTCTTTTTGGCTGTCGGTATACTCGCGCATCGTAAAAATTTCACTCTCATAACTTTATTCCAAACGCGCAGAAAGAAGTATTACTCCAAAAAGTATAGTACAGAATTGAGAACGTCCTCCCTTTTTGAAGTCGGTTAAAATACATATTACAGATAGAACAGATAATAGGTAAAGACTATATTCATATCAAAATATTTTTCCCGTGTTGTCAAACCCGACAGACAGTTTTATTGTCGTCTTCTTCATTGGGTTACGTATATTTATTAAAGTTTAACGCATTGGAATGAATTAAACTTAGAATGGACTGCGCTTTCACGGTAGATTTATAATCCAGCACAAGTTGCCTTATGTACGTATCCTTTTAAATTAACAATTTCGATACCACCGAGCAGCCGATGTCGCGGGCCAAAGCTAGTCCCGTAATAAACGCCCTAGCGTGCTCATGCATCCGTCGCGTGTTTAAAAAAAAAACAAATAACCGGAAGTCGGCCATTTTGGCGCAACGACACTGCTTAACGCCGACGCGATTTAATAGACTAATATTTCAGTTCAGATTTTATCGACACTATTCATTTATCGGCCGGTGCCTCACTACCATTTCGACCGGTAAAAGGGTCCTTCACTATGTAAAGAAAAAAGGGATTCGCGTATTAGTTGTTGTAGTTATTGACGCCAGTATACTTCGGCAAGTGTACGAAGCGTCCAGAATTAAACCTGATGATGTAAATTGAACGATAATGTAGAATAAGTTAATATTTTTAGCACGCATTTTTACAGAATGTTCTCGAGTCCCAAACTAAGATGGATAGCAGATAACTGATAAACTTATTTAAACACCCAGGCACTGGAAAAACACCATGTTTATCATACAACATTTTTCCAGTAATGGGGATTAAACCCACACCCTCTAGCCCGAGGCATTTTTACTACCCACTACGACAATCGGGTCGAGTTATATTACGAGGTTGGAGTTTTTCTCTATATTCAGCCTCTACTTCTCTCATTCTCAATCTCTCTTTCTCTTCCAGAATCGTGGGTGGAGTTGAATTCCGGCGGCGGTCTCGCCGCGGTGGAGAATGAGTACATCCGCCTGCTGAGGGAGGCGCAGAGGGAGAGCAGGGACTCGTCCGTGCGCCACTCCAGGGCCTCCAGCGTAAAGGGCAGGTGGGTTACTGCGTCCCTGGTCCTAAGATCTGCAAAGCGTTCCCCCTCCTAGAGCTCCCTCAGCTGTTTCTTAGAGAAAGATAGTTGCGTCGAACTCCCTGGTGCTTGGGTGGTAAATCTGCGAAACGTTTCCCCTCCTAGAGGAAGACAGCTGTTTCTTAGAGAAAGATAGTTGCGTCGAACTCGCTGGTGCGAGGGTGGTAAATCTGCGAAACGTTGCCCCTTCTAGAGGGAGACAGCTGCTTCTGAGAGAAAGATACTTGCGTCGAACTCCCTGGTGCTAGGGTGGTAAATCTGCGAAACTTCCCCTTCCAAGAGGGAGATAACTGCTTTCCTGAGGAAGATAGTTGTGTCGAACTCTACCAACTTACTCTTTTATTACGTCAGTGCATTTATAGGGGTCCGAAGACCTGATAATAGTGCCGTTCTCCTCTGCACTGAGCATACGTGTAATATAGGAATGACAAATCATTTGATCCCAGGGGCGTGCCCAAAGCTCCTTATGCTTTCTTAGTACTTAGACAGTGGTATGCGATCATGACAACAGAATTGACCCAAGTATTAGAGGAACAAAAACCCTTTAGTACTTAGACAGTGGTATGCGATCATGACAACAGAATTGACCCAATTATTAGAGGAACAAAACCCTATAAGTAAGCAACATCGCCATCCGAACCATAGACCGCTTTACTCAGTCCCAGTCGTCTCTGGCATGTGGAACGATAGCTGATTATGCTTTCCTAGTACTCAGACAGTCGTATGATATCATCTAGTACAGATTCGACCCAAGTGTTACAGGAAGAAAACCCAATAAGTTAGCAACATCGCTATCTGAACCAACGAGCGGTTTATAGGAGCCTAGTACCTTTTTTTTTTGGATCGGTCCAAGATCCTACTATACAAGAATCGTACCATAAAAACCCCAAAACAAATTCGGATTAAAAAAAAAAGAATCGTACCACTCCCACTGGGTTTGAAAACTTACTAAACGATCACGACGAACCGTGACAGGGTAGTAAAGATGCAACTAGTGCCAAGTCTGACTAGTCGAGTTGTTTGTAGAGAGTAAGAGAGATCTTCGCCACTAATTCGACATCAATCTGTTTATCTATGACGTCCTGGTACTTTCCTAGTGCAACCGGCGCATTGTGTTATTTTGTATTATATTTACGTATTATATGGCGCTTAATTCTTGTTATCGTAAATAGGTTAAGTTAATATCACAAGCCCCGGTATGAAGGTCGTCTGGCCCCACTTATTATGTATGCGATTTAGATATCCATTGTTCTACGAAGACAATGACAAACTCTTAGTGATGGCATCGATACCGTCATATCGATATCGATCTTATTTACTTTTTCATTATTTTTATTAATAAAATTTTCTTTCCATATTTGTATAAAAAGAACAACTGTTGTTTTCTTTGTCAGTTATATAGATCGTACGATAATGAATACATACAGATATAATGTATTCTTTAAGGACCAAATATTATTTATTCTCCGATCCATCAATGCAAAAAAGTATATTTTTATTAACCGAAAACAAACCGGCTTCAGATATTTGAATCACTATATACATTTATATTTTATTATGAGGATTTCCATACATGGGAGCTGAACCGAGCCTAATGCTAGAAGCATTTTTAAAATCTGTTCATACATGAATAGATGAATAGAACCGAATTGAGAAACTCGCAAGTCGGTTGAAAATGTTTTCGATCCATTGGCTACAAGGAAATCAAAAATCATCACATCTTTAAAATTAGTGAGAATTTTTTAAAATTGGTTAGTGATTTATTTCTGAACTTAATATTCCTAATGCCCACTCCTCTATACGATTGACGTAGGTCAATGTATGTACTAGGAGAACAGGACGCGTAGAGATAACATTTCTGCCTACGCGTCCGCAATGATTGAACACTTGTCTCTCCACAATACTGTCACGCACACATCCGCACACCACTAGATGGAGTGACGACCTATGGAAGTGTGCAGGAGGTCAATGGGTGCAGGTGGCCCAGGATCGTGCTTCGTGGGGTATTCTATGTCCAGCAGTGGACTCAAACAGGCTAAAATGATGATGATGATCTATTTTAACCACATCGATTAAATTCCACCAGTAATAATAACTCATATGCGTAGGACTCTGCCGGCAGATTGTAGTCGCAATAAAAAGCAGCCTAGATTTAGAAAAATTATCCGTCGGCAAATTGCCAGAGGCATAAAAAACACGCGCCTGTTTGGATCTAAGAAACAGGATTTTTTTTGTAATAATACTATTTATATGCAAGCTTGTATGATGCTTTTCCCGTTTTCTAATTTCTCCCTCGTTGCTATTTTCTTTCACGCAGCAACGTAGTTTTGTGTTGAGACTTTGTTATGTGAGAAAACTGGCGGTTCACGTGATGTTATGTTGATAACCGCCGCCCTAGGCCATACGCAACAGCCGTGGATCAGCTGATGCGTTGCCACCGTTTAATAAAATGGGCTCCAGCTACCACGCTCACCTGACGAAACAGCACATACTTCGGGTTTTATGTGAAGGCGTTGTTCGTCCCCGCACGCGTCTTCTGCGTGGTCTATGACACTTCATTATAATTTATTTTATTGTCAAAATCCAATGTTTTAAATTACATTCGTACTAGCTTTAAAATTAACGACACCGACCCGTCGGCTCGGAACCCGCACGGCCTTGGCAACCCGACACCGTAACCGATACCATAAAGCTCGTCGGGTATCAAAAGGTTCGCGGTCGAAACTGGACACCCGTCGTCGGGCTGAAAAAACCGCGAGAGGTCACGGGCTCTGCGACCTTGTTGCAACTGATAAATCTACCACTGTAGAAAGAAGTGTCATAGATAGGAATGCACCAAGTTCTTAGGTGATGTGGTATTGTTTGTAGACGTTTCACGGTGGTAGGGCCACGCAGCAGCCTCGGCTGTTGCACGAATGAGTAGGCTCGTCCGGGTAAGTACCACGACCTCACAGAAGACCGACGTAAAGTGGAAGTATAATACTTTCGCGTTTCGTCTGGTGAGGTGGCCGGAGCCCAATTTTCAAAAGGGTGTCAACACATCTGGGACCCTCGGGTGTAGCAGATGTCCATGGGCGGCGATATTTAATTAACATCAGGTGAACCGTCTGCTCGTTTGGCAACTTTTCACATAAAAAAAAAAACTATCTCGATTCTTTGCCCTGTATTATATTTTTACAGTCTTACTAAACTGTAAACGCAGTACGTAAATATAATTGGAAGTGACTGATATTCTAATAAAAATGGTGGCACTATAATACATCCTTGAAGCACTCCCGACTTATTTGCAGTATGTTAATATAATTTTACAATATAACATCGTTTATGGACTACGATGAGTGGGAGCAATTAAAAAAGGATTATTGAATGAGTCTTTATCTCATCTACTAATTTTGTAAATGTCTTTAGGTTCGCTTTGAGTATATCCTTTGCCTAAACTAACTTACATGCAAAACGTTTGCTTGCATATGTTAGTTAGTAAATGTGCCATGTAGGGTTATATTAATACGCACAAATGCATGACATAGACTAGACGTTGCAACAAATCGTTAGAGAGCACCGGCAATTGCCAGAGTGCGTAATAGCGAGTGCGTTGCACGATAAATGCATTCGTGACAGCGGTCACGTATCTACTGCGGATCTAGACGCGATTGAGAAAGCTGTCGCCGGTCGGATGATCCGCGGTTGCGATGCGTTTCTATAAAAGAAATGCGTTCGCGGATCTTTCATGTAACTGTCTATGACAAACCATACACTTTACATTGCCTCTGCCGAACATTTGCAACAACAACGTTTGTAGGGATCCCTAACCTTTGATGTCCTGTCTTTCGGGTACCTCAAACGCAGCGCGGAACGCAAAAGTGTGATATAAAAACAGGCAGTTTTTTTTGTGAAGTGGTACTTCTTGAGTAGAGAGCACTAGAAAGTATTACTTATTTTTTATGTGAGAATGTTTCAAACGAGCTGGCGGTTAATTGATGTTAAGTAACCTAACCGCCCAATTCCTTTAGAAAATTACAATGGCGTTCCCACCTATAAATAAAGTGGGCCCCGGCTACCTCACTCACCAGACGAAACGCAGAAGTATGAAACTTCTACTTTACGCCAGTCTCCTGTGAGGTCGTAGTACTTACCCGGACGAACCTACCACCGTCTTGAAAGTGAATTTAATATAGTTGGTTGTTAAGGTCTATGTGGAAAGGTGGTAATCGGTTAGTACGTTCACCTTATATTAAAAGGGCTACTTCAGCCCATGAACAACTACAACAGCTGCGTCACATTCACTTTAACACTTGAGAGCTTGGATTGTTGTGATTCCATTCAGTGCTTAAAATCTAATTCTTGCGCCCGGTTTCTGAAACACTGATCAACGTAGATGTCAACTAATCAGCTGTCAAATGGATTACAAATTTCATTTTTGTTGCCAAAAGGATGTTTAAACTCTTTGAATTGATCATTCTGATCATAAAGAAGATCATTCTGGTCAATTCAGAGAGTTCAACAATCCTTTGGGTAGCTAAATTGTAATTTGAAATCCATTTCGACAGCTGATTAGTCGACATCTACTTTGATCAGTGTTTCAGAAACCGGACGTTAGTGTCTGCTTATACAAGTAGCCACAGCAGTTAGCATTATGTGTTTATTGGACGAAGCACATTTCTTATATCCGTTTAAATAACTGGTTATTACGCTAATTGCAGTCCGATGAATCACGTGCTTAATGTTTGAAGAAAATGTCGTAAGACAATGCACCTGCTTGTGTTATTCGACTGATTGTTCTTGGGGTCGACATATCGATAGTGCTATTGCTATTTATTTATTTTTTATATATTTATTAGGTCTGCCAGTAGATGTTACATTAAAACCAATATTACATGAAACATGAATAAATGTTACAACTAAATGTACATCTAATTGAGAGGCAAACACAGCACGCTTAAAAATTAAAACAAAAAAATTAATAAAAATTAAACGAAAGTGTGAACAAAGTATCGTTAGAATTACTTATTACTAAATAAATTAAAAAGATTAAAAAAAATAAAAAGCAGATTGTAATTTTATAAGGCAAGACAAAAAAGAGTAAAATGTATGAAGAAATTTAAGTCATGTGGTATATGGTATTTTTATAAATGACAAATGTTAGGTTAGGTTCTATAGAAGAGCCTTAACTGTTTCTAATGTCTGCTTTGTAACTTTTATATAGGCGACAGTAAAATCAATTAGGACTCTACTGATTTGACCCAAAAATGGTAGATAGAGAACAAATCCGAACCGTTGCTGAAGTTTGGATTGTTTGTTATGGACGGTAATCGGAAAAGTAATGATTTTACACGCACATCCTAGTCTACTTTTAAATATAACGAGCTAAAAAATAATCATCATCATTTCAGCTTGTTCGAGTCCACTGCCGAACATGATACCCCATAGACACCTGCATCCATGCACTTTCCGGATATTTGCACAGGTCGTCACTCCATCTAGTTGGAGCCCGTGCTACATTACGATAGCCAGTACGTGGCCGCCACTCAAGAACCTTTCTTTCACATCGGTTATGGGTGCTACGAGCTATATGGCCGGCCGCTCGCAACTTCTGCTTATTAATCTTCTGAGCTATGTCGGTTATTCTTGTTCTTCTGTGGATGACTTCGTTGCGAACTCTATCATGCAGTTATATATCAAGCTTAGTCCATTAGGCATTAAGAAATAAGCCCTTAAGAAATTCTTTGTCGTTCCATATCCGTTCCAAATCCCACAGCGGCGACAATCTATTCGTACTTTTTCTACAACTTTTAATGTTCTTTGTCGTTGCTAAAGTGGAGGTATTAGCATACACTCTTAAGGGACCGTTGCTCTTTAGATGAGGAGGCACCTTTTGCTCAGCAGTTTGATTATATATTGTGGATAGATTATACATTATGTACAGGTAATCACCACATTTATGCATTAAGCCATTTGTTCCTAGTTTCCTTTTTGTCAACAAGGCATTTGGGATTCCAAGGCTTGAGGAAAGTTGATGCAATTCGTAAGCAGCTTTAGTTATGTCTCGCGTAGCTGCTAACCTTAAGCTTCAGCGTTCCGGTTCGTGTGTTCGTTCGGTGACCAGTGTTTTGTATGATCTACAATTATAATAAAATCTAATTATCCAACAGTTTTTGTAAAATTACGTTCCAAAATAAATTGGATAGACGTAGGGCGAAGAAGAGTATTCGCTTTGTAATCTCAATGGCGATTTGCGCGTTGTCCACAGCCCGAAGTCTCCGCCGAACAGTCCGAACCTGGAACCGTCAACGGAAGACGAGCTTAAAGGCGTCTACATCAACTGCTGGAGGGTGAGACGTTGCTTGCTAACTTTCCGAATACTTGAGTCGATACTTGAGCCCGCCACTTCGTCCGTGTGGATTTTAAATAATGAAATTGCTAAAATAAAAGTAACCTAAGTTACTCTCTTATTACATCAGCTATCTGCCAGTGAAAGTCCCGTCAAAATCGTTCCAGCCGTTTCAGAGATTGGCCGGAACAAAGAAACAGACAGACAGGCAAAATTTGTAAAAAATGTTATTTTGGTACTTGTACAGTATCTTACAGCATTTAGTAAAAAGCGGTTATTTTAAAATTACAAATACATGGTCACCCCCATATTTTTTTTACCTGTATAGATTTTCCCTCGTATAATATATACCGTGAGTACATCCATATGCATATAGTAAAAAGCGGTTAATTACAAACAGACACTCCAATTTTATTTATCTGTACATAGATTATCCTTAAAATAATAGAGAGGTATCACTACCCATCACTGCGCTGGTGTTAGCAATAGTTTTTACTCAAAATATTATTTAGTGTAATTTGTTTTCTTTGAAATACATGTAGCATAACTTTATTCTGTGTTGCAAGACCTTTTGCAAACATAAATTTCACGAGGACAAACACCCAGATCGGAATCAATTATCTGTGGGTACACAAATAGTTGGCCCGTGTGGGAATCGAACCCACGACTTCGAGCGCCGAAGCCAACACCTTGGCAACTGTGCCGCGGAGTCATCATACTCCTACGGGTGATAGGGCGCCCGATTTAAAATCGATATACTACAATAACTTGAGTTCAGATCCCAGTGCTGGGCACCGATAAAACGGTTGCTTCCAATTTCAAGTGCTGATTTATCTCGTGCACTTCGATGTAGGAAAACATCGTGAGGAAACCTGGACCCTAAAAAGAAAAAAAAATTGAAGAACCTTAGGATGGAGCCGGGTAGTGGACTATGCCCTTATGCTTTCTGTACAAAGGAGGCCTTTCCCTTAATACCCACTGTACAGAGGCCCTATACCCTAAAAACCCTCTATACAATGGAGGCCTTTCCCCTAATACCCTCTGTACAGAGGCCCTATGCCCTAATACCCTCTGTACAGAGGCCCTATGCCCTAATACCCTCTGTACAGAGGCCCTATGCCCTAATACCCTCTGTACAGAGGCCCTATGCCCTAATACCCTCTGTACAGAGGCCCTATGCCCTAATACCCTCTGTACAGAGGCCCTATGCCCTAATACCCTCTGTACAGAGGCCCTATGCCCTAATACCCTCTGTACAGAGGCCCTATGCCCTAATACCCTCTGTACAGAGGCCCTATGCCCTAATACCCTCTGTACAGAGGCCTTTGTCTAGCTAGATACTTAACTTGCTTTTATAAACGTTTTCTTCTCCTTTCAGGATGACTCCAACGACTGGGTGTGGGAGTGGAGTAGCAGGCCCGACCAGTTACCGCCCAAGTGAGTCACTTATGATTATACAATTGACCCGAATGGCGTAGTGGGTAGTTTACCTGCCTCCAGCGCCAGAGGGTGTGGGTTCGATCCCCACTACTGGAGAAATATTGTGCGATGAACATGGTGTGTTTCTAGTGTCTGGGTGTTTTTATATGTATAATATGTGTTTATTTGCAAAATAAAAGTATGTTTATCAGTTGTCTAGTACCAATAGTACAAGCGTTGCTTAGTTTGGGACTAGAGAACGTTGTGTAGAAATGTGTCCTAAAATATTTATTCATTTATTATTACAATTACGAGAAAGACTTGTCTAGCTAGAATAACTCTTGACATATGCGTTATCATATCTAACGATCTGTAGTCGTTGACGGTACTCACTACACGACCTCATCGACATATGTGTGTTGCGTTTATGTGCCACTGCTTTTTTTTGTGAAAAGTTGGCAAGCGATCTGATGGTTCACCTGATGCTAAGTGATTACCACCACCACTAGACATCAACAACATGACGACACAACAACACCCGTGGGGTTGCGTACCCACCTTTTGATAAAGTGTGCCCCTGCTACCTCACTCACCATACGAAACGCAGAAGTTATAACACTTCCAGTTCACGTCGGACCTCTGTGAGGTCGCGGTACTTAACCGGACTTAATTTGTAATAGCTAGCCCGTTATTACAGCTATACAGTTTACAATATAAAATACCGGTATGATTTAAGACTATTATACCGCTATTTTATATTGCAAACTGGTATATTTGAAAAAGAGCAACTGTTGAATTTCTTGCCGGTCTCTTCTCAACAGAAACCGCTTTCCGGAACGGTGGTACCTTACGAGCCTCTATGTGTAATTTTTTATGTAAAATTTGACGTTTCATAAGAACGCGCAAGCGTCTATTTGAATAAAGATTTTTGATTGATTGATTGATAATGTCCAAGAATACATCGAGGACGGGGATGTCTCGAAATGACTACTCTTCTGCACTTGCAAGACCACCGAGAAAAAAAAAAGAAAAAACAAAACAACAAAGAAACAAACAAAAAATGAAAAGAGAATAAGACCGCAGAGTTTCTTGTCGGTTCTTCTCTATTCGGGTCTAGTTTAGTGGACCGGTTTTGACGTTCAATAATTGCTTAAGTTAAGCCTATATTGAATATTTTGACCTTACAGGGATTGGCGGTTCAAGCACCCGCAGAGCGCCCGGGGCCCGCCCTCGGCCACCTCCTCCATCGAGGTGCTGGAGCAGCAGCTGGTCGCGCCAGTCATGCAGCAGGTGAGGCTACCACCGCCAGTGACATATTCCACGCGCCGGGGAGCCCCCGACTTGTGAACTCGACGAATGGAGGGGGAATCCCCAGCCTGTTAGTGTTGGCCTTTCCAACCCTCCTCTCAAAATGAAGGGCAAATTTATTAGCTAATAAACTATTTTAATGATTCCAGCCATCCCATTAGCATGAGTGCTACAAAATTCGTTGCGAACCAATAATAACTTTGAACGCGACCAAATACCTAAGATTTCATATTCTTTCAACATGTCCTAACATAAAAAAAACACTGACTACTGCGAGCGAGCTTTGTTTCATCCTAACACATGTAATTAAGCAATAAATATAGAAGAGGGCGATGGTAAATTTAGTTTCTACAAACCCCCACAAAATAGTAGCGAATCAAACTCGATCCTTTTTAACCGACTTCAAAAAAAGAGGTTTCTCAATTCGACCGTATATATATATATATATATTTTTTATGTGTGTTTGCGGATAACTTCGTCGTTTATGAACCGATTTCGGTGATTGTTTTTTTTTTTGTTGGAAAGGAGATATCCAAAGAGTGGTACCATGATCAGGAAACCCGGATCTGATGATGACATCCCAGAGAAATCGAATGCAATCCTCAAATGTTATAGGCATTATTAATGTTTTTTAGTTTACGGTTTGAAGTCGGTTTTTATTTGTAATAAATGAAACGATAAATTGTTGTTAATGAAACGAAATGTATGACCTTCGCAGAGCCATTGCCTCTCCGTCCGCCGAACTTGCCTGTTCAGCCGGGGCGCCATAGCCGCGGTGCTGGTCACCAACATCGTGTCGCTGCTGCTCGGCGCCGGCATCGGGTGAGTGGAGTGACCCGGCGCATGTCCACATGACATGTGTAAACATCGCCCCTCGACATGCCAAACATCACATCCCGACATGTCAAAACATCTCGAGTCTTTAAAAAACTGTTCTCTTTCTTAGAACAATAGCAAAACCTGCTTTGAGAGTATATATAACGTGAATCATTTTGAAATTACTACATAGCCTTGCAAGTGGCACGATAACACTATAAATTGCGAAATGCGACGAGCACATATCTACATGTAAAGAGCACGTTGCGACATGCAACATGTTCCAATTATAAATGAGAACATATATACTACAATTGTCGTTGCTTGTGGCGTTCTAAGGGAAGGCCTATATACAACAGAGTACGTCTTGTTACAAATCCTTACTAATATTATAAAGGCGAAAGTTTGTATGTATGGATGGATGTTTGTTACTCTTTCATGCACATACTGCTGAATGTATTGTTATGAAACTGTACAATAATATAGCTCATACATCAGACTAACACATAGGCCATAATTTATATACATATTTTTATGTATATTTGTCTTTCTGTCTGAATGTTACGCCTTCAGCCTATTCTACGCAGGGCGGCAGCTAAGTAGAACATACGTACATCACAAGTGTCGTTGGTTGTGGCTTTTGAAAGGGGATGCCTTTGTTCAAGACGATGTTTTAATACGACCGACAGCCTGCCTGACGTCAACACAGGGTGTGTTGACGTCAGGCAGGCTGGCATTGAGAAATAAACACCCACATCTGGAACAATTATCTGTGGGTCACACAAATACTTGTGCCGTATAGGAATCGAACCCAGGACCATCGACGCCGAAGCCAATATACATATATTATAATGATTTCTTTAATTAGGACCTAACCTACCCAAAGGCACAATCTAATTAACGGATCTAATTATCATAGATTGTTGTGCGACGGTACGAATTTACCTATAGTATTGAGGTAGTATTTAGTTATCATACAAGGTGTATAATACTCCTTTTTCGTCTCATTCGCAGCGTGTGGCTGAGCAAGAAGGGAATGCTGCCGCCCAGACTCATCGTCCTGAATTAGAGCGCGCATATCAAAGACTGAGTTGGTTGGGAACATTAAGATAGGTCAAGTGCGACGCGATCCTGCACCTTACGGCTACAGACATAGGGCATGAATTCGCATGTATACACAAACTGTCAAAATATTCATAAGTTTCAACTAACCGAAGGTCACATGTGGCATAATTATTGTTCAATTATTTTTTGGTACACGTGAAGTAGGTGAAAATTGTAGAGAACTCATAGACGATGTCGTCATGTTAACATGCGGAGACATCTGAGTAGGCATTTTTCTTTCATTGTGTTGCCACAGCGAAAAAGTAATTTTAAAATGCCTTTTATCAATAAATTGGTAACACCGGTCGTAGCGAGACCTATGTTGGTGAGTGATAGAGGTATGTACATCTTCAGACTGTTTACAGGTGGTTCAATGTGAAAGTAAGCAATACGCATATATATATTAATATTTAAAATTTTTAGACGGTAAATATATTCTATATATTTTATTTATGATCGATCGATTACAATGTGATAATATGGCATTACTAAGCGGTGATAAAGATTCGAAATTATTTAACTAGTGGAAGTTTTAATATAAATATAGCCGGCACTTTTATATGTATGCATAATAAATGCCTTTTTATATAGCCTTTATAGAATAATACTTGCTGCACAATCACTGAGTACAATAATTTATATTAGCTCGGCGAATCTCCAATTACAAGATGACTACAAAAAAAAAGAAAACTATTTATTTCTATTGTACTAAATATCTTCCGACTCGGCTGAATCGGTAGAGCGGTCTTTGTTCGGTTGCTTTTTTTTTTTAAATTAAAAGCTGTCAGTGTCGCTTGTGATTGGCGGTTCCGGTGTGTCGGAGCACTGAGTTTTCTTTTTCTAGCCGTTAAGGTTTAAGATCGCCTTACGTATAATCTAGCTTGACCTAGTTTAGGTTATAGGAAGCCCACGGTTTGTTTGACTTTGATATGAGAGGCGACATTTTTTAAGGGGTTGTTTTAATGAAAAAATATGTCTGTAGGGTAACATAAGTTATTTGCATTTGAGATAAACTTACTTTGGGGCGATCGTTAATGAAATAAATTAGTATCAAAACAAAAGTACGGGAAACTAACGAAGCATATGTTTTGAAAAATTAAAAAATGCCACTCTCTTATCAATATTAAACAAACCTAACTAGGGCCAGTTTTGTATTTGATATCAATATTATCCGTTGTAATGAAAATAGCATTTGGTCATCCCGATTGCTCTGTTAGTTCCAGTCGAGAGCCGTTTAAAAATAGCAAATAAAGTTGCTCAAAGATGGCGGGGTTTAACGCATTGTAATGTCATTGCGTGACACATTGCAAGCGTAACTTTTTATACTTGCTTGGTAAATATGCAATAAAACATTTTATATTGTGTTGTAAAAGGTATTGGATAAAATACTCGACTCCTAAAATAAAATAGCAGACGTTTCGAAAGTAAACAATTACTTACTAAGTAAAATGTTGCCATTCTCACACAGGCACAGATAAGAAATGCCATTGCGTACAGACTGGAAAGAGGATAAATAAGTTATGACAAAAATGTAAAAAAAAAAAATTTTATACTTTTATTACTATTCATCATTTTAGTCGGCTTTATTCGTTAATGTGGATTTGTCCGTCGCTGATTTTTGAATCAATAATCATTTATTAAAGGTAGATTTTTTTAACCTTTATATTCAGAACTCGAGGTCTTCCAAAGTCGCGATATTTTACTACGATCTCGTCGCTTGTAATGGAAATTCTACGCGTTTTAATAGTTTCGCATGATAGCTTGTGACTGCAGAACAAAACGGTGAAACAAAACGTTATAATCTCTGTCGCGACATAGTTTTCTTTCGGCAAAGTATAAAGGTCTTGTTACCGGGGCATAAAATATTTATTAAAAAAAAAAATTATCCAGCAATGACGAACTAAAGCTGACAAATCACTCACTTCTTCATCATAATACGTTAGTTGTATTTTTTATATCTTTGCCTTCAAGTACTTCGGAGGAGCTTTAGAAGTAGCATGTTTTATAGTCTCTAGATTTATTATTATACTGAGAAAGCTAACATTTTCGTCAGTTGTACACACAGACACCTTAAATAAAAATGTTTATTTAACTATCTTCAAAATGATAAATTATTCGTAGAGAAATCTCGTCGGAGCCACTCTGGAATTAATACATAGTTTTAACTGTATAATCGAATCTTATGTAGAAACTATTCAAACATTTTTTAATACTTACTGTTCGAGAAGTGCCACACATTTTTGTTCCAAATTATACCGTATCATGAACGTTTTGTTGTAAAATAAACATTAATTAAAAGAATGGCTTTCGTTTAAATATAGTGAGATTTAAATTTAAGCTGTCTGTCTGTATAGTTCGCTTTTTGCAAAGAAATTTGGGAGCACTTCACAAATTCCAAAATAATTTATTTGTAACAGATTTTTTTGTTTTCGATAATATACCTGGTGTATCGCAGGTCTTAGTGTTAAGTTTAACTTTTTGTGTTTAAATTAAATTGAAAGAATTATATATACGTTTGTAAGTTTGATAATATTTGTTCATTTTTTTTTCTTTAAGTTGGATTCGCTAGATGTCATTTTAGTTTAATGTTTTTTTAATCTGTTGACCTTCCCGCGTCGCGGCATTTTGAGCGAACCGTCAAAATATTTTTTGTATTCTATATTATAAGCTAAAAGTTTTATTTACTGTTTTGCATTTTAATTTTCTCGCCTAAGATCGTTTTATATTGTGGTTAGTGTGATTTTATTTTTAAATTGGACATTGGAAAAATTTCATAAAAATTAAAAAAAAATGTATTTAACAATTTATAGAGTTGCATTCTCAATTCATTCGTGTCGCAATCATTTTTGGACAACCGTAAGAGCAGATTAGGTTATTTATTTCGTCGATTTCGCAGTTAGTTTTAAGCTAAAAGTATCATCTTTTCGTTCAATTTACGGCCGCGACGTGTCTATTTTATAACGTTTATTATTGATATCTATGTAAGTTGTGAATACGTTGGCAAATCGAGTGAAACATTAACAATACATTTCGCGTTTAAGGTTATATAATTTTTATAAATTGAATCATTTCAGCATAGTTCAGTTTCATGCATAATAATAAATAACCACATTTATTTTTGACCACATAAATATAAATCACAGACTTGTCAACTTATTCATGACTTATGCGGATAGTGTTATGTCCTCCACTGTAACCATATCTAATCGTAAGGCTTTACGGAATAAACGATGGTACGTATTTTAATGGTTTATTTTTTTTTGTTACACTTCCCCTCGACCCGAGTGTAGAAATTCATTTCTGTTTGCTTATGAACGTTGAAGCGTGATTGAAAATGGGATCACGCAAAAGGTAAACGTATGTTTCTCAAAATGTATGATATTTAAAATTTGTAGAAAAAAGTGGACGAAGTATATCGCCCCTGCGGGAATCGAACTCGCGTCACACCGACAAAGAACTCAAGGTGTTTCATCGACGTTATTTTAAACAATTTTTGACGTCTTTTGTTTATATCCTTTACAGCATACAAACAATTTCTAATATCGTTACAACGATAATTCGAACGAGAGATGACGCCATTGCAATAGGAAATTTTAATTCCTTTTTTTTTTCATGTTAAGTGCAGTTTAGCACTTTTAGAATTAGGATGCCAATCTCTTAAAATATATATTGGACTGATTGCTTAAATAATTATTGTTTTTTAGAAACTTGCAAAAAGATATTATACTCTATTTAATTTTGAGGAGTTCATGTTGTATGTCTAGAGTCCAAGGTAGGGCGTTTCATGTTAGTGCTATAAGAATAAATGAAAGACATTGTAACAGCTTTTTCAAATTTTTTTATAATTTTTTTCCACCATTACTTAATCCAACGTTATATAAATATTATACTATACACTACTGATAGGAAAAACTCCAAATTTCATCGATAGCATTGTGCTGGCACGGTTCAATTTATTATTGCCATTGATTAAATAACTCAAATAATACATTGCCAATTTTTGAGGGAAATCTAAATAAATTTATATGAGTAGCTTAAAAAGCTCAAATAATAAAAATTTCAATAATGAAGCCATAAACAAGATTGTCTCATCGAGTTTTCAAAACCAAAACTGTCCTGTTCCGTGACATTTAGAAATTTGGAGCTTCCCGAAAGAGAAATAAACAAACAAAGAGAAAACAAAACTTCGTACAGATTTCACGGCGACACCTCAAATGTTGGTTGATTTTTTTTTACATATACACCATCTCTGTCGTTCTTACATCTTCCATTATGGACAAAGATATAAACAGACTTATACAATTCCGAACCGTCACGGAGTAGGAACTAAATACAGTAATTTGTTATTCTAAAGTCATTTAAAATGCGCCTCGAAATCTACACGGATATAAACAATTTAAAAATTTCGAATCAGTTTTGCATTAAATAACGTATATAGAAAATTCCCTCGTCTCGCCGAGCGACGAGAACGCTTGTGATACTTTATATTTGGTGTTGCCAGTTGGGGAGGAAATAAAAAAGAACTCATTCATTGAATTCTTGCTCTTCGTGAAGGTCGAAGGGATTCAGGGTACTTTTGCGACTTTCTAGACAGAATTGTTAATTACCCAATTTAAAATCAAACATTTAAAATCAATTGCAACACACTACACAAATGGCGCAATATTCGAAATTCTCGGTCTTTAAATAACAAATATGGAACATGCAAAACTGAACACTATATTTTTTAGCGATAAATTTTATTTAAAAATAGACGTGGACTTTGTTAAAGCAACGCGCAAAAAAGATCTGATAAATGGTTTTATTAGAACATGTTTGGTTATCGCGCAAATTCAAGAAATAATGGATAAACGTTCCCGCTAAAAACTCCGTAGTGCGAGAAAGATAGAAAAAACCGTCAAACCCTCCGACCTTCGCGACAGAGGTGTACGAATATATAAAACGTATAGATATATATTATATATATGTGTTGTATAGTGAGGGCTACTGCTGGTGCGAATTGGAGGCGGCGGCGTGATCGCGGTGGTCCTTCCAATGTCTCTCGACGAACTTGCGTATGTAGTTGTAGGGCTTCGAGTCCTGCTCCCCTATTACATTCTCCACCTGTGCGAAGGAGACGGTACCAGTTAGATGCCAATCATTGTTGTCACTTATGCTCGGTTCCTATATTCAACGAACGGCCGTTAGTTACATAATCATTATGAAGTCGTTACAACGAGTCGTTAAGAAAGTTACGAAGTTATGTAACTAACGGCCGTTTGTTGAATATAGGAACCGGGCATTAGTCGCGACAGTGGCTGACAAGTAGCCAGACTTATATATGCAAGTACCAGGGTCATGCGGAATGCTAGCGTGAAGTAAAAACATTGAAACTGAATCTTTGAGGTCACTACAGTGCCAAGGATCTGGGAGTCACTACAGTGGCGGACGAATGTACAGGCTTGTGTAGGGTACTTGTGACTTGCAGAAGGCCAGCGGGAAGTAAAGACATTTACACTATTACATCCCCCTGGTGAGTGAGATGACGGAATCACCAACCTTAAAGTTGGCAATGCAAATGGATTGTTAAGAGTGTTGCAAATGTACATAGGTGGCTGTCATGTAGTAACTCACTGAGAAAGTCAATTGGCATAGTCTTTGTAATTACCTATTTACAATTTAGTCACCTTATGTGAAAAAATGCTGGGTTTTGAGACCGTTAGTGATTTTACCATTCAATATGCTTTCATTTCTTTTTGTTTCAAGTTTTAGTGACTTGGATGTGTCTTACACCAGTCACATAATTATGTAATCATTTATAATTTCGCACTGATGTCTATAACTCGTATTTAATAATCACTTTGTAAAATTCCAAAACATACTTGACGCTAAAAACATGTGGAAAGTTACAGAGAGCGGTCTTTCGGATTTTTTATTATATAGATTGAGAGAAAGTAGTTCTTGCATAATTAATACATGTTATTAATAAATAGTAAAATGGTATTCACATTCTACATATTTTTTTAATAATATTCAAATGTATACTGTATATTATTTTATCTAAATTGTTGAAAATCTAAACAAAATTGGACCTTGTCTAGACCAGAGATTCCCAATCTTTGTTTAGAATCTGAATAAAAAGGTTTAGTATAGACATTTTATGATCTTTTACTTGATATTGAAATGCAAATGAATCCTCAATTACACAGCATAATTGAAAACAAAGTTAGCTATGAATTGTTTAATTTAAAATCTCTGGGTCAAAGTTTCATAGTCTTCTATGAAAGTTTAGAAACTCATGTCTAGGCAATAACACTTATGTAATAGACATTACTGACTTGCAAGTGCTAGGCACTAATGTCCGTGATATGTAAATCTTTGCAGTTTCACCATTGTCTTTTGACGATACAACTGAAAACCATCTACCAAAATACTCTGGATGGTGCATACTCTTGCATCCTAAATGTAAGAAAATGAAATCAAGTTGAAGTCTGAAGTTTTATCAATTGTGTCTACTGTTAAATGTGGTACCTTGTACGGTGGTGTGATGGTGACTTCATTGTATACTCTGATGCTCTGGCCGGCCCATGATACATCATCGATGACCCTTGCAATTGCTAGAAACAGCCTCTGGCCCTCTGGGTCTAGGCAGGCTTGAAGAGCAGACACCTGTGAAGATTATAAAAATTGTTACCATGATTTAGGTATTGAAGAAAATAGATGATTAGAGTTTTCAAATTTTTTTATTCACATTCGGTAAACATTAGTTCTTTAGAATTTTTTAAAATTACATATTTCTATAGTAAGTGTTCAGTACATTTTGTGTCTCAGATTTCATTTTTGCAAAATTTTGTGGGTATTATTTCTACAAATTCATCTGTAGTCTCTTAATCTATCCAAATAAATATAAAAAACAATACTATAACTCAATTGGTTACTTTTTTTTTCACCATAAATTATTTCTATTGTCAATATAACAGTATTTATTATTTCTACCAAATCATTTCAACCATCTTTTTTGGGTTCTTATCAAGTGACACATGGTAAACAAAGAACATGGCCGCTTCAACAACATATGTCCTGCCAGCATAATTTATAGGCTTATCTAAAGCCTTTTTGAATTTCAAAACAACAGCTGTCTGGAATTGTCCAAATCAATAAACAAGTAGTAATCGATGAGTTACTACCTGGTTATTGATATATGCCCGTTTCCTATATTTAACGAATGGCCGTTAGTTACATAGCTTCATAACTTTCATAACCTACGAAAAGTGAGTTTACTAGCTTTCCTTTAATCTGCAAGTTGTTATGAAAGTTACGAAGCTATGTAACTAATGGCCGTTAGATGAATATAGTAACCGGGCAATTGTGGAGTGGCAGTATTAACCTTTTCGTAATAACGTAATGCATTTCATCTGTAGAATAAGTAATTGGGGCCCACTTTTTAATGCATTGCCTTAGATGACTTATTTGCAACAAATGCTGTATATGTCCATGGGCAGTGGTAATAACTTAACATCAGTTGAATCGCCTGCTCACTTACAGACTTATCAAATAAAAAAAAATGTGATTGTCATTAAAATTCAATAAATATTTGTTGGTTCAATTCCGTATGACTAAAGTTGTATCATTATATCAATTTTAACACATTCTCTTTTAATATTTTTCCAAACTAAATTAATTTTCCAATCCAAACTTATACTGAGGAGTGAATTTTATTTTAATAATTTTATTATCCCACAAATGAGTGAAAACAAGTCATTTTTTTATAAACGAAAAACAAAACAGACTTCAAATATATTCCCCTGTATTAATTTTATATTTGATTTTCAAGAGTTCCCTACATATCTCTGGAGCCCAAGATCCTATACCAATGAAATTAATATGAGACTTCATGGGAAGCACCATCTTTCATATAAAAAGAGAATCATCAAAATTTGTTCAATCAGTCGAAAGTTCTGAGGTAGCAAACATAAATAAAACAAACGAGAACTTCCTTCTTTTTTGGAGTTGGTTGAATTAATGCTGATGTAATGTTTATTTTATGGTCCGAGTTTCATTTTGAAGGTATCCTAGTTAAAATTTGTTACTAGTGTTTTGAAAGCTTAATATGACACTTGGTTGAAGACAGTAACAATAGAAATATTGAAAATCTTGTATATGATTAATGACAAAAATTTAATTGCCCTGCATTTACCATTAAGTAATGTGTGTAAATGTCCACATAAATTTGTGAGGAAATTTGTAATTGACAATTACTAAAACTTGATGAACAATTTCAATTACATGATTTTTATTTATGAAATTTATTAACAAGGAAAGTTGAATAGACAGTATAAACCATATTATCAAACAATCTCTCAACCAATTCTCTAGTTAGTGTTAGCTAACTGCCAAGGAGAGGAGAATCCTTCAAACTTTCTATTATTACATAAACCTTTTACATCAATGCTTGCATGATGAAATGAAAAATCTTATTTGAAACAATCATATAAAGAGACCAATAAATAAAAGAACCAAAGTTGTTGATACTTTTTGAAATATAGCTCTTAATTACCAACACTTTAAATTACTCTCCGGGGCCTGGATATTTCATCATCCACGTTTCGTTGCGTGTTTGGTTAATTGTAAGAATGGACACACAAAACATCGAATACTCACCAATCTTCTCTTATTCTCTATGGAATTCCGGACCCTAGTGTTTAGTCTGTGTAGATTTAGCGATTGTGGCGGCTCGGGAACCGTGGTGACTTCCTTCTTTATTTGCACGTCGCTGACCAGCGACAGGTTCACGATGTTCACGTCGTGCCGCTTCGGGTTCCCGCTGGACGACGGGCACTTGAGTATCAGCATTTTCGTCTGGGGATCGAATGCCAACACCTCCCCTTCTATATCCTCATTATAACAAGTCTTCGTAGCAACGATGCTGCCAATCGTGAAGCAGTCCGACACGACTGTCGACATAGTGATGAGCCGGGATAAGTTCTAACCGTGTCCGTTCTGCAGCATGTAGGTTAGACGTTGTTATGTAAATAATTCGCGTGCTAAAATGTTTTGCCTAGGCGACAGCGAACGACCGCCATTGAATTTTTGACTGAAGTTTCGTTTCGAGCATTGAGTGCAGATTAAAAATTCGCAACGTTTCTTTTTACCATTGTTATATCTTAACAAAATCTTCATCCACTATTTTAAAATCAAACAATTTTATTATATATAGCTGTGCCGGCAAACGTTGTTTTGCCATATAAATTATTTGTAGGACGGAAAAACATGTAGACCACCCTTAACATTTAGAGGGATGAAAAATAGATGTTGTCCGATTCTCCACTCTGGCCGATATGCTCACAAAATCGAATCGGTCGAGTATTAGTAATTTTTTATTCTTCAGATTTAATATTAATTTTATTAAATTAAATGTTAATGATTGCACCGGAAATTCGAATTCAAAATATCTTTATTCTAATAGACGCTTGCGAGTTCGTACGAAACGTCGAATTTTACATAAAAATTAATATATAAGTTCGGTTACGGTACCACAAGAAATGTTGGTCTTATAAAAAAGCTTTGATAAAGAAGTAAAAAAAATCCCTAAAATTATAACGCTCCTAAAAATCTTAATGCGTTTGTTTACCCCCTAAACTTTGGGAGAAAACTCCGCTAAGTTGGCAACCCTGGAAACCGTTCTCATTATGAATCAATAGCCTTTTTCATGTATGCCATGTCATCTCGTTAAATTATTAGGTAATTACATCGTTGCGATCAGATGTTACGGACTCTAAGTTAGAGTCAAAACTTTCTTAGGTGGCATTATATTATAATACCGAGTAAAAGTAAAAAGTAAAGTATCATCCTACACATGTCCCACTGCTGGGCAAAGGCCTCTGTACAGAGGACTATCAGGACATAGTACACCACGCGGCCCCACTGCGGATTGGCGGACTTCACATATCTTCAAAACTTTTTTTTATTATTTCCAAAATATACAGGATTCCTCACGATGTTTATGTATTGATAATATTAGTGGATATATTCGCTGTTATTTATCTTTTTTATTAATTTAAATTGGCAGCAGTTAGTTGGTGGACTTTCTTTTTCTTTACGGAATTAGTTTATCAGGTTATTTACATTGCATAGAATCATTCATCATGGCTAGAATTACAATGTTATATAATACTAGGTGCTGCCTAAATGTAGTGATTACATTCTCTTTGCTGCCTACGTCTGCGTAGAATAGGCTGAAGGCATAACATTCAGGCAGAAATACAGATGTACATAAAATATGTATAGCCTATATCTTATTCTCATGTATAAGCTATATTATTGTAAAGTTTCATTAAAATCCATTCAGTAGTATTTGCGTGAAAGAGTAACAAACATCCATCCATAATTTAATAAAATCATATAAAAAGTTCTCTCTGTATATTGTTTCTCAAATGTATGTTATTGTCGGGACGCAATAATTTCCACAATTATTCGTCAGGTTCATTGATTCAAAAGCAATTTTAAAGCTTATGTTTGCCTCTATTGACTAATGTTAGATAAAAAAGAAATAAAGTTAAAATTGTTAAAAAAAAAACTCGTTTCAGAACTTGCGAATAATGTATAGACTTAAATTGTACCTTTACTTTTATTAAAAATTTTGTAGAAAAAGTACGAAAAGATTGTCGCCGCTGTGGAAATCGAACCCACGTCTTCGGCATTCACGGCCTGACACTTTAGCCACTAAACTAAACGGCTGATTGCCACACCGACGAAAATCTTAACGTCTTTTATCTACAACGTTTTTTAGCATTTGAAGCAATGCTTGGCGCATCCATTGTTATATCGTTTCCAGTATACAAATGATTTGAAATATAAGACGTTAAGCGATAATCGTCGCCCACGGACGTTAGCAACACCCGTAGGCTTGCAGATGCGTGTCCAACTTTTAATAAACTGGCCCCAGTTACCTCACTCACCGGATGAAATGCAGAAGCAATATATTATTAACATTTGTACTTCACGCCTGCATATTCGTGCTGCAGCGTACTTGTGTGGGAATCAAACCCACGTCCCACGGCGCCGAAGCCAATACCTTGGCAACTTCGCCAAGGAGTCACCAAATATTGTCAACAAATGATTTACATAACAGTTGTATTAAAATAATGGCTTCAAATAAAAGACTCGTTTAAAGCTATAACATTTAATCCTACAAAAAGATTACATTGGCATCTAACGATAAAAATATCTATTACATGAATTGAAACACGATTTAATCATTCTACACTTCAACATGTAAAAATGGCAACATTTAAAGCATAAAAAAATCACTGTAAGGAAAGTCTCAGATTAAAAATAAAATTACAAAATAAATATAAACAAGTAAAGAAAGTGGAATGGTTAATTTCTACAGACACAGTTTTTGCTTTTATTTAAAAAAAATCTATATCGTGAATCGGTGAATAAATTGGAGTCATCGACTATTTAATTTGGAAAAAAAAAAGACAACTTCTGGTGCGAAGTTAATATATGAATAACATGAATTCTACATGCAAAACTGCAACTTTCACCAAGCATTAAGGAAACATTTGTAGCGACAAGTTATAAGTTAAATATCTAATTTTATGCGGAGTGAGGAAACATTTCAAAGGTACAATATTAGAATTGGTGTGTTTAACATAGTTCTACAAGTGAATCTACTGTGTCGAGTGGTCTCTGCTACAATTGCACAATTTAATTGACGAGTTTCGTGACATAGTTGCTCGGGAAAAGGCCAGTCATGCCGCGCAGTTCGCCTGCAAGAGAACAAACGTATTAATGCAGCGTTTTTCCATACTTCATACTTATTTAAACTTAATGGAAAACTTTTATTAACTTCGGTACATTTAAACATGCTTTTCTTAGTTCGCCCTAAAGCATGTCATTTATTTTTCGCCTGGAAGAAGACTAAAATGCCTGCCTTAAATTAGTATTTTTAAAAATTTAAATAAATAAAATTATTTATTTTGATATAACGTGATATGTAAGACGTTAATGGTTTATACGCAAAAAAACTTGCTCAGTTCCTGCACACTCGCAACGAAAGATAGGTATCATTGACGAATTATCATAAGATATTTACACAATATCGTGAAATAACTGATTGATAAAAACATTTTTTCGAATTTTTTTAATGGTTTTAATTTACAGAATCCACTCGATCGCGGGACAGGTTACCGTCGAATTGTATTAGATATGAAACTGATGACTTAATTTGAATCTCTCGAGTGGTTTTCCGTGATGCGCGCACAGCGACCTCTAGCGTTTAATTCACGTAGACAGTGATTTACATCAGTGCCCTCTATCGTTTAATACAAGTAGACAATGGCGATTTACTTCAGTGCCCTCTATCTTTTAATTCATGTAGACAATGCCGATTTACATCAGCGCCCTCTATCTTTCAATTTACATAGAAGGACGATATACATAAACGCCCTCTATCGTTTAATTCACGTAGACGGTGACGCTATCAGCCCCGTCGAGGAGTTGGCCGTTGGGACTCACCTTGCCACCAGGCCGGGTCCTGGCTGCGGTCCGTCACGGCGATGATGTCGTCCTTCTCGAAGCTCAGCTCGTCTGCGTTCTGCGCCGTGTACGGGTACAGAGCAATCACCTGCGGCCAGAGCGAAGTTTTCCACGAGCCCAAGAAAGGACGATAGTTTGTGAATTCCATAAATTGTAGCTCTTTTTATATTTTGTGCTTGCTAATTACAATTATTCATCAAGATAAAAAAGACGGCCAAGTGCGAGTCGGATTCGCGCGCGGTGGGTTCTGTACCTTTATCTATAAAAATGGCAAAAAAGCATGTCTGTTGTATTGGAGTCCCACTTAAATATTTTTTTATTCCGTTTTTTAGTATTTGCTGTTATAGCGGCAACATAAATACATCATCTGTGAAAATTTCAACTATCTAACTATCACGGCTCATGAGATACATAGTCTGGTGGCAGCCGGACAGAAAGACAGCGGACTCTTAGTAATACGGTCCCGTTTTACCCTTTGGGTACGGAACCCTAAAAAGGAAGTTTCACTCAATGCTTCCTGCCACGGGTCACGAGCCACAATAACTCCATCATCATCATCATCATCATCAGCCGCATGACGTCTTCTGTTGAACACATGCCTCCCCTTAGAACGCCGCAACGAACGACCCTTTGCCATTTGCATCCACCGGTTGCCTGCCACTCTTATGATGTCGATTTTCCATCTAGAGGGAGGCCTCCCAACGCTAAGTCCGGTTCGTGGCCACAATGACTTGGGGACGTATCAAACTGAAGTGTTGCAACGTGTGGCAGAGGTGGAGCTGACGTCGCACCTTATCGATGACAGTCTCCGTCGGGACGGTGTCCATCTTGGAGAGCACCGGCGTGGTCCTTCCGGAGGTCCTGCCCGAAGACTGCAGCACCTGGAGCAGAGGAGACGAGCATAAACCCGGTGAGGTGGTGGTGATGCGTTGAAGTCTCACGTCAGATTCACCTTAAACGGCAAAGTTGATATATTGTGCAGTTCCCCTTTATATGTATACATTTTTTTCATATTTAAATATGCGACAGATTTTTTTTTTGGAACATTGACGCCTTTGAAATTTTATTTCCCCAACGCACTCAGCAAAAAGGAAGATAACTGACACCGCCGTAATAAAATGTTGGCTGTAATATCTTCTTAATCAAAAGCCACCAAACAGTGATAGAGAGTTGACTTGTCAAAAAGAACTCAATTTAAACTAAATTTAAATAGATAGAAATAGGATGATGATAATCATTTTAGTGAGACCTTGCTAGTTTGGTCGTAAATTCCTAGTATAGCATAGTATAGTATAGAACAAGAGAGAAGCAAGGGGGTGTTAAACCAGGCACGGCGTGGAATGGGCGTACCTTGACGTAGCTGGCGGGGAACCAGCCCAGCTGGCGACTCCTCCCCTTAGCCTGGAGCTCTCCCTCCCACCATCCGCTGTCCGCCTTCTTCCGGACCACCAGGAGCTGGCCCTTCACCAGCGACAGCTGTTCCGCGCTGCACATTAAAGTCACAATCGAATAGACAACTTCAATTTATCAATAATTATTTGCAATCGCAACATTCGTTTCGACCAGTAAATAAACAAGGACAACGCGTGACCGAGAGTGGTCCCCTGGGGGACCCCTCCTCTTTGTCAGCACCACGGGCTGCTCCCTCGACGGCCACGACCGTGGACGGAGAGATGTGCTCATTTGTAGACATACAACGGGGAGGCTCTAGGCCCAGAATCCACCTGGTGGCGGTGTAGGAGGCGATGGCCTGGGCGATCTCGTTCTTGCGGCGGCCGGTGGCGGAGTCCCGGCCCGAGTCGCGGCGCGTCGCGGACGCCGGCCTGGCCGAGGGGGCGCCCCCCGCCTGCCCCGCCCCCGCCCCCGCCGCCTCCGTGATGGCCGCCACCTCGGAGGAAACGGGCGTGGCGGGCTTCGCTTCCTGCGGGACGAGTTTGCCTCCGTGTGATTCGAAGACGTACACAAGTGGCTAATTCCTTACGCCGACAGCGAAAGGGTAACGTCATTTATGCCCGGTTCCTATGTTCAACTAACGGCCGTTAGTTGCATAGCTTCGTCGCTTTCATGACGACTTGTAGATTAAAGGAACGCTATTGACACATTTTTCGTAGGTACTGCAACGGCACGTAAGGTGACCATAACTTGGTTAAAACCCATCTCACTAGCCTTGAGCACAGGCGCAGAGTAGCCAGCCTCTCGGTTTTCTACAGGATACATTTTGGAGAGTGTGCGTTGGAGTTGCATGATCTTATTCCTCCCGCCCCTTTCCATCATCGGACAACCAGGCGTACGGCGGGGCTCCACCCTTATGCTGTCGACGTTCCACGTACACGAACAAAGCGATTCGCTTCTTCATTTATCATCCGTACAGCCAAGGAATGGAATAACCTGCCGGCGTCCGTCTTTCCGTCCGAATACAACGTAGGCGTCTTCAAGGCAAGAGTGAATAGGTTTTTACTGAGCTAGCGCGCTTACCATCAACGACTGCATCGCCACTTACCATCAGGTGGGATGGCAGTCGAATGCAGGCCAGTATTCAGTTAAAAAAAAAAAAAAAAAAAAAACGCTCCGTTTTGTTAATAAAGGAGAAACCGGGCGTACAGGCCTTTTATCTACAATTCGTTATGAAAGTTATGAAGCTATGTAACTAACGGCCGTTCGTTACATATAGGAACCGGGCATTGAACACACGTAACCATTTCAAATGAGAGGAAGATATGACAACAGCGAAACGACACTGAGACACTTACACTAGTATCCTAATAGAAAACAATTCGAACGTTTTTCTGTACCGAAGTGATGGTGGGCATTGGAACTTGATTTTAGCTGCGAAATTTACTTGTGTACCCACCCATTCGATCTACGGTTATGATCAATCAAGGGAACCTGATCTGAGAGATCTTTTGCCCGATTATTAGACTTCTATTGTGGAGAAACTTTAAATTTTAAAGTTTTTTATAGTGAAAATCTCTACACTTGAGATTGAACATTAAAACACGCAGTAAAAGTACGAAAAGATCGTCGCCGCTGTGGGAATCGAACCCACGTCTTCGGCATTCGCGGCCTGACGCTCTAGCCACTGAGCTAAACGGCTGATAGCCACAGCGACGAAAACCTTAACGCCTTCTTTCTACATTGTTATTTGCTGAAACTTATTTACTGCTACCCATTAAATATAACATCTTTCTTAGTAGACACTAAAAAAGGTGAAAAGCCAACAAATGTTCTCAAAATTTGTCTTATGTGTTTCTTGATATCAGTGCATTGTATTATATAAGTCTGGGTATTCCTTGTCTGCTTTAAATTCATTGTCTGTTTGTGCCAAAATTAAATAACCTTCGGTATAATTTGAAGTTGCGATTCATTAGTATTCAAAAAGTTAGTTTGAGCTCTGCTGAAAAATCACTGCTTTGCATTCTTTGAAGCAAACGAATCATCACAGCCTGCACATAGGCTGCTAGTCGAGTTTACTTGTACTGGGGTCGAAGACATTGTCCTTACCTGCAGCGGGGGCGTAGTCGGTGCGGCCTCGAGTGGGCCTTCGGAGGTGATGGAGGGGGCTGAGGGGGCTGAGGGGGCGGAGGGGGCGGGCGCTTCGGCCTGGGCCAGGGGCTCCGCCTCCGCCTCGGGCGCCGGCTCGGCCGCCTCCGGGATGGTGGAGATCGGCTCGTTGGCGGACGATATGGTGTCTTTGGTCACGTAATTGGATGGGAAGATGCCGCTCCTGGGGAGAGTCCCGTCTCGACTCAGATACGAGAACGGTGGCAGGGCCACGCGACAGTGTTCGCTGTTGCACGAATGGGCAGGTCCGTCCGGGTGAGTACCGCTACCTCACAGAAGGCCGGCGTAAAGTGAAGAAGTGTTGCACCACTGCGTTCCGTCTGGTGAGTGAGGTGGCCTGGGCCCACATTATTAAGAGACGGCAACGCATCTGTAATCCTACGGGTGTTGCAAATGTCCATGGGCAGGCGGTTATCACTTAACGTCACCTTCACACACAAAAAAAAAAAACGGTCACCACAAAGCTGTGTTAGAAGGCGAGTGGTAGTTTTTTTTAACCGAAAACCAAACTGGTCCACTCTCTAAAGTGCCGCGATGGCTTCGGCACCAATGAAATTGTCAAATAGTGGAACATGTATTGGCCGTTTTTCCGGTGTCTGGGTGTTTATATATTTATAATATGTAAAGAAGTTTGTTTATCAGTTGCTTAGTTTGGTAATAGAGAGCTTGTGTAAAAACCGGCCAAGTGCGAAATGGACTCGCGCACGAAGTGCTCCGTACCATTATCTATAAAAACGGCAAAAAAAACGTGTATTTATTCTGTTAGCGGGATATATAAAAGAAATACATCATCTGTGAAAATTTCAACTGTCTAACTATCGCGGTGCATAACAGACTGGTGACAGACGCGACGAACAGACAGACAGCGGAGTTTTAGTAATAGGGTCCCGTTTTACCTTTTGGGTGCGGAACCCTAAAAATGTCCTGCTCTGATATACAGCGTGTCTTTAACACCGCGACAATAAATGAACACACATCTACTACTATAATCATAAAAAAATATTTACGTTAAAAGAAATCTATAATTTAAATAAAATATTTTTCAAACAAACTAATTAAGTAAAAAAGAAACAAAATTTGTAACGTCCTATACAACTACAACTGACTCATTCATACATTCAGAGACTTTTTCATTTGTTCCCACAGCGCCGCATTACTCTCTCACTCGCCTCTCCTTCTAACAGTATGTTTTGTCTCTTTTAAATTCATTCAACCCATTCATATGCTTAGTGACCTTTACAAATGAACTTTACATTAAAGTTTTATACGTAAAGGTGTTATAAAATTCTTTGTTTCGGAAACTCGTTAAATATTGATGTTTAAAGAATGTAAATCTTTAATAAAATTTTAAAAAGTTATCCTCTATATGTGTGTTCATTTATTGTCGCGACGGTAAAGACACGCTGTATATACATGCTATAATGACTTCTTTAAGGTACACGAATAATATTGTTGGACATAGCTATATAATAACTGTCTCATCGTTGGGGGTACAAAAGCTGTTCACTGGGCATTTACGAGTGTGATTTTTAATTGGAGATCATTAAGAAAGGATGGTTACTAAAAATTTAATTCAATTCTATCTGGCAACCCACCGTATTCCGATTCTGCCGGTCCACCAATCCCCGTCCCTCCTCAGGACCTCGATCCTCTCGCCAGCCTCGAAGGTGAGATCACCAGGCTCGGTGGAGACGTATGGGTACGCCGCTATATAGAAGTCGCCACCTTCTAGAAGATCGGAGGAAAGAGGGAGCTGTTGATAAAAATCAAAATAGGCAAGGGAATGTGTTTGCCTTTTGGCTTGAAAAGTTCACCTTCTGCTTTTCAATTTTTATTTCGATATCAAGAAAAGTAAAAACTCGCAATTTAAAAATTGTTTTTTAAAGAAAATCGTAATAATATTTGTATAATAAGCTATGGAGTATCAATAATATACACTGTACACTAAAATGTATAGTATTTATTATTAACAAATTTCAAGTAATTGCAATCAATGTTATCATTAAAATGGATAAAAGTAATTTTATGTAAGTTTAATTGTATTTGAACGATATGCTTCCGAAACGGTCTTCGTTAACATAAACATCTCAAAAAAACTTTAACACAACGAAGATATTTCAAACTAACATTTTCGATAAACTTGAACCAATAATGGTTGATTATTTAATTGTTGAAGACATATTTATGGATGTAGAGGGTGGATTGGGGATAATACGAAATCTATAGTTTCTTACCCACTATGGGCATGGCACCGCCCAAATCGTTTGCGATCTCGGCTTCTGGTACTTCCGCTATGCCTGTCGATTTATAAAAATCTAAAGTACGAGCAAGTAAACAAGTAACGGCCTATACATATCCCACTGCTGGGCATAGAAGAGCATAGTCCGCCACGCGGCTCTACTGCAGATTGGTGGTGGACTTTACATATGTTCGAAATATTTTTTTTTTCTTATTATTATTTTATGCCCTATGCCCCCGATACCCTTTCTGCAACATGTACAGGTTGATCCAATAATATTATCTAGCAAACGTGTTACAGATGAAATTGCAAGGCCGTTGCACTAGCATAAATAACATTTTAACTTGTAATTCAAATTCAAATCATTTATTCAACGAAATAAGAAATATACATTTCATTTATCGATAGTCATTTTTTTAAATCTACCACCGTTTTAAATCTACCATTACGAATGAGGTTCCTCTAACGGAGAAGAAACAGGCGAAAACAACTCCGTAGGTATATATTTTTTTTAGAAACAGCTTATGTGCGATCATCTCATTCCCAGGGGTTATTATCGTTTATATTATTTATATATAATAACGTATATCGTTTATATTATTTAAATATAATATGTATTCATTTATATTATAATAACCCTTTTTAAAAAGTTTTACAGACTTGTAATGTACGTGAAGTTCGGTATGAATTTTAGCTGTAGGCATTTTAATTTCGAACAAATGAATATCCCTATCTATTATCTAGCAAACATTTCAGGTAAAATTGTATGGCCGTTACGTTAGCATGGTAATAGAATAGGTTAAGTTGTTTCTTGCACTCGTCCAGACCTGTAGGCTAGTTGACTTACCCTCAAGTTGCGTCTTGGTCTCGAGGGCTTCTGTCGGCTCCATGTAGGATGCTGCCACGTTGATGTCCTCAACGTAGGATTCCGGGAACCAGCCGGATTGACCTGGCATCAGTTATATTGCGTTAGCCTTTTGGCAGAGCTCATCATTTGAGTTTGCCAATTGATGGGATGAAATCAATTCATTTACTTACTTAAATCACTAAACTATCAATAAGCAGTTGTACTTCTTTAGCGTAAGAAGTTATGCTTCTTCAGAGTAAGAAGTAAGAAGTTGTACTTCTATAGCGTAAGAAGTAAGAATTTATACCTCCTTAGCGTAACAAAAGAAAAATAGCCAAAAATTTTATCTCCTAAGCCAATACCTTTTGTTTTAAAAAAAGGCATTAACTGCAATTGACGGCGGTTCAATTGGGTAGCTTGGATTTATAGGTAAATGTTGAAGTTGTTATCGGTCGCTTTGGTAATAACGTGAAGTGCTTTTTGATTGTCGGTGTGCATGCATCGTAAAAATTTAACCCTCAGAATTTCTCCCAAACGCACCATAAAAAGTATAACTTAGAAGTAATAAAGACCAAACAATCAAATGGTTTTGCCCACGCGTGGGCGCCTACCTCTCGCTGTGCCCCAACGCCAGCCGGGCTCCGCGTCCGCGCGAGGCGCCCCAGCCTCGCTGACCTGCGAAGTGCGTACAATCTCACTCTCCCTTCCCAACTCTCTCAATCTCATACTAACACAAGTCATCAGAGAAGAGAAGCTCGGAAAGACTTGACAAAATGGAAGATAAGCTGAAGTTCTTTGAGCAATTTGGGTATGGTAAAAGTGCCTATAATCTCAAACTTTCTTTTCCCCACCCTCTCGATCTCATACTAACACGAGTCCTCTTCTAGACCAGAGGAAGAAAGACAAGAGAAGCTCGGAAAGACTTGAAAATGGGAGGTAGAGCTTATGTTCTTCTAATTTTTTACTATGTTAGGACCACGCAACAGTAACCGCAGTTGCTCGCATGGGCAGGTCCGTCCGGGGAAGTACCACGACCTCACAGAAGACCAGCGTAAAAATCGGCGTAGAAGTGTTATACTTCTGCGTTTCGTCTGGTGAGTGAGGTAGCCGGGTCCCACTTTATTAAAGGGATGGAAACGCATCTGTAAACCTACGGGTGTTGCAAATGTCCATGGGTGGCGGTTATCACTTAACATCAGGTGAATCGCCAGCTCGTTTGCCGCCTTCTCACATAAAAAATAATCTCTTGGATATAGTATCCTACATGAGCGTGAAATGGTATCTGCCTATTTATACAGTAATATATTTTATGACGATCGCACAAAACGGATACTTGGTTTTAAGTGTATATTTGGACTGCCTAGAAAATAAGGTCCATTTTCGCATCAAGTCTAATTTTCCTTGCTGATGAAACCGCACTGAAATGCTAGTTGGTGATACGTGTCACATTCGACCCTACGACTTTGAAAATAAGGTCCAGTTTCGCACCAAGTCAAACGTTTCTCGCCGATGAAATCGCCCGAAAAGCTAGTGATTATAGGTGTCGAATTCGACCCTACGTCTTTGGAAATAAGGTCCAGTTTCGCACCAAGTCAAACGTTTCTCGCCGATGAAATCGCCCGAAAAGCTAGTCGGTGTGACGCGTCGCGTTCGACCCTACGGCCTAGGAAATAAGGTCCAGTTCCGCACCAAGTCGCCTGGCTGCAGGCTCAGCTCGTCGGCGGTGCGCGCCGTGAACTCGTACACGCAGCGCCAGCGGGGCGTGGCCACCGAAGCCCCGCCCCCCGCGCCGGCCGCAGCCCCGCCCACCGCCTCAGCGGCTGGAAACACACCCGACGTCATCACCCACCCACCTGTGGGCCTAGAGCTCGCGAAGGCCTCCTCTGTACAGAGGGTATCAGGGCGCTTTTTATGTGAGAAAGTGGCAAACGAGTTGACGGTTCACCTGATGTCGAGTGATAACCGCCGCCCATGGACATTTGCAACACGTATAGGGTTGCAGATGCGTTGCGACTAACATGCGTTATATCAACGGTGGTAGAGCTACGCAGTAGCCTCGGCTGTTGCACGAATGGGCAGGCCCGTCCAGGTTAGTACCACGACCTCACAGAAGACCAGCGTAAAGTGGAAGTTTGACAAATACTTTCGCGTTTCGTCTGGTGAGTGAGGTGGCCGGAGCCCAATTTTCAAAAGGTTGTCAACGAATCTGTAACCCTCGGGTGTAGCAGAAGTCCATGGGCGGCGGTATTCCCTAACATCAGGTGAACCGTCAGCTCGTTTGACAACTTTTCGCGTAAAATAAAATAAAATAAATCATTTGTGCCGCCACCGGGGACCGAACTCGGGTTGCTCGAGTATAATGAATAGGCTGACACTTCACTACTTTAAATATATTTGACAAGAGTCACCTACCGTTCGCTGGGGCGGCATCCGCCCAGGAATCACCGCCCCACGCGTCGTCGCTGGTCCCCCATTCCGCGTCTGCAAGAGAACACGTGCGTAACAACAGTAGACCAAAGGTGACCGAAGGTGGCAAACCGATGGGGAAGAGAGGTTCTCGAGTGATAGCCTAGTATTGGCAATCGTGGTGTGGGACCCCCACTAGATTCTAGAAAGTCGATGGATGCAGGATCATGCTTCGTGGGGTTTGGTTGGGGAGGGAGGGGGGGGGGGGGGGGGGGTAGCATGTTCAGCAGTGGACTCTAACAGGTTGAAATAATGACGGTTTTCGAGGGATCGAGGATATCAATACCTATCGAATTAACCCAATCTTTGTTCAGCGATTCTCGATGAAACGCAAATCTATTTGATTTTTTACATAAATTGTGGAAATAAGATCGTGGATTGTGTAAGAAGTAGGTTTATAAATCTTTGAGAGTGACGAGCGGCCCCGGGGCGATTCTCAACGCTTTCAGAACACAAATAGCGTATAGATGCCACATGCCTGAACCCTGTTAATCCACGCATGTCCACATGTAACTGCTCGGGTGAGGTCTATCAAGCTGGTGGAAACGTTTCCCCTCCAATAGGCGGCAATGCCCCCATTATGTTACTACATGCATGTCCACATGTGCAGAGTCTAGAGGCGCGCATGTTGACATGTGGCATTAGGCTGAGGCTCAGATAGAGTTTATCGAGCTATATCACACCACGACCTACACGTCATAGTTAGACGAATACAGTCACACGAAAGCTCCCCCCCCCCCTCCGTTACTAACAGTAATGAAAGTTCCCCTCTCCCCCTCTAAACCAACAGGAAAATTCGGAAGCTCCCTCTCCATCTCCACCCGGAAAATTTCGAAGCCCCCCCTTATTAACACCCGGAAAATTCTGAAGCCCCCCTCCCATTACCAGCGGTCCAGGCCTGCTCGGCGGGCGCGGTGCTCCTCCTCTCGACGAACTCCTGCCTCTTCTCCTCGTACATGCGCCACACCTTCTCGCACTTCTCGCCCAGCTGGGCCACGGTGGCGTTCAGCTCGCTGAGCTGCTTCTCGTTGCCCTCGAGGTCCGATTGCTTGGTCTCCACCAGGGCCTTGGCCGCTTCCACCTGGGGAGGACGAGGTTTTTAATTTTCCCCTGAGAAGGCATCCACTCCGTGGAACCAGCTGCCGCCGGCGGCCTTTCCGAACCGTTACGACCTGGGGACCTTCAAGAAGAGAGCCCTTTCCTAAAAGGCCGGCAACGCATTTGTGAGCCCTCGGGTGATGCAGGTGGGCCACTCGCTCGTTTGCCGCTTTTTTCCCATAAAAAAAAGATGGCCAGCGAGCAGGGGGTTCACCTGATGAGAAGTGACGAACCCTGCTATTAACTCGGTGGCGAAGCGGTCCCTTCAATAGGAAAATATGATTGATTTCCTCAAGATACTTTGCGCCACCGCTGAGCACGTGATAAGTCAGCACTTAAAGGTTACAATTAACAATTTCATTGACGCCGGCACCAAGATATAAACTCACATTGTTCCAGTGCATTGAATTAATATCGCCCTGACCTATCACGGCTAAAATTATAGTTTTGCCTATTAAAAATTTAATAATTCAGTCATTTATTGGGTGATTATACGAGTTAACGACGCCAATGTGTGTAGTTAATACTGTTTATACTCACGCAGGCTAAAATAAGACTATTATACCTGTACCAGTATATCGTAAGTAATCTTTTTTGAAAAACAACTGTTGGGTTTTTTGCCGGTTTCTTCTCAACGGAAACTGCTTTCCGAACCAGTGGCAACTTATCTACGAACGTCTATCGACGTTTCATAAGAACGCGCAAGCGTCTACGTGAATAAAGATATTTTTAATTTGAATTTGAATATAAGACAAATCGTAAACGCCCTCGAAACATTTAACGTTATTTACAAGACCTTACCTTTTCCCGAAGCTGCTTCAAGGTGACCTCCATCATGTTGAGTTTTCCATCTTCTCCGGCGCCCTCGGTGGCTTTAGCCTGGAACGTAAGCAGCAATATTAAACGTTAAGAGTGGTGGATCCAAATGTGGTCCTTGGGGTACCCATTATTGCTACATACTACAAAACGTAAGTTACAGTTATCAAGTTTTTATTACCTGATTGGTAATACAAATATAATACAGCCCCTTTTCGACTAGTCAATTTTAAGTAAAATCCTGTTCGTTATTTACGGTGATCCCTTAAAGTTAGGCGAACACAACATAATCAATATCTAGCCTTCGCGTGCCGAAAAAAATACTTGTCGCGTGTGGGAACCGAACCCACGACCCCTCGGCCAATAAGTCATCGTCAAGCAAGCTTATAATTACCGAGAAGTACGAATTAAATATCTTGCTGATGCCCGAATGTCTGCGCCTAACGTGTTTATTAAGCAATTCATTGCGTGGACTCAACGATGTACGTAACGACACATTAAGGAAATCATATTTGAAGATCTTTCAAAATAGTTCCCCCCAGCCACGTACATCATACAACTTTGTAAGAGTCGACATCGCTCTCACCAATTTTTATATTCATTTTCATTGTGATGTAATTTCCAAATAAACAAAATATTGTAGAGACACTTTGTGTTTGCATTTATGTCCAATACGAGACAAGCAGGCTTGTGGCGGCCTGACAAGAGATGGACAGTAGAAGTATAACGCAATTGCATTTCATATCGACGTTTAATTCGACGATCCGATTGGCCTGGGGAGGAGTGAGTGTCTTGCGCCAGTGTGTGGGTTCGAACCACACTACTGGAAAAATATTTTGTGATGAACAATAACATGTTTTTATTTTCTTTGTAAAAGCCACCTTAATGGAAAGGGCCTACTATAATATCCAAGAATACATTGAGGACAAGAATGTGTGGAAATGACTCTTGCTCTGCACTTGCAAGACCCCTGGCTCCTGCTGATTTTATACCTAAATAAGTTTGTTTAATTGCATCAAAAAAAGAGTTTCTTGCCGGTTCTTCTCTGTGCAGGTCTAGTTTAGTGAACCGGTGGTAGATTTTTTTGTTGACGTTCAATAAGAGCTTAAGTTAGGCCTATTGAATAAATATACTTTGATTATTTACAAAAGAGACATATGTAGATCAGTTTTTAGTGTCCACAGCACAAGTGCCGCTTAATTTCTGGTGAGTGAGGTGGCCGTCGCCCACCATTTTAGGCACTGCTACCGCAACCCCCTCGGCTGTTGTATTCGACATTAACATCAGGTGAACCGTCCTCCCACCATTTTAAACATTGTCAACGCAACCCCTCTGCCGCCGTAGCCGTCGTTAACATCAGGTGAATCACCTGCACCCTTGACAACCTTTCACACGAGGGATTCCCCCGTACCTTCGCGTCGAGTTCCGCCTTCTCCTTGTTCAGGGCAATTTGCTTCGCGTTCAACTCCTTCACCCTCGCCTTGAGCTGTTGCATCTCGGCCATGCTGGCGTCCCTGTCAGACCTGCGAAAATAACAATTTGCAGGTCTCACCGAAAAGGTATATTTTTAACAAGTCCATTTTTAACCGACTTCGAAAGAAGGAGGTTCTCAATTCGACTGTATATTTTTTTAATGTTTGCTTGTTACTTCATAACTTTTACTATATGTATGCCCATCACAGATGCCACACAGCGTACTATTCAATTGTTCACTATCCAATAATACACCATTCAATCTATCAACATTCAACCATTCATCGTTCAATATTCACCATTCAACCATTCACCGTTCAATCACACCATTCGCCGTTCAATCGTTCACCATTCAACCATTCACACCATTCACCAACCAACCATTCTCCATCGCGCCCCGGGCGCACCTCATGCCGTCGATGGTGCACTTGGCGGCCGCCACGCCCGTCCTCGTGTCCCTGATGGACTTGGCCAGCGCGGAGGCCCTCTGGGCGGCGGCGCCGAGCGCCGCGGCCAGCGTGGCGCCGCGCGCCTTCAGCGCCAGCACCTTGGCCTGCTCCTCCGCGCGGAGCGCCTCCAGCTCGCGGCTCCTGGGGCCGAGGAGCCAACGTTACCGCCTCATCGGTAGAACCATCAATGGAGACGCTCGGGATTTTTTTTTATACAACGTGTCTTTACCACCGCGACAATAAATGAACACACATATAGAGGATAACTTTTTAAAATTTTATTAAAGATTTACATTCTTTAAACATCAATATTTAACGAGTTTCCGAAACAAAGAATTTTATAACACCTTTACGTATAAAACTTTAATGTAAAGTTCATTTGTAAAGGTCACTAAGCATATGAATGGGTTGAATGAATTTAAAAGAGACAAAACATACTGTAAGAAGGAGAGGCTTGTAATGCGGCGCTGTGGCAACGAATGAAAAAGTCAGTTGTAGTTATATAGGATGTTACAAATTTTGTTTCTTTTTAACCTTATTAGTTTGTTTGATAAATATTTTTTTTTAATTATGGATTTTTTTAACGTTAATATTTTTTTATGATTATTGGCAAGTAGCGTTAGACGATATATATAATATATAATAGTATAATAGTAATATCACATAATAGGATACTTGCTTTGAAAAGTAATCTAATATTCGAATGCTATTTTAAATTATATTTTTATTCCCTTTTGTCATTAAGATATTAAGAACTTTATACCTCTTCTTCTCCCATTCCAGCTGACACTGCCTCTCCATCTCCTTCCTGGCCGCCTCTCTCTTCTCCTGTGAAATGAATATCCAATTTATGAGACCCCGGTTTGACTTTTAGCGTCGGGTGACCAGGGCAAATTAAAGTAAAACAGCCTATAAATATCAAACTATTGGGCAAAGGCCTCCTCCGTACAGAGGGTATCAGGGCATAGTCCACCACGCGGCCCCACTGCGGATTGGTGGACTTCACATATCTTCGAAATATTTTTTTTGTTATTATTTCGAAAATATGCAGGTCTCCTCGCGATGTTTTCCTTCACCGCTGTGCACGTGATAAGTCAGCACTTATAGTTAACAATTTCATTGGTGCCGCCACCCGGGATCGAACTCGGGTTGCTCGACTGTAAAAGCGAGCGTATGGACAATTAGCTATTAGGCTTACGCCTAATCCATGGCGTAGTTTAAAATAATATCCTTTTCTCTTTCCCTTTATACAAGGTGGCTTTTCTAAGTGTATCCATTTTGTTTTATTAAATTCTAGACATGAATAATGTTATATAAAAAATGATAAATATTTAAAATCACTCTTAAGCAATTAATTACATTCATTTGAGCTTATCTCAAAAAGTGCGTGATTTATACGCAACTCATTTATTTTACGCGCGGTCATTCATAACTAACACGCACACAAGTTCGTGCACGGTAAAATTTAGGTATTTACGAATGACTTTCATGAATACTTTTTGATTGTCAACACCAACGTGTTGACAAACACGTTGTAAAAACAACTTTTTTCGGGAATAGAATGGTATTTTTTTTGGAAAAAAAATCAAAAATCTCCCTGTATAATACCAGTTATACAGCGTGTCGCTACCACCGCGACAATAAATGAACACACATATAGAGGATAACTTTTTATAATTGTATTAAACATTTACATTTTTTAAACATCAATATTTATCGAGTTATAAAATTTTCCAAAACAAACAATTTTAGAACATCCTTACACTGTAACGTAAAACTGTAACGTAAAGTTCATTTGTAAAGGTCACAAAGCAGATGAATGGGTTGAATGAATTTAAAAGAGACAAAACATACTGTTAGAAGGAGAGACTTGTAATACGACGCTGTGGCAACGAATGCATAAGTCTCTTAATGTATGAATCAGTCAGTTGTAGTTGTATAGGATGTTACAAATTTTGTTTCTTTTTTACTTAATTAGTTTGTTTGAAAAATATTTTTTTTTTAAGTATGGATTTTGTTTAACGTTAATATTTTTTTATGATTATTGGCAAGTAGCGTTAGACGTGTGTTCATTTATTGTCGCGATGGTAACGACACGCTATATATGGGATAAGGGCAGGATGAGATGAGTCTAGTTATGAAGTTGAAATAATTGTATAATTCTAAGTGTATATCTCATCGGGAGGTTAGTTTGAAACCCAAATACAACATTTGCATCGAACAGACAAATGACAGTGTTGACAAAATTGTGGTGTAGCAGTTTCAAACCAATTACGAAATTTGCATTGAACACACAAACGGACAAATGGACGGAGAGGAGTGTTGGAGAAAATTAAATGCAACGGTCTAGGATTGGAACAATCGAAAAGGGTTCGATCCCCACATGGGACAAATGTTTGTGTGAACCACAGATAATAAATTTGTAAAACGTCCCTACAGCACAGGATAAAGTTATCCTAAATCAAGGGAAATAAAAAAAAACATAGAGAATAAAGAGAGAAACTCACCTGTTCCTCCTTCTGTTTCCGCAGCAACTCTTCTTGCTCCTTCTTCTGCGCCTCCAGGCGCAATCTCTCCCTCTTCTCCGCCTCCTCCCTCTCTTTCCGTTCCCTCTCAGCCTGAATCCATTCCAAATTGGCCTTATCCAATTGCGGGCTAACAACTATTCTTTACTATGGTCTGCTTAGGCACTATATTCTTTATATCTTCCCTAGCTTATATCTTCTATATTAGCTTTATATCTTCTGTAGTAATGTAGCAAACTTTTTTTAAAGGCTGCAAACTATGGGTGGCGGCTATCACTTAACATCGGGTGAACAGCAAGATCGTCCGAACGAGTTTCAAACAAAATTTTTACTAACGAAAAACAAAACCGATTTCAAATATTTCACTCGGTTCGATTTCACTTAGTCCAAGTTCCATTAACAATGAAATTAATGAATATATATATTTTTTTATTTCTGTATAAATAAATTAATAACGGTTCGTAGGTACTTAATAAATCGAAATCAATGTTCATATAATAATAAATGAATTTCAAAAATCGATTCAAAAACGTCAATTTTTGTTGTAACGAATAAAAGAATAATTACGAGTGTGTACATAATCGATAATAAATCGAAATCAATGTTCATATAATAAATAAATGAATTTCAAAAATCGATTCAAAATCGACAATTTTTGCTGATATAACAAATAATTAAATAATATAAAGAATAATTATATACATAATCGATATGTCACATACATACATAGTACCGATCAGATTTCTGTTAAACACCGTGCCATAGGTTGGAACGAGACATATGTAACATCATTGTCGAGAAACAAAATCTAATTACTCCATTGTGGTTCCTTGTGGTAAGCTGGGAACATGTTACAACCATAGTTCATAAAGAGTTGCTAACAATAGTGTCACACAGTTTGTATAAAAAAATGATCTCCAATTGATTCCAAATCAGGCAGGGTTGCCATCACAACAAACGCATAGCTTAACCAACGCACAACTACTTTTTCTACCTTCTACGATTTACCTCATCCTCCTAGACAGCATTGGGAAATAAAGCGTGTTTAATATTGCAACTTAAAATATATTGGCTCAGTTTTAATATAACCTATTCATTAAAAGTAACATTGGATAACTATGATACAACGCATAGACAAAACAGCTGATTCTAGAAGCTTCTAGATCTTTCGACTAGCCGTATGCTCGAGTGGGATTTAACCTCAATCTCTGTCTTATGGGATTAGCTTTTAAAAACTGGCCAAGGAAAGGTTCCGTACCATTATCTATAAAAACGGCAAAAAAGTCATGTCTGTTGTACGGGGGCCCCACTTAAATATTCTTTTATCAATGAGTTTATAGGGCGGTTCAACTAAAAATTTAAATCAATAAATAGATGATGTGCATGTATCGGTGGACAGGTCAATAAAAAAAAAAAAAAAGAAAAAGGCGGGAAACCTAATGTCAAATGTTTGTGTCAGTTATGAATTGATACATATTTGTATATACAGGCTTTATTAAGCCTGCTATGAAATGAAGAAGTTTTCGCAAAACGGTTACATCATCAGCATATAAAAGCACAGCTCATAAAATTATTATTCAGTTTATGTCATGTATAGTAATATTATCTTACCAGTTTAGATGTCAAATCAAAGATTTTTATTATTGGCGGGCAAAAATCATTGTTAATGATTGGTGTTCTGTTACAATTTAACACAACACCAGTCGACTAAAATAATTTTAGTTTCTTTATTTGTTGTTTCTCAATCCTTCAACTTTAGTACCCTTTGTGGTAATTTGAACACTGGCTGGTGTGCAAAAGTGTGCAACATAAGATCTGTGTAAAAAAAATTGTTAGAAAATGTTCCACAGGCATTCGATGTACTGTTAAAACAAATTATTTTGTGTGTGTGTGTGTGTTAGAGTGAGTAAGAGAGAGAGAGAGGGAGAGAGTAAGGAAGAGAGAGTGAGATGGGAGAGAGATAGAGGTGGAGTTCTCGGACCTTCTCCTTCATGTGCGCGTCGGCCAGCTGCGAGCGGCGCCTCTCCAGCTCGGCCTGGCCCCTCGCCATGTTCTCCCTCCGCCTCTCCTCGTAACTCTTGGCGCTGCTGGTGCTGGTCACCGACTCGCGTCTGCGCAGAAGGAGAAAGAGGGAGATAGCTATCACACAGGTAACACGGTTCGCTACATGCACTTTTCAGCCGACTTCAAAAAAGGAGGAAGGTCTCGATTCGACTGTATTTCTTTTTATGTTCGTTCTCTCAGAACTTTCGACTGGGTGAGCCGATTTTGATGATTCTTTTTTTTTATTTGAAAGCCGGTACTTCCCGCGTGGTTCCATATTAATTTGATTGGTAATGGACTTTGGGCTCCGGATATACTTTGGGAAGTCTTGAAAATCAATTATAAAATGAATACAGAGCGAGATATTTTTACGGTGGTGGGGCCACGCAGCAGCCTCGGCTGTTGCACGAATGGGCAGGCCCGTCCGGGTAAGTATCACGACCTTACAGAAGACCAGCGTAAAGTGGAAGTATTACACATACTTTCGCGTTTCGTCTGGTGAGTGAGGTAGCCGGAGCCCAATTTTCAAAAGGTTGTCAACGCATCGGTAACCCTCGGGTGTGGCAGATGTCCATGGGCGGCGGTATTCACTGAACATCAGGTGAACCGTCTGCTCGTTTGACAACTTTTCGCATAAAAAAAAAAGAAGTCAGTTTTGTTTTTCGTTATTAAAAATATGGACTTAAATTTCATATCACCGCTTTCCAGGTATTAAGAAAGCAACCTTTAGGTGTTGAGTTATAGCACGGTCAGGAGTATAAATTTTCTTAAAAAAAAGTCCAATGTAGCCACAGAGGAGATTAAAGCTAAATACTTATTTATTTTATTTATGTAATATACTTTGGAATAGAACAACACAAAAGGTGGACTTGATTTCTCAAGATATTCACCGGTCAACATATGTTGTGGTAAAAACATTAGGCCGATGCAATAACTTACAAACTTAAAAAAGAGATAAGATGATATTAATAAATTAATATTATCAGAAAATTATCATTTGAGGCCTTCAATTCGTGATCAAGCACCAATCTTTTGGAAGAACAGTCGGTTATGTCAATTACCTGAAGGTGGGCGGCACCAGTTCTGGTGGCAGCTTGGCCGGCACCGGCTCCCCGTGGGTGGCCCTCTCGCAGAGGTACATCGCCAGCACGAACTCCTCGCAGCCTGGCCATAGACAAGCGTGAACACAGAGGCTCCATAAATAAATAAACAAACAAATATTTCAGGACACAATGAAGCGGCTGAAAACGCTAAAGCCTGCTAATACAGGGGTCTAGGCTCCGAATATGAATTTATCCCGTTATTCTTGGTCCTTGGGGTCCTAGCGCTATCAGGCTTTTTAAGGAAATAGCAAAAAGGTCAACAATCACAGGAGACCGAAGAGCTGGCAGCTATCTCGGACAAAGAATTAGTGTAGCTATTCAAAGGGGGAACGCTGCCAGTATCTTCGGAAACTTGCCTAAAGGGACTCCATTTAATAATATATTTTAGTTATTACATGATTTTTTTTAAGGTTTTTAGTTTTAGTTTCATTGTTCTAGTATATATTTTGTATTAGTTTATCATTTGATTGTTATTTAAGTTTGCTTATAGCCTTTTACTGGATATAATTTTTAAGATTTTGATTTATAATGTAACATAAGGTTTATCATAATTTATAGTTTTAAAAAATATAACATTCATTTTTCAGGACATATATTTACACAACGTTCTCTAGTCCCAAACTAAGCAACGCTTGTACTATGGGTACTAGATAACCGACACACTTAAACATACTTTCCTTTTGCAAATAAATACATATTATAAATATGTAAACACCCAGACACTGGAATAACACTATTTTCATCACACAATACTTCTCCAATAGTGGGGATCGAACCCACATCGTCTGGCACAGTAGGCAGGGTCACTACCCACTCCGCCAATCAGGTCAACATTTTAATTTATTTTGTGAATAAGCAATCGATAGATCAGTTGTTTGCGCTGGTTTCAGCGACGCGTATCAGCTGTTCGATTCCCGCGCAGAAATAGTATTCGAAAAGTCTGCGAATTTCGGTTCTCTGGTATTTGAAAATAGATTAATGTTGCTCAAAATTACGATTTAAACTAATTATGATTTAAGCGAACTAATTATTTCGACCACTCGGCGTCCACTGGTCTATATTATTAAACATCATTGGGGCTTGTTTGGTTTGTTTCAACATGGTCCGTAAATTGTAGAGGGCGCTCGCATCGGACGGCTCGAATCCGAGACCGCGGGCATTTTCGGCACTTTTTTTTTATGTGAGAAACTGACAAACGAGTTGGCTGTTCAGTTGGCTGATGTTAAGTGATAACATCCGCCCGTTGACATTTGCAACGCCCGTAGGGTTGCCGTTGCCGCCTCTAAGTAAAGCGGGCCCCGGCTACCTCACTCAGCGAATGGAACGCAGTAATGTAACACTTCTACTTAACGCGGGTCTTCCGCGAGGTCGCGGTACTTCCCCGGACGGACCTGGCCGTTCTTGCAACAGTCGAACTGTTGCGTGGTCCCAGGGCCGGATTTACATTAAGTACGAAAGGAAAAGTTGTTCGCTAGGCCGAATTAGATTGTTTCGCGAAGCCCGTATCGTGCGGCCCCTCCGAATGCGGCCCTGCGCGGTACGCACCCAGCCTGCCGTCGGCGTCGAGGTCGGCCAGCGCCCAGATCTGCGCCAGGGCCGGCTGCGGCAGCCGCGACTGCAGCATCAGCGCGCGCGCCTGCGCCCCGGACACCCAGCCGCTCTTGCTGCGGTCCGTCACGTTGAACAGCTGCGTGTACCTGCCCAGGGGTGAACAAGGGGTACATTACTCCACGGACTCTGATTTTATACCAACAAATTATCCCACATCACTACATAGTATAAAACAACCGTCCCGCTGTCTGTCTATTATCCCATAATTATTTTTATTTATTTATTTATTTATTGCACATCCATTAAGTAACAAAAAGGTGTTAGGGTAATTACTAAAATAGTTCTTTATGGACCCTGTTTATAGGGCATAGTACAAAACAAATCATAAATTCGGAGAGAGCAAGATGTATCACTTAGGTAATTTAATGGGGTACTTGTATAAATAGTTGGTATTTTGAGTGGCTATTTATTTTTATAAGTAACATTTATTAGTTTTAATTTATATATTAACTATGAGTAATTTGTTTAATATATTTATGATGTGAGATCATTATGTGTTATTTATATCTATAATATCCAAGGTATCTCCAAAATATTCTTTTATGTCATAATATGACTTGGTAAGTAATGGTTTAATTTTTTTAGGAAAGTTTTATCGTTTTTTTCGTCTTTTAATATTTGCGGTAGTTTGTTATGTATCTTGATGGTCATTACATAGGGACTCGTAGAGTATAATTGTAGTGTAGAAGTGGGTTGAATTATAATCTGTTATCTTCATCACTACATAGTATAAAACAACCGTTCCGCTGTCTGTCTATTATCCCATAATTATGACCTGTTATCTTCAACACTACATAGTATAAAACAAGCGTTCCGCTGTCTGTCTATTATCCCATAATTATGATCTGTTATCTTCATCACTACATAGTATAAAACAACCGTCCCGCTGTCTGTCTATGTATGCTATGTATGCTCGTCTATGTATGTCGACGCTTGTCTATGTCTATGTATGCTATGTATCCCTATGTATGCTTAATCTTTAAAAGATAGGGACTACGCAACGGATCTTGATGCGGTTTTTTTGCTAGATAGAGTGATAATACATTGCACTCGTGTGAAGCCGGGGCGGGTTGCTAGTATAATTATATATCATTCTTTTGTACGTGTGTACGTCACTGAACTCCACCTAAGCGGCTGGATCGATTTTAGTGAAATTTTTTGTCTGTCTTCGGTTCGATTTGAGAATGGTTTAGATTCACCATTCACAGATTTCGTTTTTTTTTTTTTTTTTAGTTATTGTCCGATTTAAGTAGCGTGTACAGGACAACGTCTGTTGGGTACGCTAGTATGTTATATAATAAGTATGTTATCTTTATTACGTTCTTAATTAGTCACTTGGTTTTTATTGTTTCTTTATAATTAATATACAGGGTGGCTTTTCTAAAGGTGCCCAAATTCACACAGGAAGTTCAGACTCGATGGCATTATCGTGTATTGAAATAAAACAAACTTTTTTTTTTTCAAAAAATTTCCATTCCTAAAAAACAGAACTTGTTAACAATGCGGTAGTCATTCATAAATGCGTCGCATACTTTTGAAACGAACTTGAGTGCGTGTTAGTTATGAATGATCGCGCGTAAAATAAATGAGTTGCGTATAAGTCACGCACATTTTTAGATAAGTTCAAATGAATGTAATTAATTAACTACGAGTGATTTTAAATATTTATCATTTTTATATAACATTATTTATGTCTAGAATTTAATTAAAAAAAATGGATACACTTAGAAAAGCCTCCCTGTATAAATTTCCGTAACACTTAATTGTGGCCATTTTCGTCAATTGCGGCGGATTTTGAAAATTCTTTTTGCCGCGCTAAGCCCAATTGATCAGTTATTCATTTTATATGTATTGGATCTTGCACTATGGTGTACAGTGTATAAAGGTCTGCAATATTTGTAAATATTGCATTTATATCTTTGGAAAGAGACGGCTAATTGGATTCGTAGAGCGCTATGTCTGTCACACTACTTATGTGACGTTTGTCATTTGTTATACAAGAGAATTTCACTCACTTGAGCTTCTGAGGCTGTGGGATTCCCCATTCGACGGACGGTGGGGGCGTCAGCACCCCCATCGGTGTTTCAGTGGGGCTGCCCACCAGCGAGCCTGGAAAAACAAGTTTTTCTAACTTAAGAAGTATTTTTTTTAATATAAATGGACAAATTAGCGTTGCAGCGCCCATTTGGCGCAGTGGATAGCGACCATGTCTCTTGCGCCAGAGGGGGTGGGTTCGATCCCCACTACTGGAAAAATATTGTGTAATGAACATATTTATTTTTTCAATTTTTAAAATACTTTGAGGTTTTCATTGGTGTGGCTTCGCCTTTAGCTTAGTGGATAAAGCGTAAGGGCGTGAATCCGGAAGACGTAGGCTTGATTCCCGTAGCGGAAAACTTTCCGTCGACGTTTTCTACAAACTTTTATGTTTACTCTTAAATGCAGAGATTAGCACTATTAAAGATTAATTTAAAATTTACAAATATGAATTCAAAAACATTATATGTCTCTACTTAACTTGTAACATTCAATCCATAGATTGGCAATATAAAAACTTTATTAAAAATTCATTTAGAATTAGTAACTTCTGTATTATTCGATAATTACTACACTGTTACTACTCAACGCACCGGGTTTAGAAAGGGCGTCGCCTTTGACCGCTGTTATTGGGGTCGAGGTCACCGGCTGCCCGGGAACTGAACCCGCAACCGTGTTAACAGCCTTGGGGGGGCTGCCGAGCAAAGAGCCCACTGTGGTTCCCGTGGGGACGGCTTGTGGTGGCGAGGAGAGGGGTACAGGTGCTGCGGCCACCGGCGGTTGGGCTGGACCCGGCTGGGCAGCTGGTGGGATCAGAGGAGCGGTGCTGACCAGGGGCTGTCCCATAGAAGTCGGCATTGGCGGTATCAAGGGCTGGGTTGAGCCCATCAGGGGCTGAGGAGGTACCAATGGCGCTTGCAGCGGCTGGCTTGAGCCCATCAGGGGTTGAGTGGGTGGTAATAACGGAGCTTGGAGCGGCTGGGCCAGCGGTTGACCCATCAAGGGCTGGCTGGGGATGAGCGGCGCGCCGGCCAGCGTTTGGGCTTGTGGCTTGACGGATATCAGGTCGGGCACGACGGGGGTGGGTTTCGACGGCGGGACAACCGGGACGAGGGGCTGGGTGGAGTTGATCAGCGGCTGGGAGAAGTCGCCGAGGAGTTGGCTGCTGGGCTGGCTGGCGGGAGGTAGACCGCTGATGAGGGGCTGCTGGGGGGTGACAGGCATCGGCGGGATGGGGGGCTTCGCAGGCGGCGCGAACTGCTTCGGACCTGGAGAACGAGAACGACTTATTAAGTCCATGCTACATTCTCCACTAGCCTACGGTGTGAGATCTTTAGGCAGGTGAATATCGGTGTGGATTTACTCGAAATATCTAATGAATAGGACGGCGTAAAGATCCAACAAAAAAAATATATCACGAAGCTATATGAAGTCCGACATGACCCAGTGGCGCAGTTGCAAAGCTATTGGCTTCGGCGTCGGGGTCGTGGGTTCGATTCCCACGCGGGACGAGTATTTTTGTGACCCACAGATCTACGTGTTTGTTCAAGGGAGGGTTGACGTTGATTCAGATGTTGTACCGACCCCACTTAGAGCAGGAGGATTATGTGAAATCCGCCAATCCGATCTGTCTAGTTCTATGCCATAATAGCCTTTGTATAGAACAGGCCTTTGCCCGGCAGTTGGACAAAAATAGGCTTCTGAATTATATGTTTATTTATTTATTTTTATGTGAAAAAGTGGCAAACGAGCTGGCTGTTCACCCGATGTTAAGTCATAACCGCCGCCCATGGACATTTTCAACATCCATAGGGTTGCAAATGCGTTGCCACCTTTAAATAAAGTGGGCACCGGCTACCTCACTCACCAGACGAAACGCCGAAGTGTAACATTTCTACTTTTGTTTTACACCGGACTTCTGTGAGGTCGTGATAATTATCCGGACGGACCTGCCCATTCGTGGAACAGTGAAAACTGTTGCGTGGCCCTACCACAGTTGTTTATATGGAATCATGGCAATTTGTTTTGCTAGATAAATATTACCACCATTATTGGATGATTAATTGATACCAAACTTACCAGTGGGGCTTAGCGACGCGAGCAGGGAAGGTGGCAGGGCTTTCGGCACTTCAATACCGTGTAGTTTCAAGTTGATTATCTAAAAGAGATGACGATTTTATATGAGCGAGATTTCTATAACAAAATACACCGTCACTTTCTATGTTTTCAAAGATTATCTATGGTCAAGCTTGTCTATTCGTAAGCAGAAACAATGAGGACTTTAACACGTATACTGACTCGTATTGTATAATATAATATAGTATAAAACGAAGTCGTCCTGCTGTCTATCTGTCCCTATGTATGCTTGGATCTTTAACTATGCAATGGATCTTGTTGCGGTTTTTTTAGTAGATAGAGTGATTCAAGAGCCTTCCTCTTGAATTCAATAGTTAATAACTAACTAGATAACCAGCATGTCTTCTGTACCTTGCAAGCAATGGAGAATTCCTTGAGGTCCAATTTTCCATCAGCGTTGGTGTCCGCCAACGACCATATCTGGCCCAAGATAGGCGGTGGTAGTTGAGACTGAAAGGTAATGTTTGGAGACATGAGAGAAAAGTATCCAAACAGTTGTATATAGGATTGGAGTCTGGTGGATTCATGTTTATGAAGGTCACTATGACACAGAATTTTCTAGTCCGGGAAAGAATTTGGGACTTTTATGCAGAAAGTAAGTGGACATAGTGAGCTTTTTTTTTATGTGATAAGTTGCCAAACGAGCAGACGGTTCACCTGCTGGTAAGTGAATACCGCCGCCCGTGAACACCCGTATCTGCTACACCCGGGGGTTACAGATGCGTTGACATCCTTTTGAAAATTGGGCTCCGGCTACCTCAATCACCAAACGAAACGCGAAAGTTTTTGTCATACTTCCACTTTACGCTGGTCTTCTGTAAGGTCGTGGTACTTACCCGGACGGGCCTGCCCATTCGTGCAACAGCCGACGCTGCTGCGTGGCCATACCACCGTAAAAGCTTGACAAATACTTAGGCCTTTCAATGTATTTAAAACAATATTTGTATAGATAGTTAGTCTTCATCTAGATAGAGATACCTAGTTACCTAATTTCTGCCCATCCATTTTAAGACTGCTACTTTCTTTAATTTTATAACTTAATTCGGAATTCCAGTGAATGTCTAAATAACTGTTATTGTAAAATTCTAGGTATTGTACGAAATTATCAAAAAACCAGGAAAATATAGCTAGTGCTGACCTGTTTTGTTGGGCTCTGAGTGGATTCACAAGAGTGGCAAACTAAATGAACTATCTGTTACAATAGTAGGTGTATATAACGGAAATATATATTTATCAGATTAAGGTAAATTGAATGCTATTTCTAGTGAATTAGGATAATTTTTTCCTGTAAGGTGAAGAAATTTTCTCGAATATTTCTAGGTTGCCTCTAAAGCTGCACCAATGCAATTGTCTCAATACATAGGTATTGTTAATATTTACCATATTGTAAATCACAGTTTTTTATTATTTAACTGGTCAAGTTGTCACTTACCTGTAACATGAACCTCTTTGCCTGCTCTCCTGTTAGTGTGCCATTGATTGGTGCTAGATTCCGGAAATGCTCCGCAAATTTTGCATGCTCATGTGGCTGGATAACCCACGGGTCTCCTGCCATCTTGCTCTAAAATTATATAACAAACTGTCACTTCATTCTGACATCAAAGGATTATTAATGCAGTTCACTTTTCACCTATTATAAGTCACAAGAATAACCCAAGAACCAGTTTTTTCATTTGGAGTTAGAATTTGAAACCTTAGCTTGGAAGTTTGACTTCCCAGCTACTAGAATATCACTGATTAGTATTAACATTAATACTAATCACTAATAATGTTAGTACAAAGGTAAAAATTGCAATTATTCAATCTTGCTACAACATTGTTTTTAATTTTTTGAACAATTACACAAATTATGTCTAGATTTACTGCTTGAGTTTTTCAATACCAGTCACCTTATATCTTTTTATTAGTAAAAGTAGGGGTATTAGCTCCAACATTAATTCAATATAATATAATTTACTTCTATCACAATCTGTGTCTAACTAAATACATATAGCATTTCCTTGGAGCTATAGAATCATGGCCTATGCCAATTACAAACTACGTTTACATAAAATTTACTGGTAACTAGTATTTTTTTTAACATTTTTAATTGTAAAAAAACAAACTAATAGTGAAAGTTCTGAAAATGTAAAATTATAAATAGCTAATTTTTTTATCGAAAGAAATGGTAAAATTGTATAGCAACTTACGTTTTGATAAATAGTTGTTCAAAGACTGACGCCCTTTTTGTAAATGGTTAAGAAACTAAAGAGATCTCGAAAATCCTATGAACTTGAAGTATTGATCGGATGAAACTTGTCAGTTATAATTGACAGCTTTAAGTAGAATCGTTTAAAAACTGTAATGTTAAATACAATTTAACTTGAAAATAGGTGAACAATTAAAATTCATAATAAAATAGAAAAAAAACGTTATATTCTTCTATTTTCAAATCACGAAAGGTATTATTTTTACACAACGTTATCTAGTTTCAAACTATGCATAGCTTGTAACTATGAGTACTAGATAACTGATAAACATAGTTTCTTTTGTAAATTTTTATGTATTTTAGAAATATAACCACTCGGAAATTAATAAAACACTATAATGAACATAGATTTTTTCAAATAATATTTTTCACTCTTTCCTCTGGTGCAAGTTACAAGACAACTATGATCTACTCAGTCGTCATATTAAATTCTATGTTAAGTAGTAGTAAAATTAATGTTATGTTAAGTAGTAGTAAAATGTTAAGGATTTAGATGTTACTTACTTACATTTTGTCTTTACTAATTTTAAAGAACATTTACTTTTGGATGTTTTCTAGAAATTCACAGGTTAACATTAGGAGCAGTCTTTTAATTTTTGGATAAAGTGAACACAAAGTAAAGTAACAGCCTATGCACGACGCATTGCTGGGCAAAGGGCATCTCTGTAGTGAGGGTATAAGGCCTAATCCACCACCCGACCCCACTGTCGATTGGCAGACTTCATATATCCTCAAAATTTTTTAAAAATTAATATATTAAATACGTGAAAATTCACGTGCACGTGACAAGGGATTTGGCCTCAGGTTGCTCGAATATATTGAAATAAAAGTGAGTTTCAGGAAACTGGGCTATCATGGCTTACTGAGCTTTGATTGATTAAAATTATAGTATTGAAAAAAAAATTGAAATTCCAGGTTCTAGTACATTTATAAGCATTTTTACTTATTTATGACGACCCGAATGGTGTAGTGGGTAGTGTACCTGCCTCTTGCGCCAGAGGGTGTGGGTTCGATCCCAACTACTGGAAAAATATTGTGTGATGAACAGTGTTTCTCTAGTGTCTGGGTGTGTATGTATGTATAATATGTATTTATTTAAAAAAGAAAAGTATGTTTGTATGTTTATCAGATATCTAGTACCCATAGTACAAGCGTTGCTTAGTTTGGAACTAGAGACCGTTGTGTAAAAATGTGTCATAAATATTTATTTATTTATTTGTTAATTTATTTATTTTATCATTGTAAAAGTTAAACCTATTTTTAACAACAGGACTTTTACTTTTCGTTCTTCTTCTTCTTCTGGGGTGCCCTATCCTATCGGATATCGGCGACCACCACACGGAACTCTTCTCTATTGTGCGCCAATCTACAAAGACTGACGGCGTCCTTGATGTCTGTCCATTTTTTCAAATTGTCACTCCATGTTATTCGTCTTCGTCCCCTTCCCCGTTTTCCTTCTATTTTTCCTTCAATTATATTTTTCAATATGTTATATTTCTCATGTCTGTATATATGTCCAAAATAAGTGGCGGTAATGTTTTTAAACGATATGAACGAAATTCATATCGTTTAAAAACATTAAAACACAATCACAAATGACATCTGTCAATTAACAATCTGTCAAAACATTTCGATTGTCGAATTTCATTGCGTGTTTAATAATTCTGTATTTTTTAAATATATCTTTTTCGAAGTAGGTCCTTTCAAAACATGACGAAGGTAGCCGACAACGTTAACCCTCACGTATATGACAAGGAGTCTGAGCGTGAGATAACGTCGGAGGAACAGGACGAAGATGTGGTGGACGATTTCGACCAAAGGGAGATTTTTGATTTGATACGTAACATTAACGATCCCGAACATCCTCTAACCTTGGAGGAGCTGCACGTGGTGGAGGAGAAGAACATATCTGTGGATAATAGCGCGAATGAAGTCCTCGTGTACTTCTCGCCGACCATACCGCACTGTAGTATGGCTACTTTGATTGGTAAGGTTTGATCCGAAGCTAACAACACTAACAACACTGAATTATATGAGAGATTCATCAGTATGTATATAAAGGTTGCTAAATTTGCTTGATACTCTTTCTTTGGTGAAAATTGTTTAAATAAAGTTGAAATGAAAATTGGTCAATCAAATTTTACTCCGCTTAACCATGACCTTTGACTTTTAACCTTTGACCATGTGAAATTTAAGTTTGTAAGACATCTTTACAGCACAAGATAATGTTATCCAAAACTGAGGGTAATTTTTATTTAAAAGAATAAAAAAAATACATTACGTCACTCATTTATCCAATAGTGCATCCTTATAAATAATTATTATGATAATATTACAATAAGATTAAAACATACCAAATAGGTTAACACATTCAAGCAGTTAATTATCATTCTGCCCTTATCCCACCTCAATTGAGTTGACACGATATGTCAATCAACTTGTTAGTGGCACTGCATAGTAGACCAATCATTATCACCATATATTGTGGATTTGATTCCCTCTACTCAAAAATATTGTCTTGGTGATTATATTTATATATATTTTTTGCATATCTAATTTTTTTTTATTTACAAAAGTTTAGATATAAGCTATAAAGTCCTCATGATAAAAGCCTTCCTTAGTTTGGCACTAGACAAATGCCACATTTGTCTTGGTTTCTTTAAGATAGTTTCCATGTAGAAAGAATGGGATATTATTAATCAATGTGTGGCATAATAGCGATGAAGTAAGCAGATGGATTGTGTTGAGAATGGGAGCTAAGCATGTCTACCATCTACGCCTGCCTCTTACCCATGTGTGATCAGGCAGGAGAGTGCCTAGGTCCTTGCAGTTTTCAATATGAAGAAATTAGTTTGGGGATATAGTAGGGGATAGTGAATTGATGTGGAAGATTCGATTGTCGGATGTTACGATCATGTGAAGTTGCGGTTGTATATATTTTTAATCTGTACTGACTTCCTCTGTGTGAGAAATATGAGTGTTTGTCTATGAATGTTTATAGATGGAACTAGATTAAAAAAAAACTATAGAAGATGGAATAGGTGAATAAAAGAAATGAATAATCTCAAATCTGTGCTGGTTATTTTATATTTTCATACAAAAGCCATCTTCCACTCTATGGTTTTCGAATGTATGCTTTTTGTGAAATACTTCTTCTGGTAATTAAGATGTAAGTAAATAAAAAATATTATTATTATAACTGCTCAGTATTTTTATTCATCACAATATTTTTTCTATGAAAGTACTTTAAAATTAAAAATGTAAGATAATTAAAAAAATCACTAAAGTTCTCAAATATGTATTTATTATATAATTTTTTTATAGAGATTAAGTACCACTTTCAGGTTAGGTTACTATGTTTAAATCTTACTTGTAATTAAAAAAAATAGAGGAATTAAGAAAAATACATTTAAATTTCTCAATATTTGTTCAAAGCATGTAAATTATTAATATTAGGACAAATAATACATATTGAAACAATAAACAAAATAAAAATAAGTTTAAATATTTATATTATGTAATAAAAAAAAAAACATTAATATGTAAAGTAAAACTGTTATTTAGAGTTCGTTGATTTTGTCTCGTTCTTGATGTCCTCATAGGAAGTTTGATTCTGAAACAATTAGAATGACAGCATATTAATAAAAGTCTGATCTATGACAGTTTAATGGGTCGGAAGTCAAACTTGCGTGTAGGTTTCCGAATTTTTATATGCAGTCACCAATTGATAATAGTTAATATATTGATAAGTATGTTGTTACGAAATGCAAGATTTTTCTTTGTTATTATTTAGCAAGCGAGTTGCGGGGTTCAGCTGATGTTAAGTGATAACCGTGATGTTTTATACCTTTTAATAGAGTGGACCCCAGCTAACGACTAAACGCAGAGGTACACGTTCAATTCACGCCGGTCTTCTGTGAGGTCGTGGCACTTACCCGGACGAGCCTGCCCATTCGTGCAACAGCCGAGGCTGCTGCGTGGCTCTACCACAGTTAAATATTTAGATAAAACTGTCGCGAATATTGTCGCCATTCCCAGGGATTCGAATCTATACCTTACGGATTACTGGAAAAGTGCGTCCAAACTCTTCAGCCACTAAGCTATGCTGTACATCCTGATGACGTCCTATCTACTTTGTTTTTAATGCATTTAACCAATGCTTTGGCGTCATATAAAGTTCTTCCTTTACAGCAAATTGGAAACATATTCGCAAATGATATTTTACAATTAATATTTGAAAAATACATGGATCCTGCTATTGAAATTTTATTTTTAATTTTTGTGCTAGTCAAGATGATACCATAAAGCTTTCGAAATATTTTTTGCCGCTACCAACCTTTGTATTTCGGATTACGCAAAACGAAAGAAGTCACAGGAGTGAGGCCGCGATACTTCACCGCACGAGATAACCCATTCGTGGATTACTCCGTAGGCGTACGGTTGCTTAGGTCGGGGTTTAGATTCCTATGTTTCGCAACTGTTGGTGAGAACCACAGACAATTGCCTCGAATCTGGGTGATTGTCCAGGTGAAAGTTATGTATGTAAAACGTCCCTACAACACAGTATTATGTTGGCTTACTTTAAGGGGGCGATGTATTCGAAGAGAAGACTACAATAGATCTTTCTAAGTAGCAGTGATCGTTTGGACTTACCACGCTTCCACACAATTTACACCCCTTCCACACAAATTAGCCTACAGTAAAGGGGAGATGTGTTCGAAGGGAAAACTACAATAGATCTTTCTAGATCGCGTTGGTCGTTGGGACTTACCCCACCCCATACTTACACAAAATACGATACAATAAAATAAAAGCCCACTCTTAAAACAGGTGAAGTTTGAGCTGTGAATTTTGTACAAAGGTCTCACCTCCCACATGTCGTCTTCCCAACTAGGGAAGAACTTCTTGAAGATGGCCGGCTCCTTTCCCTGCTTAACTGACACCAGGATTGCAGTGTCCACGGTCCTGTCTAGTCCGTCATCGGATATGTACTCCTGGTAACAGTGAACGGTTTTTATTATAAATGTGTTTTCGACGTTGCCAGGATTCTGTTTTGCGGTCTTTTGAAGTATCTTGTATTAACTGATGTTTTTGCTTTCAGTCCCGAGACTATTAAAGCTTCATCTGACGCAGAACCGGTGGGCTAGCCAGAACCCACGGGTTTGGGCCCTCCGCTGTGGGTAGGGCCACGCATGTGCTCATGCGTGCGTTTAACTACGGCATGTCATCTAAGGGCCATCGAAGTAGCGGTGCGGACCGAGACCCCGATGGCCGTCGACTGTGTTTTTAGCTAATCGGTGGCTGCGGGCGGTGAGAACCGCCCTGGACTCGGGTGTACCTTGTGTACGCGTTGTGTTGGTCTCGCCGTGCTCGGAGGCGAGGGCGAACTATTGTGTTTGTTGTTACACTAGCTGTGGGTAGTGTTATCCGGCGGGACCCCCGGCGGTGGGTCCGGCGCCCGGCGGTGGGTCCGGCTCTTTTGAAGTTATACTTCTTTAGGCGCGTTATGAAAAAATTATGAGAGTGAAATTTTAAGTTGCGCGCGCATCACTGTAAGACAAAAGTCACACCAGTGAAGCGGCCCGTAAATTTTTATAGATGGCAGCATATTCTCAATCACATTCGCCCGTTACAGTTCTCATTAAAGAATGTAGATGGCACTTTCATAATTTTATATTATTTATATCCTTTTCCAGTCTTTTTATTATTTTATTGTAATTAATTATTTGCATGCAATTAAAAACTATTTTTAATGATGCCAAACAAGTATAGGTTCTCGCGGGTACATTTTTTATATTTAATTACAAGCGAACTGTTGGTTCATCTGATGTTAAGTGATAAGCGCCATCTACGGACATTTGCAACACTCGTAGGGTTGCAGAAGCGTTGCCACCTTTTAATAAAGTCTGCCCCGGTTACATCATTTAACAAACGAAATGCAGAAAAATTATGCTACCATTTCAGGCCGATGTTTTGGAAGTCAGGTCATGTACGTACTTGCACTGACGGGCCTACCCATTCGTGCAACGATCAAGAGACAGAGGGAATCCATATTTTTTTGCATTGCAAAATGCTTCGTGTATACGTACGAAACTTATGACACATATAGATATAGATTTCACTTTTGTAAAGATTTAAGAAAATTTTGTATGAAAATTTTACCTGAACAATATCGTTTCTCGCCATTTTAACCCTGTCTGGGGTGTTCTTCCCCTGCCACAGGTACAACTCCTCACCGGTGTCCAGGACGTAGACGCCGTCGTCAGAGAGGTCCTGGACATTTAATAATTATAATAATGTAAATAGCATGGTGTTTTTTTTTTTTATGTGAAAAGTTGTCAAACGAGCAGACGGTTCACCTGATGTTAAGTGAATACCGTCGCCCATGGACGTCTGTTACAGAGGCGTTTACAACCTTTTGAAAATTAGGCTCCGGTTACCTCACTCACCAGACGAAACGCGAAAGTATTTGTCATACTTCCACTTTACGCTGCTCTTCTGTAAGGTCGTGGTACTTACCCGGACGGGCCTGCCCATTCGTGCAACAGCCGAGGCTGCTGCGTGGCCCTACCACCGTAGTGTGGTAGGGCCACGCAGCAGCTGGTGTTAAAAATATTTTTAAACGTAAGAATTATTTATTAAGTGGCATTTCGGTAAGCTTTTTTTATGTTGGCAACATTTCCTTCTTCTTCGACCATTAGACCAAGCGGCGTGTTGTAGAAATTAAATTATAAATAATACCGTCCATTACTTAATCTATGCGGCATTTTTATTTTCTACAAATTGTCATTATGAGGGATGAAAGTCATTTGTCTAGAAGAGTAATGAATGTTAGTGTAGTTAGAGGTGCTAAATTAAAGGAAGACCGAGAAGGATTTGGATGGACCGTGTAAAGACTGATATGTCTGTGAAAGAGGTCAGTACTGAGATGACGGCTGTTAGAGGAAAGCGGTAGAAAAGGACACGCTTTGCCGACCCCACCTGGTGTGAGATTAGAGCAGTAGAAAGGAGAATAATGTTAATGTCATGTCAAAAAAATGTACAATGAATTTAAAGGTGTTAAAAAAAAGAACGAAGAAATATATTAAAACTGTAAATATATTAAAACTGTAAAGGACAATGGCTGATAAAAATATGAAAATTACTTAAGGGAATAAATTATAATAGTAACCCAAAATAGAACCTTAAAATACTTAGGGTAGTCCACAACAGCCGGTACAAGTACGACTGTGTAAGTATTTAAGTAAAGAACTTTTAAAGTACGACTGAAAGTCTAATTGTTCTCGTTCGGCTCAAGTTTCGCAGATGAGATGGGAAGAAGAAATTGCTTACTTTATCGACGCTCTCCGTAACTACAAACGCTCTTTATAAAAATATAGTGAGAGAAGACTATCACGGATCCCGAACTTATGTCCGTATGGTTCAAGTTTTACACATGACAAGGCCGAATTTAGAGGTCTGGAGGCCTCAGGGCAACAAAGGAGTGGGGACCCCTTGGCCCCAAGTTATTTTCTAAATAAAATGAACAATTTTTTTCAGTCGAGTTTTTCATTAAATAATTTACTGTGAAACCAAGTAGGTATAGACTATTTTTATATTTAACGAACATGTAAATATAATCGGAAACAAGAATTATATAAAATTAAAATTGTTTACTAATGTTTACTAGTCCGAATGAAGCGCGGAGCTGTGGCCCCGGTTGCCCTCCCCTAAATCCGGCTCTGATGCATGGGAGAGAAAGGAGAAATTCACAAACGTTCTCCTTCCAAAATGGTGGTAGAAGATGGTGAGAGTACCGTACCTGTTGACCGAAGTCCGGTGGTAGCTCCTCGAAGCGGATCTTGCCGGCGATCGTGACGGCCACCGCCGTGAGGGTCAGCGGGGTGGTCACCCGCCGGTTGACCGTCAGACGCCAGCCGGACGCGTCCTCCCTGTCCTCGGGCGCGCCGCCTGGACCAGAGGGGTGGCAGTGACAGACTTTCAGCTGGTAAAACTATTTTGTATGGAAAGTGGTGACATCTAGTGTCCAGGGCGTGTTAACTTAGTCGCATAGGACCGAAAATCCTAACTAGATGCCGCTACATTATGTTATTGTCATTTTTCGTCAATTTCTTAAATAAAGTTAATGATGAATAATACTTTATAAATACTGTCAAAAATAAAAGTATGTTTAGACGAAAAATTACGGTTTAATGATTATTATAATTTTATAAACACTCGTTGAAATAATTATTCCAGTATATCTGTATCATCTATGGCCTGGACAATTAATTCGTGTCACGGCCCCCTTGCCAACACGCCTTAATAACGAACCCCAACTCGAGTTAATTCGATAAATGCTTTCCTCGTACTGCCTAAAGTTGGTTTCACTCCCGGAATAACAGTAACTCACCACTGATACTTTGGATTTTTTTTAATGACATAAGATGGCATGCGCGCTGGCGTTACACCGGATGTTAAGTGATAATCGCCGCCCATCGACATTTTGAACATTTTGGTTGCAGACGCGTTGTCACCTTTCAATAAAGTGGGTCCCGGCTACCTCAACAAACGAAACGCAGAAGTTTAACTCTTTCACTTCACGCCGGTCTTCTGTGACATATATGGGCTGTTACTTTACTACTTTTTAATAAGTGTCGTACCCAAATACTCCCAGAACTCTTCGCTCTCCTCCCCCTGCTCGACCACCTTAAGGTCCGCATCCTCACCAAGCACTTCCTGGACGAAGCTAATGGCCGCTTCTTGCTCCTTAGGGTGGGACTCCTGTTTACGATTTAGAAAATAACCTATATCGATGATACTGAACTGAATTTTGGTCTTTGGCAACCACCAAAATGTGTGGTAGCCTAAAATGTGGCGCACAGACGTTCTAACCATTCGAGCGGAGAATCAGTCTTCGCGGCGCGAAAATTGTGACAGCAAAGGAAGAGGAATTGAGAACAGTTCGACTGTATTTTTAAACGGTTTTATTTAGCTCGACACGTACGGAATTTGTTTGTTTATATGGGTCAAAATTAGAAATTGAAATTTGAAACTCCTTCCCGTTGTCAGATAGATCTGAAATTTGGTACACACATTTAATTTTACATGACAATACAATGTTGTAGTTTTCAGTGCACAAAAAAAAAAAGCATAAAATAAAACCGTTCAACTTAAAAGTTTTTGAACGGTTTTATTTTACGTTTGTTACCTCGGAAACGTAAATGATAAACTTAAATAGTAACAATTAAATAAACTAAACGAATATGTTGTATTTTTGTATAATAATAATTTACTAATATATACCAAACAAGATACAATAGACATACATAAATCTAAACATATACTATACAATAACTTACAAAAATATATACAGGAAGAAAAAAATAAATAAATAAAAAATTTCGTCGGTGATAATTAGCTTGAGCACAGTGACAGATAATAATTTTTAACGTCAGTTTTATATTTTATATATACAGCGTGTCGTCAGTTGTAGTTGTATAGGTGTTACAAATTTTGTTTATTTTTTATTTAATTAGTTCGTTTGAAAAATATTTTTTTTAATTATGGTTTTTTTTTTTAAGTTTATATTTTTTATGACTATTGACAAGAAGCGTTAGACGTGTGTTCATTTATTGTCGCGGTAGTAACGACACGCTGTATATTTATTTACAAAAGAAATGTACGTTTAATGTATGTTCATCAGTTTGGGACCAGTCAATATAGCAATAGCAATCATTGTGTAAAATATGTCCTGAAAAATATAAATACGGGAGGTTTTTCTAAGTGTATCCATTTTTTTTTATTAAATTCTAGCCATAAATAATGTTATGTAAAAAAATGATAAATATTTTAAATCACTCTTAACTACATTCATTTGAACTTATCTCAAAATGTGCGTGATTTATGAGCAACTCATTTATTTTACGCGCAATCATTCATAACTAACACGCACACAAGTTCGATTCAAAATTATACGATGCATTTATGAATGACTACCGCATTGTCAACAAGTTCTGTTTTTTAGGGAATTGAATGGCAGTTCTTTTGAAAAAAAAGTTTGTTTTTATTTCAATAAATGATAATACTACCGAGTCTGAACCTCCTGTGTAAATTTGGGCACCTTTAGAAAAGCCAACCTGTATATTAAGTAGTATAAACTATCAGCCACGACGCTGGAGCGAGTGGCGTGGTGGATATTGGTAGCCGTGGCTTACTGGAATGAATATAGTGTTTTATTATGTATATATGTTGCGAATTATATATACCCCTTGCGCCAAAGATTATATATTCAAAAGAAACAATGAAAAACAATTCCATATGACCAATTGAACAAAGACAGAATATACTAAAAACCGGCCAGGTGCGAGTCGCACTCGCGCACGGCTCCCTAAAATATCTATAAAAAGTAAAGTAACAGCCTATACATGTCCCACTGCTGGGCAAAGGCCTCTTCTATACAGAGGGTATCAGGACATAGTCCAACACGCGGCCCCACTGCGGATTGGCGGACTTCACATATCTTCGAAGTATTTTTTTTTGTTATTCTTTCGAAAATATGCAGTTTTCCTCACGATGTTTTCCTTCACCGCGGAGCATGTGATAAGTCAGCATTTAAAGTTCATTGGTGCCGGCACCGGGGATCGAACTCAGGTTGCTCGAGTATATTGAATTAAAGGCGAGCGCCCGGACACTGAGCTATCACGGCTCTTAAATATATATAAAAATGGCATAAATTGTTGTATGGTAAGTAGCCCCATTTAAATATTTTTTTAGTATTAGTTGTAATAGCGGCAACATAAATACATCATATGTGAAACTATCACGGTTCATAAGATACAGGCTGGTGACAGACGAACGGGCAGACAGCGTAGTCTTAATAATAGGGTCCCCTTTTACCCTTCGGGTGCGGAACCCTAAAAATGGACATTCAAAGGTGGAGCTTACCCTTGAAGATGCTCAAGAAGTGCTTAGGCTCCTTCCCTTCTGGAACCTTCACCACCGTGACACTCTCCCCCAACTCCTGGTCGATCTGCGAAGCCATCTCCAGCGCCGCTTCTTTATCGGTGGCGTCCGCGTCCGTTCCCTTGAGAGACAGAGAGAAAAACAGATTATGCTTGTACTCATGTACCCACATAAGAAGTTATTACCTGGGGGACCTTGGTTTTTTTTGGTAAATCATGTATTTTTGAAATAGAAAAAAATAAAAAATAAAGAAAATGATCTGGTATAGAAAAAAAAAAATAAGTCTGTAAATGATCGTGATACGAACCGATTGCCGACCGAGCTATTATAACATTTTTTTAGTGGCGAAATTTACCGTCATATTCGAATGATATTTTTCATTCCCTGAAAACAGGGACAAAAGGACATTTTCTAAAAATGAAACCTAGCTAGGTCGATTTTTCGCCCCCGAATCTAAGCACATACTAAATTTATATATATATTTATATATATATATATATATATATATATATATATATATATATATATATATATATAAATATAGATGTATACAAGAATTGCTCGTTTAAAGGATAAGATAAGAAAACTTGAGTTGCCAAAAGGATGGTTGAACTCTTTGAATCGATTGTTCTGATCTCCATTCAGAGAGTTTAACCATCCTTTTGGCAACTTAAATAACAATTTCAATTATTTATAGTGCTAATCTTTGCACTTAAGATTGAACAATAAAATATGTTGAAAAAGTACGATAACATTGTCGCCGCTGTGGGAATCGAACCCACGTCTTCGGCATTTGCGACCTGACGCTCCTTCTACATATTTTAACTTAAATAACATTTCAAAAGTCATTTGGCAGGTGATTAGTTGCCACCGTTTAATAAAGTGGGCCCCGGCTACCTCACTCATCAGACGAAACGCAGAAGTGTAACACTTCTGCTCCTCCCCTACACCTCACGCCGGTCTTCCGTGAGGTCGCGGTACTAACCCGGTCGGACCTGCCCATTCGTGCAACACCGAAAACCTGTTGCCTGGCCCTACCACATGTCAAGTTTAAAACTATTATTTTCTTTCACAATTTTAATTAATGCTGACTCGTTTTTTTTTTTTTTTTTTTTACGGACACATTTTTACACAACATTCTCTAGTCCTAAACTAAGCAAAGCTTGTACTATGGGTACTGGAAAACTGATAAACATACTTAAACATACTTTTCTTTTGTAAATAAATACATACTATTATACATAATATTATTATCCAGTATATATATATATATATACAGCGTGTCGTTACCATCGCGACAATAAATGAACACACATAAAGGGGATAACTATTTAAAGTTGTATTAAACATTTAAATTCTTTAACATCAATATTTACAGAGTTATTAAATTTTCCAAAACAAAGAATTTTAGAACACCCTTACCTATAAAAGCGTAACGTAAAGTTCAATTGTAAAGGTCACAAAGCACATGAATGGGTTGAATGAATTTAAAAGCGACAAAACATACTGTTAGAAGGAGAGGCTTGTAATGCGACGCTGTGGCGCGAGTTGTATAGGATGTTACAAATTTTGTTTCTTTTTTACTTAATTAGTTTGTTTGAAAAATATTTTTTTTATAATAATTTCTTGTATTTACGCGATTACACATTATAAATGAAACTAATTTTACGGATTTATCGCGTTTATTTTTAATTTAAGAAGAACACCGATTCCTCCCAAGGATGATTCGCGAGGCTATTGAAATTAAAAAACACCCTAATTTCAATAGAGAAGAGGGTTGGGTACTACCATCAGCTTGGGATCCTATCATCAATAAAATTAAATCTAAGCCCAAAAGAACCACTACTGCAAGACAAGATACAATTAGCTCCCTCTGCATAGATCGGGCACAAAATCAATAATACAAAAACTGACGGTAGCCCAGGATAACTTTGACAATCAGACGTCTAACACCTCAGTCTGTCCCGTGACCATGAACGCTGTAAAGGGTTCGAAACGTCGGGAACTTAAATTAAAAATAAACGCGATAAATCCATAAAATTAGTTTCATTTATAATATTTTTTTTAATTATGGATGTTGTTTAACGTTAACATTTTTTTTATGATTATTGGCAAGTAGCGTTAGACGTGTGTTCATTTATTGTCGCGATGGTAAAGACACGCTGTATAATCATCCAGTAGTGGGGATCGAACCCACACCCTCTGGCGCAGGAGGCAGGTACACTACCCAATACGCCATCCGGGTCGTCATTTGTAACGCAAATCTTTACTTACGATCCAAACGTATACAATGTAAGCGTCTTCGCCGCTGTTATCGGTGTATTGGTACTTGATCAGGTAGACCTCGCTCTGATAGAGGACTGGCTTCTCGACGATCCTCTCCGTAATATCCTCTCCCTCGCCTGTTACGCTGAACAGAGGTATAATGTTTAACGTGAACCGTTTAAACAACAAATAACCATGGAAGGCAGGGCCGGATTTAGGGGAGGGCATCCACAAAAGAGGGGCCCCCACAATAGATACTTCGGAAAAAAAATTAAGATTCAGAGTAGAAACAATAGTAAACAACTTTTCCTTTCGCATTTTTTTCCGCGTTTTACTTTTACCTACAGTACTTTGTACAAACTTGATTACATTAAATACTAGCTGCGCCCGCGACTTCATCCGCGCGGAATTTAAAATAAAAATAAAATTCTAAAATAAAAGTAGCCTAAGTTACTCCTTATTACATCAGCTATCTGCCAGTGAAAGTCCCGCCCAAATCGGCCCAGCCGTTTCAGAGATTAGCCAGAACAAACAGACAAAAATTGTAAAAAATGTTATTTTGGTATATGTACTGTGTATACATCCATATGCATTTAGTAAAAAGCGGTTATTTTAATATTACAAACAGACACTCCAACTTTATTTATCTGTATAGATTAATAGAAAATAATTTCGGGTCAAGGCCTCCACTCCTTTGTTGGCAGGAGGCCTCCAAACCTCCAAATCCGGCCCTGATGGTAGGGACGCAACATTTCGCTGTTGAACGAATGGACAGGTCCGTCCGGGTAAGTACCACGACCTCGCAGTAGATCGAAGTGAAGTAGAAGTGTAACACTTCTGCGTTTCGTCTGCTGAGTGAGGCAGCCGGGGCCCACCTACCACCTAACACCACCTAACACCTGTGCAGGCCTACGGGTGTTGCAAATTTCAATTAGCGGTGGTTATCAGTTAACATCAGTGGAAATGCCAGCTCGTTTGCCACCTTCTCACATAAAAATAGACGCAATAAAATGCTTGTGACGTAATAAAATGTTTTCCTTTTAAATTCCTTAAAAAACAGGCATCTATGTAGGTAAAATATATGTTCCATTTTTATAGTGAAGCAGCTATAATAATAATATAGTGATGTTGACTTTCCCAAAAGAGCTTTTTTTTAATAAAAAAATTCTAAAATATCTTTTATGCTAGGGTGAACCTGTTTGAATTGACAGGTATGACGGGCCCAAGATGGCGCAAGACCCAGTCCTATTGTTATTTGAATAACATAACAAGTCTATTTTTTATTAACTAAGAACTAAACCGAATTCAAATATCTCGCTTTGTATTCATTTTATAATTGTTTTTGAGGAGTTCCCTCAGTATTTCGGGAGCCGAAGATCCAATACCAACGAAATTAACATGGGACCACATGGGAAGCGCCAGCTTTCAAATGAAAAAAGAATCATCAAAATCGATTCGGCCGGTCGAAAGATCAGAGGTAACAAACATAAAAAAAATACAGTCGAATTGAGAACCTTCTCCTTTTGAAGTCGGTTAATAAGTTCATTATCATTAGAATATGCGTTGGCGGATTTCGAAACCTAAAGACCCCGGTTCGAGACCGGATCCACCAGATTTTTTCTTTTTTTTTATTGTTTTTTTTTTCGAGTCCAGATGATTATTTAATTTTTCCCCTTCTTTTTTCCAAAGTTGTGAGAGCAAAAATCCTCCTGCGTTTTTGAAGTCGGTTAAAAAAAAGACCACGGACTTAAAAAAAACCGGCTAAGTCCGAGTGAGACTTAGGGTTCCGTATCATTCTCTATAAAAATACAGCCGAATCGAGAACCTCCTCGTTTTTTGGGGTCGGTTGAAAAGGGAATTTATGGCGGCTTACCGAGTGACGGTGTAGCTGCCATCTCCGTCGTCTGGCATGTAGCCTCTGGCAGACGCGCTCTTGCCAATGAACTTGGCAATGGCGTCGGAATCTTCGGCGTCACCGGAGAAGTAGCCGGCGTCTGTGGTTAAAAGAACGGCGTCAAGCTACGAGGCTTTTCCTATGCTTTTCATATTTATGAACCGTTGTTAATATTTCGTTGGTCAACGTTTCTTTAGTGAATAAAGATAGCTTGAATTTTTTTTTATTTGTTTTTTTTTTAAACATTGCCCTTACTTTAGGTTAACATTATCCTGTGTTGTAAGGACGTTTTACACACATAAACTTCACGAAACAACTATCTGTGGATCGCACAAATAGTTGTCCCGTGTGGGGATCGAACCCACGACCCCCGACGCCGAAGCCAATACCTTGACAGCTGCGCCACGGACTCATCTCACTTTGAAATTTTTCTTCTAATTATGGATTGCCGTAAAGTTACAAGTCTCTCTTTCTAACAGCATATTTATCTCTTTTAAATTCATTCAACCCATTCATATGCTTTGTGATCTATAAAAATGAACTTTACGTTACACTTTTATACGTAAGCGTGTTCTAAAATTGTTTGTTTTGAAATATTTTATAAATCTCTGTAAATATTGATGTTTAAAGAATGTAAATGTTTTATATAATTTTGATATGTTCTCCCCTATATGTGTATTGATTTATGGTCGGCATAGTAGCGCCACGCTGTGTATACAGCGTGTCGTTACAACAGGCTATTTTTAATTGGAAAAAACTTTAAAGTATATACATATTTTAAAGAAAGATATTTATTTAAGGGCTTCAACGTGAGCGAAGCCGCGGCCGAAAAGCAAGTCGGCTCATAAATGACGAAGTTATCCCCGAACACTCATAAAAAAAATACATACATATATTTATACGGTCGAATTGAGAAACCTCCTCCTTTTTTGAAGTCGGTTAAAATATCCCTGTAATTGTTTATTCTAGCGCCCCAAACTCACCAGTTTCCGTAAGCATACTCCGCGACGACGGGCTGACGGTGTCCCAGTTGTGGAAGTATTGCTTGAAGGTGCTGCTCTCGTTACCCTCTGCTACCCTGGTGATGTGGACCTGCATTCAAGCAGTGTAGAAGTTACAGATTTTTAAACCAGAACTGGACAAAGATTGAGGACTAAGGTGATATTTAGTTCGAACATTCTCGACTGCATATATTCTGATAACACGCCAGTCACAGTATACAGGGTGATTTTTCTAAAGTTGCCCAAATTCACACAGGAGGTTCGAACTTGGCAGTATAATCGTTTATTGAAATAAAAACAAACTTTTTTGTTTTTAAAAAAAAAAAAATTATATGCCCTAAAAACATAACTTGTCGAGTCACTCATTAATGCGTCGTATACTTTTGAAAGGAACTTGTGTGCGTGTTAGTTATGAATGATCGCGCGTAAAATAAATGAGTTGCTCATAAATGACGCACATTTTGAGATAAGTTCAAATGAATGTAATTAATTAATTACGATTTTAAATATTTATCATTTTTATATAACATTATTTATGTCTAGAATTTAATTAAAAAAATGGATACACTTAGAAAAGCCTCCCTGTATACAGTAGTCTAAGAGCTAGCAACTTTTCCGAGAATTACGATTTAATATCTGTATTTATTACTTTGGAATAAGTGATCTAGCCCATTTCTGTCTCCTTTGCGAGTGTGACATTTGATTTTAGACCCAATTCTTTTGTCTTTTTATTCTAATGTCTTTATTCTAGTTACAACAGATAGGTAAGAATTTGATAGTGTCTCTCTTCTATTCAATATAGTTTTTAACTCCCTTGTATGACGCCCATACATAGGGCGTCATACAAGGGAGTTAAAAACTAGAAGTTAAGAACTTAAAAAGAGGGCGAATAACAATAAATCGCCATAAAGAAAATGCGGAAGACACTGGCGACATGTTTTTTTAAATAATTCTAAACTGTCATGTCTGAATGAATGAATGAATGAATGAAATATACTTTATTGTACACAACCACCGGATATTGAAGAATCAACTAAAATAATACAAAACTGTACAATAGGCGGCCTTATCGCTAGGAAGCGATTTCTTCCAGGCAACCTAGTAAAAGGAAATAGTAAAAACAGTAGCATTGGGTAACGGTGTACACTGAATTAATAAGAGAAACTTATAAGTCAAAATATAAATACATATTAATAAATTATACATAAATTTTTTTTTTTTTTTTTTTTATGTGAGAAGTTGTCAAACGAGCAGACGGTTCACCTGATGTTGAGTGAATACATGCAAGACACGAGGGTTTGCAGATATTTTGAAATTGGGCTTGCACATATAAACACGATATATAAATATTACGTTATAAATAATGTATAAGTATTTAGATATAAGTAGACAACATCGAGGAATGGAACACAATGATTAAGGAGGCATAAAATGTTTTCTTAAAAGTCGCTTGAAAATAGGTAGGGATTGTGCGCGCCTAATATGTAGATAGGTAGATCTGATATTTTCATAGCTTACTCAGCACGGAAGACGAAGCCGTGATAGCTCAGTGTCCAGGCGCTCGCCTTTAATTCAATATACTCGAGCAACCTGAGTTCGACCCCGGTGCCGGCACCAATGAAATTGTCAATTTTAAGTGCTGCCTTATCACGTGCTCAGCGGTGAAAGAGAACTACGTGAGGAGACCTGCATATATTCGAAATAGAAACCAAAGAAGCATTCCGAAGACATGCGAAGTCGGCCAATCCGCAGTGGGGCCGCGTGGTGGACTATGCCCTGGTACCTTTGTGCGGAGGAGGCCTTTGGAGAAGTTTGACATGTATAGGCTGTTACTTTACCCAGGCCGGGTAGCCCTTCACGTCCAAGTACTTCTGGACGATGTCGTTGTAGTTCTTCTTGACGTCGGAGTCCAGCTCGGCACCGAGCCACACGTACACTCCTGAGCATGGGGTGTCCAATATGTACACCTCCTGGATGGAGAAATTTCAATGTGATCAGTCGAAAAGCCGTTCAAAAGCCGATAAAGATTAATAACCAGTTATTTATTTTGACGATTTTAGTTACATGTAAAAAAAAAAATAGACAACTGTATTATAAAAATATATCTTCTGGACATTTGCATGCTGTTTAAAACAGCTAAATAGGTTAGGTTGACATTTGTGACAACAACAAGATAACAAGACCAAATTTTTTTCTGTACTACCTATTTATCAGCAAATAAAGAAACTTAACTACCTAAATGAGACCTTTAATAAATAGGTCAGTCCTTTTTGGCACTTACAACAACAATAGGCTAACAGTAATATTATAAACATTATAGTTAGTTTATATTAGGTACTAGCGGTCTCGGTACAACGCTTGCCTTGTTTTGCCATATAAATTATTTCTAGGGAATTTGTGAATCTGAACGCACCTGAATCTAAATCTTCGGAACGCACCCATAAAATGTTTGACAGATAGAAACAGTTTGTGTGGGAAAATAAGATTGTTGCTATTTCGATTTTCCATGCAATTCTTCCATAATTTATCATCGTTTAAACCTTCCGTGGACTGCCACAAATATTTCAAAACGAAAATTAGCCAAATCGGTCCAGACGTTCTCGAGTTTTAGCGAGACTAACGAACAGCAATCCATTTTTATATATAAGAAGATGACTAGAAGCAGTTGCCGAGCTATTAGTTTTGAGCCCAAGGGTCGTGGGTACTATACCCATGCGGGACAAGTCTTTGTGCGACCCAAATATGTGTTCCGGATCTGGGTGCTTATTCTCACGGAAGGTTGACAGGCTGGCAGCCAGTATCAGTACTGAAAAAACCTAGCCCATACCATTAAGAACAGGACTCGCATGTTTTGCCACCACAAACGCGGTAGGACGAGAGGATGATAATAATGATGAACCACGTTATTAGACATCTGAAAAACACTGTGCAGCATTCATGGTCTGTCTTGTGAACATGAAAATGATGTTACAACTTATATGAATCCGTTAAAATAGTTGAAATGAGTAATGCATTACGCATGTCTTATGAAATACTAGCTGCCTCCCGCGACTACGTCTGCGTAGATAGGCTGAAGGCGTAACATTCAGACAGAAAGACAGATATACATAAAAATATGTATATAATCTATAGTCTATGTTATTTTTTGATGAATTAGCTATATTATTGTAAAGTTTCATTAAAATACATTCAGTAGTATTTGCGTGAAAGAGTAACAAACATCCATCCATACATACAAACTTTCGCGTTTATAATATTAATAGTAAGGATCTACTAATATAACCACGACGATAATAAACAAATTAACATAAATTATTAGATCTTGCTCTGCACATGCAAGTACCCTGGCTGCTGCTTATTTTATACTCAAACAGTTGAATATACTTATATTATTTTTAAAAAAAAGATAACCATACTGCATAGCGTATAATTTGTTGTCTATTGTTAATTCTGTGTACAATAAAAGTATTCATTAATTAATTCATTCACAGTATCTTTCCGGTGATTCTCTGCACAAGTCTAATTGATCGGTGGTAGGTTAAATGCAATAAGAGCTTAAAACAAGCATTTATTGAATAAAGAAATTTTGACTTTGACTGACAATTAGTATAAAAAAGTGGGGTATAAACAACCAAGAAGAGGACTTACAGCCGAGGACAGTTGCCGCTGCTTGTAGGGTTTGCTCAGCGAGATCAAGTCCAGCTCGTCACCATCTAGGACGCGGTACAGGTATACCGCAGAGATATCCTCTCGGCTGTACGTCTGAAAAGCCGAAGAAAGATGATCGGAAACAGACCATACAGGATAAGTAATTAATTGTTAACATAACTTTTAATTGTTAACATAATCGTGTTTGTCGAAACTAAATAAAAATTCATTCATACATTCATCTCTCGCCTTCTCGGTTTAAGTTCTTTTGTTTGGTCCTTCGGGAACTTCGAAAGTTACTCTGTCTTTGGTATGTTGGAAGAGATACTACGGGATCTCCTACGTAAGCACCGGTGCCGCCTCAACAATGAGCGCGCTTTGGAGAAACCTTCCGCAATTCCACCGCTTTGGAGACAATACGAGACCACTTCGTCTTTATGGATCACTACAAAGCTCCGCCAGGTCTCATAACGATCATCCACAGACCCAGTGTCCCTTTTGAGTCGCCTTTTACGACAAGTAGGAATATCTTAGGCCCAATTTATGAGCACGAGGCTATAGATCCGCCGAGGCTTAAGAGCCTGGTGATCACGTCAATGATACATTTGCAATGAGGTTAAGGAATTTGGAACAATGATGACTAATGGGACGAGACCGTAACGACCAATTTCCCAGGTCATTAACCAGTCCCCGTTCTGTTTTATTCAAAGAGGATATCACGACTCACCTGGGTCGAGTCGTCATCTACCAGGTCTTCCTTAGAGCCGGAACCGAGTGCTTCGAAGAACAACGCGACGTCTTCGTCAGACGAGAAGTCATCTGTGGACGTCATAAGCTATGGAGACTGTCTTCTTGCAAGTTAAAAAGATTCTCATGTTTAAAGGTTCTTCTCTCCTCTAAACCATTATTTTTGCCTTGAGTCGTCACGTTAGCCCGTGTCTCGAAACTCTTGCCGTAACTCACTGGAACTCCCAATTTGTTAACATTACTTCTCTTACGAATGTAACTCTAAGGAAACCTTAATGAAATCCGCGAGGACGAGTGGTATATTTGAAAATAAACGGACTAAACGGTCAATAATCCATTAGCTTGACACCAGCTGGTGACTTTGCTTGGGTTCCTTACTAGGAGTGAGGCGTATTTATCTATATATAACAGGTATCTCGAGATAACGGACTGTACCTGTTATGAACAAACTTGAATAACAGTTCCTGTTCCACACAAATCGCTCCTTAACACGCTGTCACAAGCTTTTCTTTATTCATGCTTACGACTGTTACCTTAGTTAGAAAGAGATAAAAACTGTTACACCTTGTCACAGTTGTTACTGAACACTGTCACTGTTTCATCTCACAGCATAGCACAACCTCTTTCTTTTTCTTGCATCGGTCTTACAGCTTTGTTAGAGAGAGAAGGACGGACGTTAACATAGAGTAACATACTGTAACTGTTACACAAATTGTCACAACATAATATGAAATAACAGGCTGTTATTTCGTAACAGGTATTTGTTACTTTTAAGGAACAGGAACAGGCGTGACAGGTACTCGATTTGACCTAGTATAGCTCACTCCTATTCCTTACCCAAAGGGAAAAAACCTATTTACTAAGACCCTTTTACTAAGACACCCACTGTCTGCCTGTCCGTCTGTCACCAGGCTGTTCCTCAAGAACCGTGATAGTTAGAACTTTTCACAGATGATGTATTTCTGTTGTCGCTATAACAACAAGTACTAAAAAACAGAATAAAAAAATATTTTTGTGGTGCTCCCATAAAACAGACATGATTTTTAGCGAGCAGTTGGTACATCTGATGATCCACCAAACCCGATGGGGTGGATGGTGGAGAAGAACCGGCGAAAGAAACTCAGCGGGCTATTTTTTTTCTTTTTCATTTTTTGACATACACGGTGTGACATGAATATATTATAAATCACTACATAGTATAAAACAAGGTCGTCCCGCTGTCTGTCTGTGTCTTATGTATGCATAGATCTTTAAAACTACGCAACGGACCTTGATGCGGTTTTTTAACTAGATAGAGTGATTCAAGAGGAAGGTTTACATGTATAAAACATCGCACCCGCGCGAAGCCGGGGCGAGTCGCTAGGACAATATAAAAAATTCCGATACTTTAAATCGGAGGATCAAGAGCCGGGAGCTATCAATTCATTGCCAGAGTATGTTATCATTTAATATCTAGTACCTGGAGGACCGAGCTTTGCTCGGATTTTTTTTGGTAAATCGTGTATTTTGGAAATAAAAAAAATAAAAAATGATCTGGTATAGAAAAAAAAGTAAAAAAAATAAGTGTAAATGATCGTGATACGAACCACGGCCGTCTGTTTTGGGGCCGCCCGATTACCGACCAAGCAATTATAACATTTTATTTTGCGGCGAAATTTACCGTCATATTCGAATGATATTTTTCATTCCCTGAAAACAGGGATAAAAGGACATTTTCTAAAAATGAAACCTAGCTAGATCGATATTTCGAAAATCGCTGGAGCCGTTTCCGAGATTCCGATTATATATACAAGAATTACTCGTTTCAAGGATAAGATTTACAAACACACAGTGAGTTATCTATTTACAAACCGATGATTTCAATGGTGGCCCTCCCGTTGTGATAGTCGTCTCGGAGCGTGTTGGCTACGCTGATGATCTTCCTCCGCTGCGTGGCCTTGGCGCCCTCCGGCATCAGCACGAAGATGTCGTGGTCCACCTCCAGGATGAAGCAGTGGTCCTTGGTCAGCGACGTGGACTCCGCGGGGACCTGCAGTGATATTCACTATTGAAAGTTTCCTGTTTAACTAAGAATTTTTTTAAAGGTTTACGTCTTAGGCTTAACGCCGCGGCCGGTAAGAGATCTTTTTAAAGAGATTAATATAATCACTGTTGCGTCCCCATATATTTATTGTAATACTTTGTATGTTATACATAAAGAATAGTGACAGACATATACAGGATCCAAAGCATTGCAATAAAGATACTGGTAATGAAGAATGGAAAGTTGTTCAGAAAAAACGGTACAGAAACCGGTTTGTAAGTATGCAAGGCAAAGCTTGTTCGAATTCCGAGGAGAAGTTTAGAGCTGCGGTTGTAAAGATACCGTTATTTATTAACTACGTAGATATAAATACAAAGGAGGAAGATATTATTGAATATATAAAAGTGAAATCTGAAATAACTGTGAACCTCAAAAAATAAATACAAAGGAGCAAAGACAGTATAATGCATATATTGTATATGTGCCGAAAAATAAATTATCCGTGTTCCTGGACGACAGTATGTGGCCTGAAGGTGTGACTTTCAGAAGATTTATGAAGAATTATGGTAATTCAAAGAATAATGATAAATAAATATGGATATAGATAACTCTAGAGTAAAATTTATAACCTTCAACTGCAAATCTTTGGCAAGTTCTATTGAGGACATAAGATTACTGTGTCAGTCTGCAGACCTTTTAGCACTACAAGAAACATGCCTACTTCCGGATGATATCGCTTCACTTGGTCAAATCGATCAAAATTTTGGTTACTAACACTATATGGGTTCTTAAGCCTGAAATAAAAGATTTTTATTTTATTTTTATTTTATTAATACTAGAAATAATTACAAATTAACTACGTTTCGTCTACAAAAAGTAAATAGGTCGTTCATGGGGCAAAGTGTGCGCATGTATAATAAAATCCCACAGTCGATATTAAGTCTGCCACTTGATCAATTTAAACGCAAAATTAAAAGTGAACTTATGGCTAAGGCAAATTCTTAAGGTAAATTCGGAAGAAATATTTTTATTAACTAAGTTATATTAACATTTAATATCTAACTTTCGTCGTCTTCGCTAAGGGAATGTGACAGAGCCATGCAGTATTTTCGAATTGTTGGTCGAATGGGTGTAATAGTGAGTGGAATTATACGCCGGCTATGGCCACTTGCCACACCACAGTACCACGACCTCACAGAAAACCGGAGTGAACCGGAAGTATTACACTTTCGGCTTCGTCTGAATGAGCTTATTAGTCCACGCTTTTAATGACTGGCAAAGAACCAGCCGTCCTTAGAGATCTGATGAGGTTAATCACACTTGCCTCCATAGCACATTAAAAAAAATCCGGTACAAATTAGACGTGAAGCGGAGGTATTACACTTATGGCTTCGTCCGAGTGAGGTTATTGGTCCACGCTTTAAATGACTGGCAAAGAACCAGGCCATAAGTTTTGGAAGATGCCTGATGAGGCGAATCACTTGCCTCCACGGCACATTAAAAATTTCTCTCTAAATCTTTCGCTGCTACAGCCGCTCGACTCTGGAACGCCTTTCCTAGTGAAACTCGAAAATCGCCAAATAAATTTACCTTCAAAGTTAAAGTTAAGGAACATTTTAGGTCGTCTCATGATCACTAGTATGGATAACGTTAGACATATATTACAATTTCATCTACATATATATTTGTATGTGTTCTCATACACTTACGTACACTTCTCTCTCACTAACCTTCCGGTTGGCTGGTAGAAAATGCCTTTTGGCATTAAGCCCGCCGTTTGTACCGGTTAGCACAAAACAGAATGCAAATAAATAAATAAATAAATAAAAATTCCCGTGCAAATCAAATCTGTTACGCAAACCAACACCAACAACTAGTGCTACCGTCTGCCTCACCTCTTCGATCCTCATGTTCTCGCAGCCGGAAAGCTTGAGGAGACGCTTCTCCGCCCCGGCGTTCGTCTCCACCGCGTTGAAACCGGATTCGTTCCCCCCCTCCAGGTACCGGACAGCTGGGAACGTACCAAGGCACTGACGTTTCAAGTCTTACAAGTTAAATGAACGAGGCTGGCATGACTTTTTTTATGCGAAAAGTGCCAGGCGAGCAGACGGTTCACCTGATGTTAAGTGAATACCGCCGCCCATGGACATCTGCTACACCCGAGGGTTGCAGATGCGTTGACAACCTTTTGAAAATTGGGCTCCGGCCACCTCTCTCACCAGACGAAACGCAAAAGTATTATACTTTCACTTTACGCCGCTCTCCTGTGAGGTCGTGGTACTTGCCCGGACGAGCCTGCCCATTCGTGCAACAGCCGTGGCTGCTGCGTGGCCCTACCACCCTAAATGATGGCGACCTGCACTGCGCAGTCGCAAACAACAATGGTAGATTTCAGTAGGTATAATCATGTCTTTCTCCTAAGATGTGGGACGTGTTTCAAAGCTTTAAAAAAGGCTTGGTAATTATAGACTTCCACTGACATTCTCCACTGGGCGAAACGAAACATTTAAATATTGGAACTTCGAGCTGGTCTCCCGGAAGGCCTTGGAACTTCCTCATTCGATATTGCAGTAGCGGCTATCGTTCAATCAATCGTCGGTGGCCCTGATATGGACCGTCGTGATACAGACTCGAGAACATCGCGTGTGTACGTCATAATGTCCATCTTTTAAAAAACATACCACGTCTATTCGGGGCCATGGCGACACTCTTGAAGTACTGAGTTTTAATCTGGCTAGAACAAGAAAGTCGTTTCTTGGTATTTAAATTTTACATTTTTCATAACGCGCCCAAAGAAGTGTAGCTTCAATAAATTTCGCGGTGGGTTTAGACATGTGCGCTGTCTCACCTGGCTGGAAGTAGCCCAGGAACTGGCTCGACTCGTGGCCCTGCACCTCGCGGTGCTGCACCGCCCTGCCGCCCAGCATGTCGTCCAGGGTCACCGTCCAGATCGCGGCGGAGCCCCACTTGTCCTGGGTGCTCTTTCCGCCCAGCCAGAAGTGAGCGTCGTAGGACAACGTGTCCTCGCCGGTTGTCTGGAAGAACGCTCGATTGTTGAGACTTAACTGCGGTAGGTCCACCAGTGGCGGATTTGCAGTCTTGGCCGCCCTAGGGCCCAGCGCATGTAGTAAGTTCCAGCCGCCCCATTCTCAGAGTCCATCATATATATTATTACTAGCTTTTCGCTCACCGCTTCGCTCGCGTTGAAGCCCTTAAATAAATTTAGTTCTGTAACCTTTCAACCCTTTACAACACTTTTTGCCAATTAAAATAGCCTATGTCCTTTCTCAGACTCTAGACTATATGTGTACCAAATTTAATTTAAATCTTTTCAGTAGTTTTGGCGTGAAAGCGAGACAGACAGACAAAGTTACTTTCGCTTTTATAATATTAGTATGGAAGTATCGATCATCAGTGAATTTTTTTTCACGATTGACCGCCCCTAATATTTGGCCGCCCTAGGTCCGGGCCTGTTAGGCCTTACGGGAAATCCGCCACTCAGGACCACAACAGTGTTCGCTGTTGCACGAATGGGCAGGTCCGTCCGGGTGAGTACCACGACCTCGCAGGAGACCGCGGGGAAGTGGAAGCGTTATACTTCTGCGTTTCGTCCGGCGAGTGAGGTAGCCGGGGCCCACTTTGTTGAAAGGCAACGCGTCTGCAACCCTACGGATGTCGCAAATGTTCGTAGGCGGCGGTCATCACTTAGCATCAGGGGAACCGCCAGCTCGTTTGCCGCTTTCTCACATAATAGAAAACTTAAAGAAGAACATTAATACTGGTGCTATAAGGTCGAAGTTTATCACGAAAAACTAAACGTTACTAATGTAAGCAGTTAATACTCCAAATTAGTTTTGCAAGAACTATTCATGGTAAAAAAAAACCTGGCCAAGCGCGAGTCAGCCTCGCGCACGAAGGGTTCCGTACTTTGATAAAGCTATAAAAGCGGCAAAAAAAATCATGTCTGCTGTATAGGAGCCCCAGTAAATTTTTTTTATTACTTTTTTTAGTATTCGCTGTTACAGCGGCAACTGAAAATATTCAGTTGCCGCTCATATATCATCATCAGTAAAAATTTCTACTAAAATCTATTTCCAAAAATGTCTGACTACCACGGTTCATGAGATAAAGCGTGGTGAAAGAAGGACAGACAGACAGAGAGTAGCAGGGTCCCGTTTTACCCTTTAGTTACACAGCCCTAAAAACGTACTGCTTGAAGGAGTACAGCTGTTGAACAAATTAACAGATTGAATAAAACAGTGTGAAAATATAAATATATATGTGACTTGTATATATTCAAAAGGATAACAAAAAAAATATTTCGTAAATATATGTGAAGTCCGCTAATCGGCAGCGTGACTTGAAATGTCTCGCTCTGTATTCATTTTATAATTGATTTTCGGGAGTTCCCTCCCTATCATGTCCGGGATCCGAAATTCAATACCAATGAAATTAATATGGGACCACACGGGAAGCACCAGCTTTCAAATAAAGAAAGAATCATCGAAATCTGTTCACACCGTCGAAAGTTCTGAGGTGAAACAAAAAAATACAGTCGAACTCAACGATGACACCGTGGCGCAGTTGCCAAGGTATTGGCTTCGGCGTCGGGGACCGTGGGTTCGATCCCCACACGGGACAACTATTTGTGTGACCCCACAGATGGTTGGTTCGCATCTGGGTGTTTGTCCACGTGAAATTTATGTTTGTAAAATGTCCTTACAACACAGGATAATATTATCCTAAAGTAAGGGCAGTGTTTTTTTTTTTAAATAAAAAAAAATAAAAAACAATAAAGAATTGAGAACCTCCTCTTTTTTTTAAGTTGGTTGAAATACAAAGAATATTTATTGAAATACCTTCAGCACGATATAGGCGTCTCCGTTGAAGAACTTTCCGTACAGTTTCCTCTCGACGGGTACCGGTTCGAATTTCTAGAAGTAATCCATACACAGATGAATTTTATATTACAGATTATATTGTTTTCACTTTCAAAAAAACAATTATAAAGAATGGTCACACTAATACATAAAAAACCGGCCAAGTGTGAGTGGGACTCGCGCACGAAGCACCCGCACCTTTATCTATAAAAACGGCAAAAACTCATGCCTGTTGAATAGGTATTTGACTTTAATATTTTTTTATTATATATTTTTTATTCTGTTTTGTTAAAGTTTGTATGATTTGGAATTGTTCTGAGAAAATTTTAAATGTCCAACTATCACCACTGGAAAAATATCGTGTGATGGACATAGTGCTTTTCTAGTGTCTGGGTGTTTATATAATTATGTATGTATATATATAAAATTAAATATGTATTTAGTTACAAAATAAAAGTATGTTTATCAGTTATCCAGTTCCCATAGTGCAGGCGTTGCTTAGTTTGGGACTAGAGAACGTTGTGTAAAAATGTGGCCGAAAACTCCGAAAATATTTATTATTATTTCAAATGGGCCTCCAGCTCACAATAGCTTACATTAAAAAAAAAAAAAGTCAGTCTATGGGGATAAAAGTGAAAACTAAGTAAGTAAACAGTAATTAATATGTTTATTTATAATTAAAATAATTATTATGTTAAAATAAATGTTAAGAATTATTTTTATGTTAAAAATAATTAATAATACTAATAGTTGTTTCCATGATTTTTGTTGGCCCAAAAAGTGCTCAATGCGCCCAAAGAAGGTTTCACATCAAAAAAAACTTGAAATGGTGCCAGTTTCGTGTAACTTATCTAACAATATTGTAACTGCGTACTATTTTTTTTACAAAATATCACTGGCTGTAAAAGTATGACTTTGTCGAGTATTCGGTAAAAAGATTACCTCAATAGTCCACACTTCGACGCCAGCGCTGGCGCCGGCTTCAGCGAACGCCGGATGCTCCATTTTTCTTTTTTATTTTTCTTTTTTACGGCACAGATTATAGCGGCGGCTGTGACAACGGAATGTTGACTGACGACGCAGGTCGGTATGACTAAGTTCAGATTACGAGTTCATATCTTATCAGTATAATAATAGATGAGTATCAAATCGATATCCTGAGTCATTTGATTCCATGAAAGAATAATCGTTCTATTTAGCTAATATCGTGATACAATTAGATGTATCTGTATTATAGGAATAATAGAATTGTCCCATTTTTACCAATTTCCAAGGCAAACTTTTAATTGTCTAGAGCTAGACGAAAGATTTCGACAGAGTAGTGTGTTCATCACTAATCTATTTTTATCTAAAGCGACAATAAAATTGTTTTTCCGTTAAAAACTGATATTTTAATTTAAATTTTAAAAGTACAGACAATGCAAGATGTTTTTAGACATTTCGTCGGTCTAACTGTGTGGATGTTTTCTAAATAGTAAAGTACGAAACAAAAATCCACCTTTAAATGTCGTGGGTAACATAGTAACAGCCTATTAATGTCCTACTGCTGGGCAAAGGCCTCCTCTGTACAGAGGGTATCAGGGCATAGTCCAAAACACGGCCCCACTGCGGACTGGAGGACATCACACTATCATCGAAATATTTTTTTGATATCGAAAATATGCAGGTTTCCTCACGATGTTTACCTTCACCGCTGAGCACGTGATAATTCAGCACTTAAAATTAACAATTTCATTGGTGCTGGCACCGGGCTATTATGAAATTAAAAGCGAGCTGCCGGACATGGATCTATAACATACTTATTCCCATTTAGATGTACCTATTTGAGTCATTTGATATGAAAACTTTAGTTTCATGGGATCCTCTCTTATAAAAAAATTGACAGAAATATGTCCTCGGCTTGCTGAGAATATGACAAAAGGGCTAGTTTTTTTCTCGCTTAAATGTTAAATATTAATAACTAATTAAATATTCAGCGAGGAAATTGACCGACAAAGGACTAGTGGGCCGTTTGAATAACGTGTAGTTTAAACAGGACCTATTTATTTTTCTGTCTATTTTTTATTTTTAAAAAACGTGCCCTTACTACTACTTTTAGGATAACATTATCCTGTCTTGCAAGGACGTTTTACTAATATAAATTTCACGCGGACAAACACATTCGAAACAATTATGACTCCGTGGCGCAGTTGCCGAGGTATTGGCTTCGGCGTCGGGGGCCGTGGGTTCGATTCCCACACGGAACAACTATTTGTGTGACCCACAGATAATTGTTCCGAATCTGGGTGTTTGTCCGCGTGAAATGTATGTTTGTAAAACGTCCTTACAACACAGTATAATGTTGTCCTAAAGTAAGGGCAATGTGTGTTTAAAAGAAGAAAAAAAATTATCAAACACCCAGATTGGAAACAGCGCCACGGAGGCTACAAAATACTTTTTGATTTAATAAATACTTATTGTTCAATAATTCTTAAGCCGTGATAGCTCCTTGTCCGGTCGCTTTTGATTTAATATACTCGAGCAGCCTGGTGGTAGACTATAACCGTATACCCTCGGTATAGGAGGCCTTTGCCCAGCAGTGGGACATGTATAGGTTGGTAAAATTACTTTACTTTTGACACCATTTACACACCATAGCGCAACCACCAAGTATACTACTTATGGCATACCTTTACACCAACGAAAATTTTAACGTACTTATTTATGATTTTGTCTTTAATGCATTTTAAAGCAATGCTTGGCGCCATCTAGCGTGTTTTTTTAACGGCAAACTACCATTTTTTAATGTTTTAAAAAAAAATAATTTCATCTTGATTGTAGCGAATAGCATTCTAAAAATTAATATTATTGTAATTTTAATAGCAAAGGTGACATTTTTAAATATTTCATTGTAAAATGTTATATGAGAAAGCGATCGTTTGCTGCAAAGGAAACACTAGATGGCGCCAAGCGTTGCTTAAAATGCAAAAATAAAACGTAAATAATTAAGATTTTCCTTGGTGCAAAGGTATGCCATAAGTATTTAATAATACTTGTTCTTAAACTAAGGTACTTGTAGCTATCGAATATTGTGCGAAATATATTTATTAAGACTACAATCATATTTCTTCGCACGCGGGAAATCTACGAGGTTAAACTATAAATTAGTTATAGACAATAGGTAACAATAATTTAATATGTCATAAGTAAATAAGTATAACGTAATATTGTTGGTGTTTTCGTTTAAGGAGGCGCTAAACAAGACTGTTCCCCGGGTTTCGCTCGACGGATAACTTCGTAGAATTTCGTATATTACAACGACGTTAGTGTTGTAGCGAGTGATATTAAAAGAACTGCTCCGCTCGTCTGTAATAAGTCACCCGACGAAGTAAAACTTGGGGTCTGAAACAAGAGTGCAATTATTATTTTAGCTCATTTTACGGTGGTAGGGCCACGCACCAGTCCGCTATTGCACGAATGGACAGGTCCGTCCGGGTAAGTACCACGACCTCACAGAAGACCGGCGTAAAGTAGAAGTGTTGCACTTCTGCGCTTCGTCTGGTGAGTGAGGTAACCAGGGCCCACAATATTAAGAGGTGGCAACGCATCTGCAACCCTACGGTGTTGCATATGTCCATGGGCAGGTGGTTATCACTTAACATCAGGTGAACCGCCAGCGCGTTAGCCACTTTCTGACATTAAAAAAAAAACTTATTTGACAAGACCATCTAATTGATATTTATACTAAGTGAAGAAGTATCTAAGAGATTTTTTTTCTTTTTCTATATGATTTGGATGAGATCCCTGATATATCTCCGGAGTCCAAGATTCGATACCAAAAAAAGTTATATGGGCAAACATAACAAACATACATAACGGAGTTCTGAGGTAACAAATATAGAAAAAAAAGACATACCTACAACAAAAATTGAGAACCCCCTCTTTTTTCGAAGTAAACGTAACAGCCTATACACGTCCCACTGCTGGGCAAAGGCCTCCTCTATACAGAGGGTATTATTAGGGCATAGTCCACCACGCGGCCCCAATGCGGATTGGCGGACTTCACATACGTTCGAACCATTTTTTTTGCTGTTATCTCGAAAATATGCAGGTTTCCTCACGATGTTTCCCTACACTGCTGAGCACGCGATAAGCCATCGCTTAAAATTACAATTCCATGGGTGCCGGCACCGGGGATCGAACTCGGGTTGCTCGAGAGTATCGAATTAAAGGCGAGCGTCCGGACACTGAGCTATCACGGCAGACATTGTTACGGTGGTAGGGCCACGCAGCAGCCTCGGCTGTTGCACGAATGGGCAGGCTCGTCCGGGTAAGTTCCACGACCTCACAGAAGACCGCCGTCAAGTGGAAGTATAATACTTTCGCGTTTCGTCTGGTGAGTGAGGTGGTCGGAGCCCAATTTACAAAAGGCTGTCATCGCATCTAAACATCAGGTGACAGACGCTCGCTTGGCAACTTTTCACATAAAAAAAAGACATTGGGCCAGAATACTCACCGATCCCGTGAGCCGGTTCTTGTTGCAGCTGATCACGTCCACCGAGGTCCTGAACTTCTCCACGTCAGCCTTTCTGTTCGAGTCCGGCTGGAACTTGAAGCTGGTGAGGAGATCTGTTCTGTTTATCGTTTAACGACCCTAGCTGCGAGACTGGTCGATATAAACAAACTACTTGTTTGATGTATAAAATCGGTTCATTGCGTGTGGGACTCGTGGAAGGTACGGTATAGATAGGGTGTCCAACTATCACGGTTCATGAGATACATAAAGCCTGGTGACAGACGGACAGACAGACAGCGAAGTCTTAGTAATAGGGTCCCGTTTTACGCTTCTGTCACGGAACCCTAAAAGTGTACTTTATAATCATTTACCGCGAAAAGGAAAAAAAGTAATTAACTAATGTAGGGCCACAAACAGTCTTCGCTGTTGCACGAATGGGCAGGTCCGTCCGAATTGAATTGAACTGTGCAGTTTCCATTTTTTTATTTTCGTCCTAGCAAAAGTTTCTGATCACTCATCGCGAGCTGAGTTGATCAATCATTAGAGAAAAGGGCTTACTCGTCTCGAGCTCTTGCAATAAGCTTTTCTGCATCATCCGTGGTGGTGGCTGGTGGTACTGGCGTGGAGTCGGTGGTGGTCTGGATTTGCTCCTTCGAAACTTCCGCGCTGTCGACTTTGTAATCTATTTCAGATTACAAAGTGTGAAAAATGAAAAAATGTTTTTATCACAGCAAAATAATTAAATTCAGTTGTGACAAATCTCTAATTTTTTCTCATCTAATACCTCGGTTTGGGTGTGTTCTTAGAATTAAGAGTATTTACTTCATCGATTTTAAACTCCAAAACATTACATCTGTTATGTGGTAGTGATTAGTAGAAAAAACTTTAAATTAGTAGAAATTGATTTCATTGATTCAATGAAACTGCCCAACATTCAAGCCTATCAGCAATTACACTCATGATTTGATAATCGCTTGATATTTTCAAAAAAATCAAAATCAAAATCATTTATTCATCGACATAAGAAACTTACATTTCATTTGTCAATAGTCATATTTTTTTTTAAATCTACCACCGTTTCGTAATGAGGTTCCTCTAGCGGAGAAGAAACAGGCGAAAGAAACTGCGTAGGTATCCTCTTTTTTGTAATTCATTTTTTTTTTCTTAACAAAAAATTCAAATATTATACAACTGATTTTTTTTCCTTTTAGAAATAGCTTGGGAGAGCGATCAACTCATTCCCAGGGGTTATTGTCATTAATGTATTCATTTGTATTATAATAACCCTTTTTATAAAGTTTTTCTTTAATAAATTTCTTAAACCTGTTAATAGGCAGGTTTTGCGCATTTACTGGGATTTTGTTGTAAAAGCGTATACACCGCCCCATGAACGAGTTACTTACTCTATGGAGTCTAGTAACTGGCATTACAAGCTTGTGTTTGTTCCTAGTGTTCACATTATGTATATCAGTATTCTTATCAAAATTATTAATATTTCTACGCACATACATATTGATATGATAATAACTTGATAGTTAAAAATCCAGATTGAGCCGTGATAGCTCAGTGTCCGGGCGCTCGCCTTTAATTTAATATACTCGAGCAACCTGAGTTCGATCCGCGGTGCCGGTACCAATTAAATTGTCAATTTTAAGTGCTGAATTATCACGTGCTCAGCGGTGAAGGAAAACATCGTGAGGAAACCTGCATATTTTCGAAATAATAACAAAAAAAATATTTCGAAGATAATTATGTGAAGTCCGCCAATCCGCAGTGGGGCCGCGTGGTGGACTATGCCCTGATATCCTCTGTACAGAGGAGGCCTTTGCCCAGCAGTGGGATATGTATAGGCTGATACTTTCCCTTTTTTTAAAAACCCGAACATGAAAGTAACGCTTCAATGTATGAAAAGAATTTTGTTTTCTTCTGGATTTCTTTCCGAATATACTTTTGACAGGAACTTGTATATGCGACGGTTATCACTTAACATCAGGTGAACCGCCACCTCGCTTGCCACGTTCTCACATAAAAAAGGATATCTTTGGCTGTTTCTTTCGTATATTTGGAAGCTGAGGACCTAACGTTAGATGTTATCACAGGTAAAAAGTACTAGGAGTACAGAAATCGTGTGATGGTGTGACCGGTGTCTTCTCTTTCATTACCAGAATCCTTATAAAGATCCGACAGCTCTTTCTCTATTCTCGCCTCGTCCTCTTCTTGCGCGCTGTGAGTCCGCTCCGAGCTTTTCATTTTGCGTCTACTTTCCGAGACCTTGAAATGATTTCGACAACTTTATTTTAATAGATAAATAAAAGATATTATTATAGATATATTTATTTCGAATCTTGACCTGCTTATATTAATACTAGCGGACCAGACAGCCATGTACACACGACTTAAATCACACAACCGACGACCGACCCGAAGACACAAAAAATTTCATTAAAATCGGTCCAGCCGTTTAAAAGGAGTTCAGTGACATACACACTACAGAAGATTCATATATATCAGTATAAAGATTTTACAATATTAAATCTAACTAAATAAGATATTACTTGTGAATACACAACGTACTAACTACAAATTAGTTAATACTACTATTATAAATTAATAAAAATTAAAAAAGGAACTGTTATTTTTTTAATGCGACACAAAGTATTCGATTTTTTTTGTAGTAAAGGCCCACGCCCACCCTGAAAAATAACCCTAGATACGCCCGTAGCAGTCGGAATAGCTAACAAGGAGGAAGGGACTTACGGCTGTTACTTTTGTCGTCGGCATCACGGTCGTGACGGTTTTCACGTCCGTGTCTCTCTCCGCTGATGGTTCCTCCTCGATATCTGGCGGAAGCTCTGGAAGCGAAGCGTCAGTTCGTATTAAGAGAAAAAAAAGGTCCTATAAGTTATAGTTCCTTTTGAAGCATTCGGAAAATATTATGAGAGTAAAATTTTATAAGCAAAATTGAAAATTACTAAGTCAATAACACGTAAAATAACGTGTTCTATCATAGTAATTCGTGGATGGGAGTGAGGATTTTGTTTACGCTCTTGATTTTAAATGTTGCTAGTGTCGAAATATAGTAAATCTATACTAAGATTTATTATATACGAGTATGATTAGTTATTACGTTCGAAGTACTAAGACTTCTCAGAAGATCATCTTGATATATTTGCTATAATTTTACGTCTCATCTGGTGAGTGAGATGTCTAGAAAGTAGGTGGAGTGATGTTCTTTGTAAAATGTGCAAGTGGTACTCTATGGGGGAGGCCTATATAAAAAAAGGCGAAATGAGACTACGATAAAGCGCTTATGAACGTCCAAATCGAACGCCGATATTTAAATCTGTTCAACAGACCCTACTAGGAATTGTGGCATTTTTATTTCATTTTTCAAAGGTTTAGTAACAAACTGGAACAAACACAAGTTTTTTAAAGAATACATAATACACAAATCTGTAACCCACTTATAACTAAACATAATTTCATAAAACATTCACTAATCGTAGAGATAAAATTATTAATATTGATATTGTGTAAAGAGGTAAAAATTAATTAAAGCACAAAAAATTTATAAAATAATATCTATATAAAAGGTTTCATACCTTTTATACATATAAGTAACAAATGTGTAAAGAGTTAAAAATTAATTAAAGCATAAAAAATTTATAAAATAATATCTATATAAAAGGTTTCATACCTTTTATACATATAAGTAACAAAAGGTATCAAACTAGCAGTAACCAAAAGAAACGTAAATCTACAGCAGTTTCTAGCTCCATGTTTCCCAAGTGCAATGTACAAATATCTTCATGAAAGGTATTAAACAGAAGTGTCAATCTAGCAATAACCAGGAACAACGAAAATCTAGAGCACTTGCTAGTTACATGTTTCTTAAATGCGATGTGAAATAAATCTTCATAAAAGATATTAAACGATAAGTATCAAACTAGCAGTAACCAAAAGAAACGTAAATCTATAGCAATTTCTAGCTCAACGTTTCCCAAATGCAATGTACAAATATCTTCATGAAAGATATTAAACAGTAAGTGTCAATCTAGCAATAACCAGGAACAACGAAAATCTAGAGCACTTGCTAGTTACATGTTTCTTAAATGCGATGTGAAATAAATCTTTATAAAAGATATTAAACAATAAGTATCAAACTAGCAGTAACCGGGAGAAACTAAAATCTGGAGCGCATTGTAACTAACAAACCGTACAAAGACTCTGTATACCTTTCAACGGTGCATCCATTTCGATCACCTCCTGGCCCATGGACTCTGTCAACGGCTTCAGGCTGTTCACGGCTGCGGCAGCCAGGGGCAGGCAGAACAGGAAGTAGAAGCGTTGCATATTCGCTGACGAATCTCCGTGTATTGGCGACTTACGAAATTTGTTTCGCGGAGCCAACTAGTTTGCAGTCTGATTTTTTAACTATTTGAATGCTTCTAAATGTTTCTTATATATGTCTCTTTGTTGCAACATTAATGCGTACTAATATAGATGATATATGATATGTATTGAATTATTCGTTTATATGCCCACTCTTAAAATTAGATTTTGTTTACTTTTTATGAATAAGGTACATTTTTTATAATATTTTTAACTGTACTACTGATCTGGGCAAAAACGCCATCCAGACTGGAGACCACCGTAATCCGGTCTCAATTTTCTACAGGCTGCATTTTAGAGCTTGCATCGAAAATATAAGAATTGATTACATCCTCCCCTTGCTATCCTCAGACAACTAACAATAATGAGTAAGTCTTTACTCACTAATGATATTACAGTTTTTAATCTATATACAACTTATAACTATATACTACTTATAAAAATAATATTAATTAATAATAAAATTATGCCACCACAAGTTTCCTCCACTTATCTATCCCAAGCTATCCTTCCCCATCCTTTTTATAAACTAGACAAATAGACACTCTCAAATATAGGATACAACTATAAGGGATGGATCGCACCAACGACAAATCCTGGTCAATGTCTATCGTCTTTAATCTTCACCATCACACCAGTGTACCCATTTTCTATTACGCCAATACCCCAATCAGTAATAGACGCTCTGGATGCCGAAAGAAATGCGGTCGACTAACCCGTTGCCAAATTTAACTGGCAGTTCGTTTTTAACCGCGACGCTAAGTAGTTGTTACTGTCGGTATAATCCAATCAAACGGTGAGTACAATGTTGCAGTAATTAACATAATTGCGGTAATCTTTGATGACTCCGTGGCGCAAAGGCCGAGGTTGGCTTTGGCGTCGGCGGTCGCGAGTTCGATTGCCGCACGGGACAAATATTTGTGTGATCCGCAGATAGTTGTTTCTCATCTGGGTGTTTGTCCACGTGAAATGTATGTTTGTAAAACGTCCTACAGGATAATGTTATAAGTAAAGTAAGGGCACTGTTTAAAAAGAAATAACCCTTAACTGCGGACCTCAAGCAAGCATTAGATGCAACCCAATTTTGTTGTGAAACACAGCGAAGACTCCTTTATCGGGCTACAAGGATGAAGTCCATTAGGGTCCTTAAATATATATATATATATATATATATATATATATATATATATATATATATATATATATATATATATATATATATATGAGGAAACCTGCATATAAAATTATATATGCAGGTTTCCTCACGATGTTTTCCTTCACTGTTGAGCACGTGATAAGTCGGCACTTAAAATTAACAATTCAATTGGTGCCGGCATCGGGGATCGAACTCAGGTTGCTCGAGTATATTGAATTAAAGGCGAGCGCCCGGACACTGAGCTATCAGAGCTGTATAATTTATATATTTATGTATTACTCAGTAAATATATATCAATCCATAATTTTAAAGTTTTTATATTATGTAGGTATTTGCATATTTGATATTATTATTTAGTATTTATGATCTTTTATAGCTTATTTCACCTAACACAATCTCTCTTCACGCCCCGGGTTGACTGGGAGAGAATTTCTAAATGGCATTACGTCCGCCTTTTGTAAACCCTTTTTTATAGTTTTGCAATAAAGCATAAATAAATAAATAAAAATGTGCCGCGGAGTTTCTTTCGCCGGTTCTTCTCAGGTCAGTGGCTTTTCTTTTACGAACCGGTGATAGTGTTTTGACATCAATAAGTAAGTGTAATGCTTCTATATTAAATAAAGAGTACCTGGAGGACCGAGCTTTGCCCGGTTTGTTTTTTTTGGTAAATCGTGTATTTTGGAAATTACATTTAGATACTAATTACTGAGTAATGAAATATGCATAATATTTTTTGATCTTACCGACGCAATAATAAGAAAATATGAACTGGTGTTTTTCACCAAAGAAAGAACTTAAAAAGAAGGGAAAAAGAACAAAATCATCTGGATGGACAAAAAATAAAAAATAAAGAAAGCAATTATCTGGAATCGAAAAAAGTAAAACATAAGTATGTAAATGATCGTGACACGAACCGCGGCGGTCTGTTTTGGAGCCGCCCGATTACCGACCGAGGTATTATAACATTTTTTTTTCGGCGAAATTTACCGTCATATTCGAATGATATTTTTCATTTCCTGAAAACAGGGATAAAAGGACATTTTCTAAAAATGACACCTAGCTAGATCGATTTTTCGCCCTCGAATCTATGCACATACTAAATTTCATGAAGAGCGCTGGAACCGTTTTCGAGATTCCGATTACATATATATATATATATATATATATATATATATACAAGAATTGCTCGTTTAAAGGATAAGATATTTCAAATGTGAATTTTAATTTATGGCCATATAAAACTTTACATGTGGCATCCTCTGAGAGCCCCTCGTGATTTGTGAAACACTCGGATGTGGAATCCGGCGCGCTCTTCCGCCAAATGCCAATCGCCTGCCAAACGTCAGGGCGAGGCCAGCCAATGATTGACTTGATGCCAATAGACATTAATAGTAGTGGATCAATGTTACGCGGTGACGTGGGATCGCCTGCGACAGTGAGAACGATAGACCTTCCCCGATTACCACGCCATCTTGCAGCAGCTCGAGGCCACTTCGTGCTGCTGCCAATCCGTGTCTCCTTTTGGTCGCCTTTCGCGACAGGCAGGGGATACCTTAGCCCTATTCTATAAGCTAGATGGAGTGACGACCTGTGCAAATGTGCGGGAAGTCGATGGATGCAGGTGGCTCAGGATCGTACTTCGTGGCAGTCTATGGGGGAGGCCTATGTTCAGCAGTGGACTCGAACAGGCTGAAATGATGATGATGATGATTCTATAAGCCAGAGACTACCCGCCTCGCACCTGCGCTGCTACTTATGCTAACAACTAAACCGTTAGTCCCACTTCTCCACAGAAAAAAACTATTGAATTTGTTTAATAATTTAACTTTAAATGAAAATTCCACCAGAATCTAGAAAAACACCATGTTCATGAAACAATAACTTTCCAATCGTGAGGATTGTACCTACAAACTCAAGCGCAAGGGATAGCTTTACTATCCTCTACGCCGGGACGCCTATGATGGAACATTTAATACTTGTTGCTGCCCGCGACTATGCGTATAATAGGTTGAAGGCGTAACAGACAGAAAGACAGATATACATAAAAATATGTATGTAAATTATAGCCTATTTTTTATTCTGATGTATAAGCTATATTATTGTGAAGTTTCATTAAAATCCATTCAGTACAATTTGCGTGAAAGATTAACAAATATCCATCCATAGATACAAACTTTCGCGTTTATAATATTACTAAGGATATAAGTAAGGAAGTAAGGATTTTTCTCTATTCTGTAGTACGTATTTTAGTTTAACATTTTTCAAATTACGTCCGTCCGAATATAGATGGACAATCAAAATCAAAATCAAATGTATTTATTCAACATAGGACCATTACACTCACTTATTGATAGTCAAAACACTACCACCGGTTCGGAAAAGAAAGCCACTGTACTGAGAAGAACCGGCGAAAGAAACTCAGCGATATATATAGATTACATTCTATCGCTTTCCGTTAGTGTACCTTCGTAAACATAAAGACCTCTGTCATCGACACCGATCGAAATATCCAATTTGGCATCGAACCTTGATACCTGCCAATACACGTCGATATCGTCGCACGTCGACAAGTTTACGGCCAAAACTTTGTGTGACTCATTCCGCCAAGTGCGAATGTCCAACAAAGGGCGCGGGTTCCGTAGAAATATTCGTGATGCCTTTCTCTTGTCTGTGGTAAAGTGGAAATTTATTTTAGACAAATCATATGCTTTATTATATACCTTTAGCTGATGTATGTATCCTAAGTAGCTTTTATTATGTGCGTATAACAGAAAACAACGTTAATCGATTACAATCTACGGCCGGCGTTACAAAAGATCATGTTGTATATTTTGTATTTTATTTATTGTACACAAAACACAGGATACAAAAAAATAAAAAAAATGTAAGGAGTTTACAAAGGGTAAGCTTAACTGTTAGTTGTTGTGAAATGTGTTCAGTGCACAGAGATATTTCTATAACATTTTATACATAAATATATCTGTATATATAGTTATACATAGTACATAACATACACTTAATATATAATAAATATAGATAGAAAACAATACATAAGACAAGACAACTACAAGAAGAAAAATACGTTATGAGGGACTGGCACGGCCACTATGAGGTAGACTTGCAGAGTCGCACCGCGTGTACTGTAAAAGAGCCTTAAAGAGCTGTTGTTAAAAGTATTGGCTAGGTTTTTTTTACTAGTCGTCTCAATTCTCCTTGAACAAACACCCAGACTCGGAACAATCTGCACACACAAATATTTATCCCGTGCGGGAATCGAACCCACGACACTCGACGGCAAATGGCTTGAGTTATGTATGCATAAATATAAACACATTGTTACGTCTCCCACGTCCTCAAATCTAAGCATGCGTGTCGGTAGAGTGTTACGTTTTATTAATCTAACTAGCGTCCCGCCCCGGCTTCGACACGGGTGCAATGTATTATGCATATAAACCATCCTCTTGAATCACTCTATCTAGTAAAAAAAACCGCATCAAGATCCGTTGCGTAGTTTTAAAGATCTAAGCATACATAGGGACGGACAGACAGCGGGACGACTTTGTTTTAAACTATGTAGTGATAAAAAGTCAAAGCAAGTTCTTAATTTGAAGCGTTACCTTAAATGGCTGCACTATTCTTTACGGAACCCTAATTATAGCCTCAATCACGTGGATGCCACTGTCCAGGGTCGAACACCTCACCCGTTTACTAGTATCAACGCCCATTCAAGAATTGCAACCCAGACAGTCCCTCCGTGATTCTGTTAGAAATGTCTGTTCTGTGAGTTAGAAATGTCTTTTTAAAA